GTGTCAGGATGGAACTATTGTATTCGACTCAAAGGCCAAGGAGGAAGTGCTAGCCAAGATCTTTGCTGCCAACTCCACCATGGACGTCCCCACCAACGCCCAAGTGCCGTCAATTCATAGGGTTCCCCACACTATGCGGGAGGTAACATTCAGGCATAAGACCGTAAGACGAGTGCTCTTGTCGCTCGACATCAACAAAGCTTCTGGTCCGGACTTGATTCCTGCCATTGTACTGAAGAGATGTGCAGCGGAGCTTGCTCCAGTTCTTTCACGTCTCTTCCAGATAACTTATGAATCCGGCACCTTCCCAGAAAACTGGAAATTTGCTCATGTACAGCCCATCCCAAAAAAAGGATCTAAGACCGACCCTTACAACTACAGGCGACAGGCAGTACGGTTTCCGGCACCAACGATCCACAGGAGACCTCCTAGCTTACGTCACGCAACTGTGGAGTAAACTCATCCAGTCTCATGGTGAGGCTCATGTCGTTGCTCTTGACATCACGAAAGCGTTCGATCAGCTGTGGCACACTGCCCTCTTAAGCAAACTTCTATCCTATGGCCTCCCAGAAAAGCTTTGCAGATGGGTGGCTGACTTCATCTCTGGCCGCAAGATATCCGTCGTAATTGACGGATTCTCCTCTTCATCCCACACCGTCAACGCGGGTGTTCCCCAGGGATCGCACGATCAACCCAATCCACAGCTTCGCTGATGACAGCACTCTACATGCAGGCATTCAGAGTGACAAGCCGATCTCTGCGGCTGAGCTGGAAAAAAGAAGAATAGCGACGACTTCTTCTCTGACAAGGGACCTGGAGGCTGTCAATGCTTGGGGACGCAACAATCTTGTACAGTTCAATGCTTCCAAAACACAGTACTGTACTTTGACGAACAAAAAGCGTCCTAGCGCTCATACAGTTTCGATGGACGGCCGAGTTCTACCAAAGAGCCATTCATTTCGGCTGGTCGGAGTCCAGATCACCGAGGACCTGATCTGGCACGAACACATCTCTTCAATAGCTGTAGCTGCTGGGAAAAAGCTAGGCTATTTGTTTAGGGCTAAGAAGTACTTTTCTCCGCATGACCTTCTCACTCTATACAAGGCCCAGATGAGGCCTAGCCTCGAGTATTGCTCACACATTTGGGGTGCTGCCGCCCCGACTACATTGTCCATGCTCGATGCTGTCCAGAGGAGGGCGGTCCGACTGATCGATGACTCTTCTCTAACAGACAGTCTCGGGACTCTTTCGCACCGGCGGGTCGTCGGCGATCTAGCTCTTTTCTATCGCTACACCAACGGGCTTTGCTCCTCAGAGCTCTCTTCCATGATGCCGCCGCGCGATGTGCCTGCCAGACAGACCCGCCTGACTTCGGCGTCCCATCCTAACCGTGTCAAACTTCGTACATCCAGAACTGGCCGATACGACCGCTCCTTTGCCCCGAGGGTGTCCAGATTGTGGAACAATCTACGGGAGGAAGCTTTTCCCAGTTCTACTAACCTTAGGCAGTTCAAAAATCGTATTAACAAAATTTCCTTGGGATCATCATAACAGCCGCGCTGTTCCGGCATTTAGGCTTCTGCCTGCGCGGCTGTTTCGATATATAAAAAAAAAATAAAGCTGTATTGCAAAATTTTTATAGTACCCGTTGTACATATAAGATATAGCTCGAAGTTCCGCTAGCTGCAAATCCCATGCCAGACTCCAAAACACAAGGTTGACCCGATTCCTTTTTGTACTTAAATCCTGTAACTTTCCCTTTATATTCATCCAGTTATGCTTATCATTTTAGGATCTCACTCATACAACATCCAGTCGCAAACTCGAGTGACATCTACTCATCAAACTACAACCAGCACTCTCAACGATCAAAACTTTGCCCATCTCATCTCTCATTACATATCATTGCATCGACGTATGCAAGTAAATCTGCTCCATGCTTATGCCAAAAATCAAGCGAAATATCTCTCAGTTCATTTTGCTTTTACGCCAAAGAAGTCTCACTATTCATTTCGCTTGTATGTCAAAGACATATTTTGCACAGCTTCTATCCGGAGATGGCTAACATCTTACAAAACATGTCTACGAATGTCTAGCCACACATTCCGTTAGACAGTGCTTCGACCAAACCCTCACTACAAGTTTTACTCGTCACGTCGGTACACTTTCATGAAATGGCACACGTAGAAATTACGTTTTAAACAACTGGGACCACTAGGGCACTCTGACAATGCCAATTCAATTTCTTCATCAATACACATGATTTCAGAATCGCACGAAATTAAATCTCACGCAAGCTGGTAGGACGGGTGAGCTCGATCCCACTTCTGATGTTATAGACCAACAAATGCGCGAATAACTGGAAATACCAATAATAAATAGACGCGTCTTGATAACCATCTTTTCAGCCTTAGGGTGCAGGACCCAATGTCCTACCATTCTCATAGGGTATCAGTGCAGCCACTTGATATAGTGTAGACACAGTAGATGCCCATTCCCCAATATCCGAAAAATAATCTTTAATATTTATTACCTCATCATAGGCGGAGGTGTCGCTAACACATGGAGAAATAGTTTATCAATATAACCACATAACTCTGATAGAAATTATGCCATGTGCCAAGAACGATCGACTAAAAATAGATTGTATTTGTTTTATGTGTTCACTGCCACGTTTTCAATGAGTTAAGTCGTAGAAAAGTTGCATCCTGCGTGTTCAAAACAAATATTTTATGGCTTTGTCGAAATTAAGCTTCAGTAGAGTATACAAGAATAATTGTTCAGAATGAATATACAGGGTGGCCGATATGTAACTGACTGGTTTGTACCTTGAATATTTGTGAAATGGAATAAAATACGTCCATTCTTTTCATTTTAATATTTTATTGAAACTATCCGCCTCCAGAAGCCGCGCAAACCTGAGCCCTCTTGATTACATTTTCCATCACAGTTTGGTAAGTTTCGGGAGGAATATTTTCAATCGCTTCCGTAATATTGTTCTTTAGCTGCTCCACAGTATTTGGTTTGTTGGCATAAACCCTATTTTTCAAAAATCCCCATAAAAAAGTCAGGAGCCGTTAAATCCGGTGACCTTGGTGGCCAGTTGACATGACCAAACCGAGAAATTAAACGTTCCGGAAATATTGTTCGCAAAAGATTCATTGTTTCCCTAACTGTGTGACAAGTTGCTCCATCCTGTTGGAGCCACATGTTTTGCAGGTAAAGTTTTTGGTTTTGAGGAGCCAGAAAGTTTTGCACCATATCACGGTAGCACTCGCCAGTGACAGTAAGAGAATTACCTGCAGCGTCTTCAACGAAATAAGGTCCAATGAGACCTCCATACCAAACACCGCACCAAACTGTGACTCGACGAGGATGTAGTGGTCGTTGATGGATGACACGAGGGTTCTCTAATGCCCAGATACGACATTTCTGCTTACTAACAAATCCGTCCATATAGAAGTGGGCTTCATGGCTCATTATCAGATGTCAGTAAAAATCGTTATTTTGAGTATCAAGCTGCAATATTGCATGATTGTATTGTCGACGACTTTCATGGTCACTGGGCTGTACTTCTTGGGTTAACTGAATTTTGTATGGCCATAAATGCAAATGTTTTTTAAAATAATGCATAATAACGTGCGACGAATATCCAGTTATTGAGAACGATGTGTGGTAGACGTCTCAGGGCGCTCCACTACACATTCACGAACTCTCTCGATATTTTCCGGAGTACAAACAGTTCGAACACGGCCCGACCTTGGCAAGTCTTTAACTATTCAAATTTCCACACCAACTGACGAATGGTGCTGACACTGGGAACACATTTTCGACCAAAATCTTGTCGTATCTTCCGAAGCGTTGCAACAATCGACTCATTATGTAAGTAAAACGTTTGAACAATACGGACGCGTTGTGAGATGCCTCGAGATCGCTTTTTGAAAAAGTTTATTTTTCGAAAATCAAAGCTCAGCAATGTACTTTTTTCAAAATTATTACAATATTGTTATGGTATTATTAATATAAACGCTTAAATCTCATTTAGGTGCTTTGTTAGACAAGATATTCCGTGGTTACGGGTATACTCATTTGCGCTCCAAATTTTATTGCTTGAGTCTATATTCAAAATCGGTCGCCAAACCGAAATATGTTTGATAATACTCAAACCTCAATAGTTAATAAATGAAATGCGATATTTTCCTCTAAGTAAAAATCGATCAAAAATATTATACTTCATTCTAATCATAGATATTACAAGAATTCATTAACACAAAAATTAAAGCATTTTTCTGCATTTTATCATAGTCAACGCCTTTTAAAATGAATATTGAGTTTTTTCACACTTGCATAAAAGTCATGCACGGTGCCTTAAAAAGCTAAATCTGTTTATACACTTGGCAACCTCAAAAATAATAATTTTTAACCAATGTTTCAAGCATTGAAAGATCCCATTTCTATGGTCTTTCTGACATTAAATCGCTTATAACTTGAAAACGGTCAAATCTAAGGACCAGTTGCTCAGGGTCTTTTTGTTCAAAATGATCCGAAAGTTCTAAGAAAAACCTTGCACGCAGCGAAAAAACACCTGGTTGCGTACTGAAGTTTGGGAAAATAGTTTGTTATTCAAAGGATAACTACTTTGAAAATCATTATTTTTGAGGTTTAAATTGGAAATGAAACCTTGAAAGACTGAAGAGAATTTAAGGCTTTAAGGATCATTAATGTTCTTTGCTTGACAGGCTAACAAGAGACAGACGGATTCTCATACATATCAACCGGTGTTTTATATGAGATATTCTATATTGATTTTTACATTGTTCACTGGGTTGTTCTGATCCCTCCTGGCTAAGTATCTGGTGGTTTCGGTCTTTTAGAAAAATAGGTTGCATTTTCTAAGCAGCTGGGCTCATCTCAGCCACATAGAAGATGGGCGGGTCCATATTACGTCATTAGTCTAAGTAATTGGGGATTTCAGCTTTATATACAAAGATACTCGGAATTCTTATAAAAGGCTAGTTTATTTAGCTTTATAGAAAAACGGGGTGTGCACCTATAAAGTCATTAGTCTAAGTAGCGCTACACAGCTAAGTGACCGGTTTCTTAACTAAGAAGCCCTAAGAAGCTACGATATATACAAAACTAGACCGACTTTATTTTTGCTTCAGAATAGTTCGTGTCTCTGATTAACACTAATTCTCCCATAATAATATTGTGATTTCAGGGTGTACGCCTAGCAATGCCTGCAGGCAAGGAGTCCTCAAATCCTGCCCACAGAACAACATTTCGACCACCATGGGTAAAAGAAGGGGTCCCGCCAGCACTGCCTACACCAGCCGCACCATGGACGCTAAAAAACAGAAGAGACAGTAGCACAACTGCCAATGAAAATGTAGAGAAAACAGAAAATAATCCTATAGGTTGGTGAGCATAGTACATAGTGTATATGCTTTGCTTATATCTTACTTACAATGACGATAATTGGGCATTAACGTTAATGACCAGGCATTCAGGTGAATGATGAATATATATATACAGGGCGTCCGCAAAGTTGGGGTTGTCCTTTTCAGAAAGAACTACCCTTGAAATAACAAAGGTAATGTGTAGTGAAAGTAGGGCGACCAAGTAAAAAAAATAAAGGAAAAAGTACTCACTCTCCAGTTGACGAGAAGGGCTAAGTACGTCTCTGCCCGAAATCATACCGCTCCAACAGAAAATGAAATCAGCTGATGCGCTACCGAGCAGACGCAGGCGGTGGTGCAGACCACGAACAGAGGTAACAAATAGGACGGCGTTGCCGCATTTTCAGTTTGTAGGTAAACGTACTTTATAGGTATTGTTCGAAGTTATCGCCGTTTGATTCAAAAACACAGGTGCGTGCACGACGTAGCCAAGCATCGGTGCAGGCTTTGAGAATGGAGTCCTCCCCCGAATGAAAGCACCAGCTTGTTCAATTTTGAGACGAAGTTCGTCAACCGTATGCACTTCAGTTTTGTACACTAAGCGTTTCATTTCTCCCCAAAAAAAAATCACATGGTGTTAAGTCTGGAGATCGCGGAGGCCACGCTAAGGGTCCATTACGTCCGATCCACCTATTCGGAAATAATTCATTCAAAAACTCACGCACTTCGCGTCTAAAATGGGGCGGTGCACCATCGTGCAGAAACCACATTGATTGTCTTACATTTAATGGCACATCTTCTAACAAGGAAGGCAAAATGTTGCGTAAAAAGTCTAGGTATTGCATCCCGTCCAATCGATTTGGGAGAATAAATGGTCCAATGAGCATACCGTTCACCGTGCCAGCCCAAAAATTCACCGAAAATGTTTGTTGAAAATGTGCCCGACGGACAGCGTGCGGATTTTCTACTGACCAAACATGAGTGTTGCGAAAGTTATTTACCCCATTACGCGTGAACGTAGATTCGTCTGTCACCAATATGCACTTCAAAAAGTCCGGATTATTGTCATGTTAATGCAACAACCTCTCACAAAACCGCACTCTTGCTGGAAAATCGTCAGGTTGAAGGGCTTGTACACGTTGGACGTGAAACGGATACAGCCCCTCTTCACGCAGCATTTGCCACACTTTAGTTTTTGATACTTGCACTTCTCTAGCACCGTCTCTAGTGCTTGTTGAGGGGTTCTCGTCTACGCGATTCAGTAGTTCTTCCTCAACTTGCACCATTCGTGGTTGTCTAGGCCTCCCACTGTGCCCACCTCGAAATTCCTCCAAATGGCCCGTATCCCTGACTCTCTGGGCCAGGTACACAAATCTGCGGGGCCTTGGATGATGTCGTATAGGGAACCGATCTGCATACACTCGCGAAGCCTCTGTAGCATTTTGAAGACATTCGCCATAAATTAACAACATATCAACGAGTTCATTATTGGTGTATGAGTGTGCCATTATTTTTTTTGAAACGCAATCGATTATACGGGTTCGTTTACCTCTACACACGTGACCGTAGCCGTAAGTTGAAGGTTGCATACTGACCTGACACACTGACCCCGACCCAGTTCGGTCGTCGGGTTGAGCCAGTGACCTTGTACCACTCGGTGATGTCGCGGGTCGCGGCTACAGGACAGTATTCAGATATTTTTGATGTTGCAGAGCCCTTTATCTCGGTTCCCTTAAGACATTGGTGTATATGGTACTAAGAAAAATTGCTTATGTTTTCAAGATATACACGTCGTGTAAAGGAAAACCCCAACTTTGCGGACACCCTGTATATATATATATATATATATATATATATATATATATATATATATATACAGGGTGTTAATAAAGTATGTAGACAAACTTTAACCATCGAATCCTTGGTCAATTTGAAGACGAAATTTCCATATGAACATGGGTCTGCAACGGCTTTGTTTTCAAGCTATTGTGTATTAGCATAAAGCGTGGAGAGACATGTCTGACTATACAAAATAAATATATTTTTAGGAGAGTTCATCAGTCAATGTATGACAGACTAGACGCCTGTATTGAAGTGGAAGGTGGCCACTTTGAACATTTTGTAAAAAAAACTATTCGATATTTTCTGTTGTTGTCGTTCTAGTCGAATGTTACTGTTCAAAACTACTGACCTTCTAACTATTTTTTTTTTCCAAAAATGCAGGATAATAATGTTTTCATCCACGTTCATATTGAGCCTCAGCAAATTGTAAAGCATGCAAAATTTATTATAGGTTATACCAACTGTTCAATGGATATGTTTCATTATTCATAGAAATATTTGGAACATTACTCGTATTTCTTTAGTGATAGTGCTCCAGCTCGAAAAGAAAGCCATTACCGACGTTCATATGAACGGTTGTCAGTTTTCAAATTCACCAAGGATTCGATGGTTAAAGTTTGTCTACATACTTTACTAACACCCTGTATAGTAGAAGGCAAACTTAAGTTACATTGAATGTTCAGTTGTTTCTCATATTGCTCACAGAGCAGCTAGTAGTTGAGCTGATTTTAACTCTGTGTTACTTCCGGGGCACCGAGAATGGTTGATTCTCAAAAGATGTAATGTAAAGACCTTTGTAAGATTTTAGTCGCGAGTCAAAGCTGAATTGTTAAATCTGTTTAGAATTATTGCCACCTTTTTTATAATTTTGAACATTAATTGTGGTAATTTCAAGACATTTATGTTATCAATCTCGGTAACATTAAAACGCAATCACACATGCACTTGTTTGAATTTTATTCAACATATTGTTTTTGTTTGCTATTTTGCTTTAATATTAGATATGCAGGGTTGGTAGTTAGTGGTGGTTAGGCGATGCCGGCAACTAGGCCACCTTTAACCCTTTTTGCCGACCCCGTAGTACCAACACGAGCCATCTACTGGTAACTCATACACTGAGAACCAAACTTGTCTGACGGTTCGAGTTCAATGTGTACGAGAGAGACATGTGTATAGACGCATATGTTATAAAGAGATAGAAGCCGGCTGGATAGTGAAACTCATCATCGCGTTGCCTAGCAACGCTGACGCATCATGATGAAAATATGCGTTAGTTTATTCTCTACGCCGAAATAATGGTTTTATATATTATTTTTTATTTTGAGCGTACACATTCTTAATTGTGAATTGTATCGAATCTGTTTAGGATCGATTCCGGATCGGTCCTTACGGTGAACAATTTTAGGTCGGACTGAAAGGTTAGGATCTCCACAAATTCTACAACATTGCATCAATGGTTCGTTTGATAACACCGCATCTTGTACAGTCCAAGGCAAGGTTTGAACCTCCATGATCATAGTTGAGCGATTTTGGTCAGTAATCATCTAGTGCTCGTAAGGCTGTATCGAAATGGCTTTCACTTGCGTAGACGCAGGCAGGGATAATTTGTATGGCGTAACGTTGTTACATTCCCGACTGCAGCGCTATCGCAAAATGTAACAATAACTCAGGATGTGTTGATTTTATCAACATCGGTGGAAATCAAAGATAATTCTAAAATAACTTAAAACACTAAGTCGCATGAAAACTAAAATAAATAATTCTAATCAAAATGAAAGCAAAATATTAAATTAAATGTTCGAACACACCCTTCGACTTGGTTCTGGCAGTAACCTAAAATATAGTAGAAGCCTGTGCCAAAATTTTCTGGAGCAACATATTGGCAACGCTGCAGGTTGCACGACCGTTTACGTCACCGTTGCTAGGCAATGTGGTGTTGACTTTCACTCTTCAGCCGACTTCTATCTGTTTCTAACATGTGTTGATGCATAAGTATGCGCTTCTCTATCGTACACATTGAACTCAAACCATCAAACAAATTTGGTTTTCTCTGTATAATAAACCAGCTCTAGCGATGAGATGTAACTGTTAGTATTGCACCTAAGTGCTTGATGTAGACAACACAACATCCATGACAAGAAATTAACTTCCGACCCTGGGTTACTAAATCGACGCGCTAACCACCGAGTTCTATGCAACGTTACTGGTTAGTCGTCGTATTCCTTTCAAGGACCTAAACTGCACATTTCACTATATTTATGTATGGTCGTCATCTTTTATGTTTATTAGCAATCTCTCGAAATTGTGCAATTACGTGATAATTCGATTCATCCCTGTTGTCTATACTTAATTTAATCTAAAGGTGTAAAAATACTTAACCTAATAAAATAACAACCAATCTGAAAAATGAATAGGAATTAGTTTTCATCTTTCCCTGGAACAAAACTCTGTCTAGCTCTAGAAATTGCTACCTAAAAAGGAAAACTTGTTCGTGTAGTCAGCTCTCCAGAAAGATATTGAACATCAATATGCGAGCACTTAATTACTGACAAACAGCCAATCAAAGCAATTAAGGTCAAATAACAGTCTATTAACTAAATGATATTTCCCATAAGCAATTCAGATGCATGTATTAATTTTTCTAAAATCTGGATCGTCGATCCGTCTTCTTGCTTATAGAAAATCTAACAACAAATTTGCAGCCAGAGACCTGTGGTACCAAATTTTGTTCACACCAAACAATAGCTTTTATTTTGAAACGCTATTTTTATCGTCGCCTTATCACCCCGTCAAGTAGTGACAAAACGCTGGTTTAAAACGTATCTAAGCAATATCGTACATAATCGAAAAATATAAATATGTTAAGTGATGTCTTAACCAACGTTGCAACTCTAACCGTTCCCGTGATTATACTACTAACAGGAGTACCATACCATCAACTTGCACTTTGACACCATGTATACTCATATTTTTCTCATCTACTTCATACGTTAGATTCTAGTCTAGCCACTACATAACACTATTCGCTTTTGTTGACCAGATTTTTAATATACACGTACATACATTTTGTGACGAACATGCAAATGAATTATGGCTGTTTGCATTTTTAATACTGTTATACTACACTTTTCCTGAAATATATTGGAAAAAACATTTAAAGAGTTCCTCTTCCCCATTTTATTTTTTTATGGCAGGGTTATTACATAAAAAGCCTATAAATTTCAAATTGTTGACCAGATAGCTGGTAGTGTGCAAGTAATTCATTCCGCGCCTGCTACAAGTGAGCACGAAATGAACGTCAGCTAGTTCCTAGTTTACATCTTGTAGGAGAACCTACATAATGCATAATGTCGTGAAAAATCTACAAAATTTCAAAAAAAAAACAACATAATGTTCTCAAGCTACATGATACCCCTGCGGGTCAAGTTAGCAACCTGAAATTCAGCGTGAAATTGAGGCGTACTAGATTTTAACTTAAAAGTGACAATTAGATATATCAAGATAGCAACTGTGCTCTATATTTTGAAACATTTTAAATGGAATGAGAAGTGCAGTATGTTATCTCAATCTTCTTCACTAAAACTGAATGGAAAATAATTTTGATATTCCTTATATGAATATTCATACACATTTCCAGATAGATCTTTTCGAGAGAATAACATTAATATACCATACACCTATTAATGTGGACAAAAACGCTCAAATTTAACAGCCTGCTAGTCCGTCATTTTGGATGACAGTGATTTTATATGACACCTTTATGAAAACACTTAAGGAGCGTCAAAATGGGGTATCAAATGTCTACCTGTTCTATCAAAAATCTTGTAACTACAAACTGTCACTCTCAAGTTCATGCGTGAATTCCATCGTACCGAATTGCAGCCTAGTAGCTTGACCCATAATGGAATCTCCTAATGTACCTAATGTTGAAAGTGAGCCTGAGCCTTATGCGAATGTCACACGATCAGTATTCACTGCGATCCGACAGTATTTATCATGGAATGTGATATTTATTGTGCAGCCAGGTCGTCAATAAGTATTAATGTAAGTTATGTACCAGTCTATAGAGAAGAATATGCTGAACAAGGACTTTTGCCTCCACGTTCCTTTCTTATCAGTTACAGTATTGTATTTCATTTGTTCTTTACTTTGGTTTGTATAATGAACTTTGCAGTCAGTCTCGATTCAGAACTCATTCAATTAACATCATTGTATTTGGTTATTCTCAAAAATAAATCTTTTTAAAAAAGTTTTCGTTGAAGAAAGATATTTATAAAGTTATGTAGAAACCATTGACACTGACGGAATGATAGATATCTACTGATGGTACGAGCCACAGTAAATACTGATCTTACATTCTCTTTAATGGCAAATATGCGAGGGCAAGATAAGGAACATTCATCCTAGGAAGTGGTCAGGGTTATAAGGCTGACTGATTGTAAGTTAGGGAAACGCTGCGGAGTTTAGAACCGTGTTACAACAAATTGTACAGAATTCATCTAGCCAGCTTGTATCATAGCTTGTTCGAAATATTACAATAATGGTTTATTTGTCGAGCAAATATTATTTTGAAAGTATTGGCAAGGTAGTGAATCGAATCGTTTGGAAAGATAATTGAAGACACCATTTGTAAAGAGCCTTATAAAAATTTTAAACACTTTACAGCTGAAGTGCAGCTCCGAAAAACTCCGACAATCAAAAGAAAAGACTCTCAGGAAAACGGAGAAGCTGGAAAAAAGAATAAGATTTTAGGTAACGGTTTTTTTGTTTCTATTCAAATTGGCAGTATAAATGGTTATTTGATATGGGTATGTGTATAAGCCAAAGGTCAATGATAATTTATGGTGTTTTCCACTGGGCATGCACTGGCGTATTTTAGCAATCAGTGATTCTTGCAACGTCGGTATCGATTTTGACAAAAATCAAGAACGGTGCAGTGCAGGTTGACTATTGGTCTGTTCCTCAACAAGTTATTTAATTGATTTACATGTCGTAGTTATCATGCTTCTTCCTACAATCGTGATAAATATTCAAAGTGTAGGAGCTAGTCGAATTCTTGCATAGTGTGCAAAACGGTGCAATAATTCTTACAGCAGAACACTCTGACAAGAAAAAGTGCGTAAATAGTGCAAAAGTGCCTACCAGTGGAAAACGCAATTAGATTTCTCATTGTTTATTTACTTTTGAATGATCTCTTTTGCATTCCAGCTACACTGCAAAGAAAAGATAAATTGTAGGTACATATTAACTGTGATATGGCTGTTACTGATTGCATATCACAAATAAACGAGACGTAAATACTCGGATGATTCCGATATTGATTAACATTCTACCTGGTTATACGGCATAAGACCCCTTGTCGCTCGACATCAACAAAGCTTTTGGTCCGGACTTGATCCCTGCCGTTGTATTGAAGAGGTGTGCAGCGCAGCTTGCTCCAGTTGATTGGCATATCTTCCAGATATCTTACGAATCCGGCACCTTCCCAGAAAAGTGGAAATTTGCTCATGCCCAAACCATGGCACAACTATCAGCTGTAGCACGCTCCACTCTTATGCAAACTTCCATCCTATGGCCTTCCAGAGAAGCTTTGCAGATGGCTGACTTTCTCTTTGGCCGCGAGATATCCGCCGTAGTTGACGGGTTTTCCTCTTCATCCCACAGCGTCAACGCGGGTGTTCCCCAGGGATCGCTCTTGGCTTCGACTCCTCTTACATATCAATAACCTTCTCTCATGTACGATTAATCCAATCCACAGCTTTGCTGATGACAGCACTCTACATCCATGAATTCAGAGCGACACGCCGATCTCTGCCGGTGAGCTGGAAAAAAAATAGCAGCGATTTCCTCTCTGACGAGAGACCTGAAAGTCATCAAGGTTTGGAGACGAAAGAATCTTGTACAGTTTGATGTTTCCAATACACAGTACTGTACCTTCCTAGCACTCATCCGGTTTCGATGGTTGGCGGAGTCTGCCAAAGAGCTATCCATTTCGGCTGGTCGTAGTAGAAATCACCTCGGACTAGATCTGGCAGGAACACATCTCGCCAATAGCGGCAGCTGCTGGGAAAAAGCTAGACTATGATGTTTAGGGTTAAGAAATACTTTTCTCCACATGACCTCCTCGCTCTACAGATGGCCCTGATAAGAACTAGCCTCGACTGCATTATTCATGCTCGATGCTCTCCAGCGGACTGGTCCATCACTCTTCTAACAGATTCTCTCAGGACTCTTTCGCACCGGCAGGCCGTTGGTAATTTTGCTTTCTTCTACCGCTACACCAACGCATTTTGCTCTGAGAAGAGAGCTCTCTCCATGATGCCGCCGCGCGATGTGCCTGCCAGACAGACCCGCATGACTTCGGCCTCCCATCCTAACCGTGTCAAACTTCGTACATCCAGAACTGGCCGATACGACCGCCCCTTTGTCCCTAGGGTATCGAAACAACTCTCAAATGTTGCAATAGAAGAATGTCATTTGGAGGCACATTCAGCGGACTCAAATGTGTCAAAGTCTGTATTTCTCTGTACTGTTTACCTCCAGTATAACTCTAGTTATATTATTTCTTGGAAATTCTAATTGATCTGCCTCTATTTTGACTCATTACATATTCAAAGATCTTCTTCAGTAATTGAATAATGAGACGGTGATATTTCAACTTTAATATCAATACTCATATAAAATACAGTATGAACATTAACCTCATATCTACAGCTAGCGTACAGCTTAGGAAGACCAACGTACAACCAAAAAAGGAGCCGCAGGATAATGGTGCCAAAGAAACTTTTTTCCAAAAACCGGCACTTAAACCAGTCCCTCAGGTTGAGAAATCTCCTCCCAGAAAGGATCACAAGCTGCACAACCTTCCTACATTACAAAAGGCTTCAGAGAGGGTGCTACCACCTAGAAAGCCCAGTAATGTCGAGACATCGTCTGAAGAGGAAGAGACCGAAGAAGAAACTAGTTCAGAGGAAGAGGAGATTGATAAGGTAAATACAAATGTTTTATAATTTCCTCAGCATCAAGACACCTCGATGAGAGTTCATCCATTAATAAAGCAGACTGGCTCTATCTCAACAGCTCAACCTAGTTATCAATTAAAGCATTTTATAGAAAAAAAACGGTCAAGACACATGCTGGAATTTATTTTCAGTTTCCTAAAATAACTGGTAGGGGGCATAATTCTAATTCTGGCCGCGCAAAGAGTTAGACGGAAACTGGATTGCAAGACAAAACTCTCAAAAATGGAGAAGCATCTCAGGCATGGAAACTCATCGTAGGGCCCAACGCTAAGGATGAACCCTTTTGCTTATCCTTGGATAAAGCCAACCTAAGGTTGCTGGTGAGACTGCTGTTTGGCCATAACACGTGGAGGCGCCACCTGCACGTGATGGCGGTGGTTAAGGATCCCTTGTATCAGCGCTTTGGCTCCCCCAGGTTGTTAAGGAGCTGGGACTCAAGGCCATACTCAACTTTGCTGGAAGGGCAAGGCTAGAAGTTTAGGGAATGTAGAGATACATAAGGGCCCATCTAAGTGGCCTATGCGCCGGCTCCTCACGGTGGTTGCTAATCCTCTAATTTCATAATTCATTCATTCAATTTCTAGCTTTGCATACATACATCTCAAGTAAGTGTATTAGAGGCAAGAGAGAAACCAAGGGAATTATCATCAACACAGATTATTAGCACCACAAATCCTCACTAAGCTCTTAAGCACTGCCGTTTCCATCCAGCTATAATACACAAGTTACAACTTAGACTTCCAATAATGTCACGCAGATGTTGCGTCATATTAGAGTCAAACCATGGTAGCTCTAGCGCCTTGACGTTTAGGTAACACGTACAGCTACACAACGAATGCACACCAACTGAACAGCTATACCCCATTCGTAGTCCATATACGCGCAGACAAAACACAACATGCCCAAAAGCGAGATTGTACAGGTCCGTATTTTCCTCAATTGTCTTGGAATAATCCAACAAAATAAATGATTATTTTTATAGAAAGAAGTGCACATACCTTTCACAATTCTTTATTCGCTGGAAGTACTTGAATCATCGTCCGAATGGTTAATATTAATTATTACAGGTTCAATTTGAATATCGATCATATTGTCCAGATCCCACATCTTTGTTTCGATTGTCTCTTGAACCTGATGGATGCAATATTTCCAATGGTTTGCCGTCACTCTGTTGACAGCTTCTTTAATACAAATTTTTCAAGTCAAAAAATTTGAATCTTCTATTGTTTAAAGTCACATAGTTTTTTATATTTGCCCAAATCATTGCAATGGCATTTAATTCGCAGTGATAAGGGGGTAGCCTTAAAACGGTCTTATTTTGGTTTTTAGCCATTTCGTCAATAACATTAAGATTATATTTATATTTCTGCTTCCTGACTAGATGGATAAGTTCTGCTTTAACCATATTTTCATTTAAAAATTAATGTCTTTTGATAGTGGCCATTATTGAATTTCTGCCTTTCTTGTGGACATTGTGGGATTTTGTTTTAGTTTTCTAATGTGGTATGAAGTATTATCAAGTACAATGACAGCATTGTCGTTAAGCTTTGGGAGCGTTTCTTCAAACCATCATTCAAATAAACTCCCGTACATTTCTTCATGCTAGTCGGTCGTTTTCTTTGACTCAAATCCTCATAGGGCAGTAGACACCAAGCCATCTTCACTACCAATGTGACAGATAATAAATCGTTTTCCTTTTCCTGGAAGTAATTATTTCATATAGGATTCAAGAAAACTAATAAAATACAAGCAGAGTTTGTAACAGGTGTTCCAAATCTACCAGATATAGCAAAGTTCAGTGTAGCTAAGTTTTCAACGTGAGCTCATAGATTCAGTCTACTTGACACCACAAATGACGAATTGGTTAGATACACGTACCTGATGGATTCTTTAGACCAGTGGTTAGTCTATCTAAGAAGGCTTGTCTTGCTGATTTAATTGTAGAATCAGTCCATACTTTAGGTTTTGTATGTCCTTCATGTATCCAGGTTTCATCAAAGTAATAAATCTCCCTGCCCTGGTCGCGGTATTTCTTTATTAATTTTGAATAATTTCTTCTCCATAAAATAATCTCCTGGCTGTCCATCAAATACTATTTCTGCCCCGGTTTCTATACTCAAAATGAAGTTTTTGAGTAAACTATAGAATGTGCTCTTTTTGAAAGTAGGCAAGTCTTCATTATTATTAACCTCGTGTAATACTTTGTCCATGGTGGGAAGCTCCTGCCTTTCAAACAATTGATGGACTTTGCGTCTGATGGCATTCCGACCAAAGTTATCAACTGTATCCAACAGCTTCGTGTAATGTAGCCTCTTGTGTGGTGGAGACAATTTTTTAACAATGTTGAAAATTGTCTTAGGACATAAGCCTGTTTTGTTCACCACACGTCTTTCAATATCATGAATTTTCATTTCAGAGTGCTCTAAAGCTTTTCTTCTTCTTCTTCAAATCTCTTCTAGTCACGTTTTCGAGGAGGAGACATCACTGAAGAGAAAGCTTGGCAGAAGGAAGCATTGGGAGAAATATTCGCAGTTGCGTCAGCGTCGGCGTGCCGGCGATACCCCGAGCCTGAGTTCTATCCTGTCGAATCCTGCACTCGTAGTTTTATGGCCAAATGACCAATAGCTATTGCCGCTTTGCCGTGCTGCATCTTTGTTGTGCCGAGGCGTAAATGGACTACAAATAGGGAATAGTTTCAAATTGACATCTTATAGGAGAACCTAGATAATGTTACAAAAAAAACTATATAATGTCAAAAAACCGACATAATCTCACTTTTCAAGATACGTAATACCAGTGTCTATCGCCTTTACCAAGTGGTAGATTTGAGAAAAGTAGTGGAATCGGTCATTGTTTTTCAATTAGTTTAGTTGTTAGGCATTATGTATAACAAGATTGTTACTTACTACCTGGTAGCTTTCGTTTATAACCGAATACAAATCTAGTTTGTAGCATTTTAATGCTGCATTCATTCACAAAAAAAATAGTTTGTTCAGTGCAGGTTGATCACCTTGATTCAAACCATGATTCGCAACGATATTTTGTCAAGATTGACATTTTAATTAATTCTTAAGACCGACTGCGCTATTAATAGCCAATTGGAGAGTGCCTCTATATTTAAACGAAAAATCTGCCACACCTCTCTCAATCACCAACACCGAAACTGAGTTCATAAAATATCGTGATACATGGTTTGAAAGTAGATGGAAATATTCAAGAACTGTGTTTCAATATTCTAACTGGTAGGTAAAGTTAGTTCTACTACATTGATACAATATACGATGTTACAGTCAAAACTCATAACCGGTCAAAACTACTTTTCACTGCAGAAATCAGTGTTGACCGATGTCCTTAGTCAAATGCAGCTTTGACTGATTTTTGTAATCCAATCATGAACGTAAAACACCATTCTGAGTTTCCTCTGAAGATTCCGTTTTTCGAGACATGACGGGCTTTTTGAATAAACCATATTCATTTAAATTTCCAGCCAACTCTAAGAGCATGGACATAACATACTTGGCTGCCTTCTTTCGGAAAATTTTAGTATTTTTAGTATTTTTGAAGCACAAAATGTAACACACCAGCATGTCGAACTTTTCTTCATTGCTAAAATGACCGCCTGGCATCTTTGACGGTAACACAGCAATATCAACAATACACAAGAATAACAAAATACTCGGTGACATGTACGAGCCCCTTCCCACTTCAGTTGGCCCATTTCAAGATTTGTACCAAAATATGCCTTTATAAACTAAACATGACGAAACTATCTACTTCTAAAACAATTTATTTTCTCATTTTAGATACACTCTAGTCGTAAAAAATACATATTTGAAACCACTTAGACCTATAACTAATAGAACATCTGAACAAATAAACAATGTGCGAATAAATGCGCGAAGTTAACAAAGCAACAACTGAAAGATTACCATTGGGTAACATCACCTTTTTTTATTACGGCTGTAATTCTTTGGGGAATAGTGTTAACAAAGTTTTGGCAAAAATTTAGTGTAAAACAATCCCATATTTCTTGAAGCTTTTGTCTCAGTTCAGTGATTGTACGAGCAGGATGTTGTCGTAGAACCTTTTTCATCTCGTGCCACAAAGTTTCAATAGGTGATAAATCTGGACTGCTAGAAACCCATTTCAAAAGTGGTACATTATTTTCTTCCATCCATTTTATAGCCTTTTTTGAGGTATGGCACGCTGCACCATCTTGCTGAAACACAAAATCTTGGCCGGATGTCAAACATTCTTCCATCACTGGTAAAAGCGATTCTTCTAAAATTGCCAAATATTTGTTTGTATCCATATTTCCATCAATAAAATGAAGTTTTCCTACTCCTTTTGATGACACTGCCCCAGACCATAATGGATGCTGGAAATTTCACTTTTCTCTTCAGACAGTCAACATGGAATGCTTCATTTTTTTGCGAATAACTCTACTGCGACTGTCGCCAACACAAACTTCGAATCGGGCCTCATCACTCCATTGTATTGCACACCATTGTTGAGGTGTCCCTTGTCTATGTTCTTTAGCCCATCTACGCCGATTTTTCTTTTGCAGTGGAGTTAATAGTGGCTTTTCTTTGGCCTATAAACAAGTTGTGCAACTTTAGGGTTTTTACTTCACTTTTTTTATAAGAAAACTTACCTTGTAAGTGCTAAATTCTAGTTTGTGGGCCTCTCTATGAGTTGTGGACCTCGAAATTCTCCTTCCAACAGCGTCACTCCACAGAGCACTTAATTGGCACGCCTGTTTTTCACGATTATTCTTCTTAATGCTCTTCGGTCGGCATTTGTGGTATTACTTTTTTTCACATATCGTGGCTTAATATTAACTGAACCAGTTACGTTATATCTTCTAACAATATTTCTCACACTGTACCGCGATAAGTCTAACAAAGTTGCAATTTCCCAGAATTAAAAAATTGAATTATCAGTAACCGAATTTTCTCACTAATAACCTTTCCTCTACCCATTTTAAAAACGTCAACTACCCAAAACTATTTTAAACGTATTCTGACAGCTGTGATTAATAAAAACAATTGTCATGGCTTTTATTTTTCACAGCCACCTATGCGTTATAGACTTATTTTGCATTGAAATGAAAATAGGTTGATATGCTGTAAAAGCCACATGTGTTATTTTTATGCTGCAAATTTGATTAGGGAGTGATAAAGTTGGTGTTTTCTACTATAGATTAACAAAATATTCATTGTTAATATTTTAAACCTATAACACCCTGCGACATTTTTATTATTTGTGTTTGATGAGAAAAAAAACTAAGATTTCAATAGTTGGGCCAACTGAAGTGGGAAGGGGCTCGTATTTACGTAAAGTCAAATATCTAAAAAAACGCATTTTTCCTTATAATCTATAAGATATATTCAACATGTGATACATCGTTGAATTCGTATGAAAAAATGCTATTAGATACAGGGTGTACTTTTTTCGGACCATATAAAAAAATTAAGTTGATGGTGGTTTCTCAAAAAGGGCATAAAATTCAAAAACATTAACATGTGGTGCCTAAAAAGTACCAATTATTTTTTATATTCCTTAAAATTAAGTCCAAAACAAAATAAAAACAATTTTGCCAAATTTTAGTTTCTCTCTTCTAAATATCACAGTAAGTCATGAAAATTTTCTCAACGGCATGTAAATACGCCCAAAAGAATGCAACTTTTTTCTAATTCAACCTAAGCTGTATCTCTCACAGGATCTTATCCTGGTCACCCTGTATCCTCAAATAAACATTATTATTATCATTATAAATACGTATTATGAGTATCCGCAAATTAAATGTGTAATTATTCTAATTTCTTATCAAATAACTGTGAATTATGTAGGACTTGCCAACAAAACGCAATGCATTGGTGAGGAATGCTTCTATGAGAAAAATGTCCCAAGGAATCGTTCCCCCACCACCGCCAGCTCCGGGTATGCCTCCACCGCCACCCATGATGCCCGGAGAACTACCGAAAAAACCCATTACTGCAAAACAGAGGTCCAGACTGGATAAACTCAGGTAAAAAAGAGATGAATCCCAAAAGTATGGCGTCAAGTAGTTTGACTCTGCACTTCCCATCCAATTCTATAGAGCACATTCGGTCAACGTAAAGCGGTCCAGCAGCGCAACATCTTTATGCTGAATAGCAGTAGCCATGAGATTTTTCACGTGCCTGTCAGATTTGATAGCAGAACAACATGCTGCATCGTTGGACCTGTTTACGATGGACGAGCGCGCTCACTGAGTCATCATGATTTTTCATTATACAACACAGAATAATCTGTAGTGAGAACCTGTTGAAGCGAAAGCGAAGCTGATACAGTGCCTCAGCACAAAGCAGTTTTCTTCCACAAACCTATCAAAAAGTACGTCAATGTCATGTCAATTTTTTTTGTTATCCCCAGTTCCAACCTAGTGAATCCATTTTTTAATTTCTTCAGTGACAGGTAGTCAAAAACGCAAAAATTAAATGGAGCGACCTGTAAAATTTAAAATTTTGAGATTCCACTTCTTACAAGCTAGGCTTGACAAGCGCATATCAAGGATAGAAAAATATATGATCCATGGAAACAAAGAACAAATAGTAGATAAGTTACAACCTACCACACAGAATGTAGGTAATCTCATAAATCGATGATAGAGTGTAATGAATGAATCGTTGACCGCTAAACAGTACGAGAGCTGTAAGTTCACACATGGACACCACAAGGCCAAACAGTCTCGATAACTTAGAAAATGATTTTGTAGCTGTCATTATTGATAGACAGTATGAAGCCGAACCAAAATCAATATGGCAGGGTAGACACGGGAATAAAGAAAATCACTTGAATTTAATGCGTGTCTACATTAAGGTTACGAGAAACGAAACTGGGCTTATTGGCTTTGGTGCAGAATTGCTTCGAAAATGGCAGATTATGTACCCGAACCATGTCACTACAGCTCAAGCTCTGTCAGATTATGTAAGACACATAAGAAAGTACTGTCGAAAGCAGAGCTACACCAGCTAAAACATGCGTCGGCGACAGAACAAAGTCTTGGATTAGAGCACCATAAAAATAGGAACATCCGGTCTCCTTGCACCAGTGATGCACAAATCGATAAGTCAAGGTATGCTCGGTCGACAGGATAGATAGGAACCTGTTTTTGTATGACAGCCTGCCCCCAAGAGTAAGACCGCCGCTACCCGTTTTACCAAGGAGATACAGATCTGCAGACATCACAATGCAAGCAAATAAAGTACTTCCAGCTAGACTAAGGCCCGTATCGTCAGTCGTCCCTACAATTGTAGGGCGTCTTTATGGCCTCCTTGATTGTCATAGTTTTCTACTTCTTCGTGTCAGAACTCTATTTTGAGGTTATGTCACAAACATCTATTTGCATCAAATTGTGCTTGCTTTTGAGTTATATCATGTTTTATCAGCCTGAAATTTCCTACAGTTTAAAAAGAAAACATATCTTCACAATACTAGAGCGCTGACGCTGACACGGGACAAGTGTAATCTAGAAATTTTTGAAGGAGAGAAAGGAGTATGACAATCAAGGAGGCCACAAACGCGCCCTACAATTGTAGGGACGACTGACGATACGTGCCTAACACAGGAGATTACATTGCTTCATACCTACCACCTTGTATAGCCTACAGCAATGGCAGTGGTTGAAGAATTGGATATACAGTTCGAAATAGAACAAAGGGTTAAAGAACATAAAGCACCGTCATGAGAAAGAAGATTGGAGAGTAAAATAGAATCCTTAGAGGAAAGATAGGCTTAATAGTTACAAACATGGATGCTATAGCACCGCCTGCGGCTCAGTAAAGTATAAAGGCAGAACGCACGGATACCGTGAGAATAGAATGTTCTTTGAGGTACCAATGAAGATTTTAGCAAACGCTTTTTGGATAAAATTATGATGCGCAAATGCCACAAGACCAAGAAAGCCAGCTTATGTCAAATTTCTGTGCGGGAGCTTGGGAGAGAGAAACAGAACGATGATCAGGTATAGGTAACAGTCTTCAGTATCATTCTTAGAATAAGATGTATCGGTGTGGTTGAAAAATATGTCTGATTGGAAGTCCCCTGGAAGCAACAAGCTACATTTTTTTTGGTGATGAGGTTCAACTCTTTACACTAGCATGCCGCCAAAGAGTTCCAAAACATCTTGAACGAGCCTCAGTTAATGCCTGACTTCATAACAGTTGGCATCACTTATATATTACCAAAGAAAGCGGGGAGTTTGGAAAGACTTCAGACCTTCCACATTTCTACCAGTAATACACAAGGTATTGTCAACAATAATAGCTACCAGAATCAGAAGCCACGTAGCTCAGCAGCATGTCATGGCACCTGAACAGAATGGATGCAAGCCGGATGGAAGGGGATGCCTAGAAGCTCTTATAGAGGACTCCTTCCTTTCACACTTGGCAATAAGTACTCGCAGAGACCTATTTATCGTTTGGATTGAATATAAATAGGCGTCTGATAGTGTTCCCCACTCGTGGTTGGCATATGTCTTAAGGTAGATCAAAGGACTTGCGACCTCTTGAAGCTCCTCATGTCTGTGCCTATGTTCACATATACAGAGGCAAAAGAAACTGTTGAAAAGCTTCACAATAGACTGCTTGCAACATGAAGAAAGATACAAATATCTACGGAAATTGATACCAACCAAGCTAAAAATCTGATAGCCGTGAAATTTGGGGCGAGAGAAAAACAAGCGCAGGCAATATAGTACAGGCTCTCAACGCAAGGGCATTTCCAGTTATGACATATAGATTCGGGATACTGAATTAGTCAACCAATAACTTAAGTAATATGGACATCAGGGTAAAAACAACTCTTACCAAATTCTTCTTATCATGTTAAGTAATCTATATGTAATTAAAATATGTATATTTTCAAGAAAATTGGGTGGTAGAGATCTACTGAGCCTGGAGACTATCGGGACAGATCAAGAAAAGGCTCTAAAATATTTTTTATGGATTCCCAGCTACCATTACACGTAGCAGTTAGTGGGGTAGAAAGCTTTCACACAATCTTCAAAAGCCGGGATGAACAGCACACCAGTGCCACACAGATCAAGGAGAAACGCTGCATGGAAGATTATATCACTCCATACACGACACAAATGCAAACACTGAGTAATCTTTACTATATTTGAGACGCAGACATCTATTCCGGAGACAGAAGGAGCCCTGCATACCATACAGGATCAAGTAATCCCAACTAGAACTCTTTTAAAGCTTGTGCACAACTTTGGCACCGATAAGTGTCGCAGGTGTGATGCTGCCTCAGAATCCATGCAGCATGAAAACATCAAAAATAGAATGTAACCATTACCAATTATTATGACCAACGCAACAGTTCAGCATAATCGTACTGACATTACTGATATAGATCGGATGAAAAATATTGACATAGCCGTACCTCTTGACGATATCCTGGATTCTCCCTATCAAACAAAGTAAACAAAGTACGAGCTGTTGTCTTATGAAATGAATAGTTCTTTGTTTTTTTGGTCTTCCGGGTTTTTCCACCTCGAGGATTCACTTTTGCTGCTCTTGCCTAATCAGCCATATGTATAGCTGTGTGGAAATATATAGAAAAGTCATGATGTTGACAATGGAACTCGAAAAAAAACTTTAAATTTCCTAACAAAAAAATTGAATGATAAAATTATTTTTGAGCCCCCATAAACTTCACAGTATCTGGTAAAAGCAAAGATTTGTGTTAGATTAACATATGTACTTTTGCCTGTAGTCTTTCAATTCACTGGAAAGGAATGTTTGAATTGATATCAAACGAATAAACATTAATGATGAGATTGTATGGCAGCAAAAGCATTTTTACCACACCAAATAAGTTAACGTTTTATCAAATATTATCTGAGATTTACCTATATCAAATATGTTATTAATTGATACTTGAAAATAAAGTGTTTTGTATTTTGACGTATAATTATTTATTCTTTTAGGTCAAGGCCAAAGAACAGACCTGACTGGAACAACTTGCTGAAGGAAATAGAATCCAAAAAGAAACTAAAACATGTAGTGTGCAATGACAGATCTCAACCTCTTCTCCCCGAAGCCAAAGCTCCAGACGAACACTTCTTGTACAAAAGTGAAGAGCCGAATGTTCATAATGAATTACTCAAACAGGTATGCCTAATCTTTAAATTATTATTTTGCACGTTGAAATTCTGTTTTCTGTAACATACTGTATAATTCAAATTCGATCCGCACAACTAGGATTTTGGAAGTCGGTTAAAAATAAGAGCAAAGTTGAGTATTTATGTTACTGAAGAAACGGCACATTCAAATTTTATAATAACATTTCGTCCAAACCAGATTATTTCTCAAACATGTTTTAGCATATTATTTAACTTAGGGACATACTATAAAAACGCTAAGCACGACGTATTTTTAGCGTCGGTCTAACGGATAAATGGCATTTCTGATGTACAAATTATACGAACTACTATACCCGATAAATATTTTCCTGAATCTCATATTTTTGCAGATTGAATCCGGTATCAAGCTGAAAAAGGTTAAAACAAACGACAGAAGTAAGCCTATGTTAGATGGGCTACGCAAGATCCGCAGGCAAATGACAATAGAAGAACAAATACAGAAATCTATATCTATGGCCAGTATGCCTCCAGTAAGTAGACACATCTTATCTCTTATCGATTATAAGAAAAAAAACTGTCAAAGGTATGTGAAATATGTTGGTAGTAATAATAAATGTTCTGCAAAATAATAAAATACATGTACGAAACTGCGACGAATGTAGGGAGAGCGAGACAGAGAGAGAGATAGAAGTAACGAGTAGATGTATGAAAAATTCTCTTTATAGGATGATGAATTTCAATATAACCATTTATAACAACAGATATAATAGAAGCTCTCTTAACATCATGAAGGAGATGTTTAACCAAATCCGAAACATGGTCAACTGAACCAAAAGACAATACATTTGAATGTTTGATTTATAAAATAACTATTTTTCTTTAACTTGGGTTTATTTTCTATTCCACTATTCTATACTACAAACACACATGTTAGCTTCAATGTATGCTCAAAATGGAAATATTCTGAAGGAGAATTAAAACATAAATCAAATCCAAGCGAATAACCAAAATTTCTGTTATGTGCCGCGGTTATAATATGGTTCAAGATGACACATGGGTTGATGACGTCAGTTACATGAAACACTTGAACGCGTTGGTTTTAATCGCGGTTTTGTTGCAAGTTTCATAATATTCATGGGAGAAATGTTTTTTTTTCAGAAAAATTTTTTAATGATGGAACCATGGTTTTGTAGCTATGATAACTTTCAATTCTCTAAATTTTTGCGCATGTCAAAGAAAACATTTATTGATTTAGCAGAAATTATGAAAAAGCGATGAAAAAAGATATTAGCAAAACCGTATACAGGTGGACATCATCCAGTGAGTTTATATGGCCATATTTTAATATTCTTGTGGTATATGGCTACACAGGATACTTTGTCAAGCATAGGAACTAGTTTTAAATTGTTGCCAACAACAGTAATGAGTATAACTAATAAAGTGCTCCACTTTATGCTAACACTGAAGTCAGCCTGTATCAAGTTTCCCAAAAATGAAGCTGAAGTACAATAACAATATCCAATACCCGGCCAAATTCTAACTTGTCACATTTCCAATAATAACCTGAAATATAAAACTGCTCCTGAGTTGGGTAAATACCACAATTTTGCGGTGATAACTATGGCATATAACAGCTGATTCATGACGTCACGGATCTTATAACCAAACTGATAACCACACTCGCTTGAACGGATCGGTAAATACCAACCCAAAATGGTAAATACCATTTTCAATTGGTTATCCGCTTGAATTTGATTATACAGTTTTTTTCCAAGGTTTTACTCTACCTTTTATTCGGTTAGTATATATGTCTGAACCAGTTAGCTTTAACCACCGACTATAAAGAGAATTGAACCGAAATTTTATATACTTACACGTTTGGTTGCCATGACAATACGCGATAAACTAAACGCGACCATAAAAACAATTCATTACAAACCTTTATTATATCCCTGTAAATAGTTGTTATAGAATCAAAACTTTTGAATTCAAAAAAATTATTTTGGGATATTGTTTGAATTCCATAAAAACAAACATTCGATCATTATAAAAATTATGAATATACTATAAATAAAAATAAACAAATAATTGTTGCAGATCCAAAATTATATCATAACTTACCAAAGTATATTAGAAAGAACGGAATATCATTATTAAAAATATATACTAAGTGACATATAAATCCGAACACCCAGTTTAAATGGTTTTATTTTAATAAAAGTTGGTGAATGTATTTATCTTACTGTAAATAACAAGTGAAAAAATGTTCAGCCTTATCAGTTGGACATTCCGGTTTTTATACTGCTTGTTTTTAATTCACTAACGCTCTAAAAATGAATATTTCAGCCGCAGTAAAGAATCAACGTTGGCGGATTTTGGTTCTTGACATCCTTTACGATCGGTTACGATGCCTAGAGTACGGAGACCTGTACGATTTCGTCAACTTAGTGAGTTTGATAGGGGCCGTATAGCGGGACTTCGGGAAGCTGGACTTTCTTTTCGGGCAATTGCAGTTAGAGTGCAAAGAAGTGTAGACACTGGGGTTAGGTGTTGTCAGGCATGGCTTCGAGAAGGCCGTGCGCAAAGAGCAAGGGGCACTGGACGCCGCCGTAGAACAACAGACCGTGAAGATCGCCGCCTAAGATTATTGGCCTTAAGGGACCGTTTCTCCACTACCAGGTCCATTGCAAATGAATGGTTTGCAGAATATGGAAGACCTATTGGCATGCGAAGTGTTTACTGACGAATGAGAAGTTTTGGCTTGTTTTCATACCGGCCACACTGGGTCCTCCCTTTAACTCGAGAACACCGACGTAATCGCCTTGAGTGGTGCAGACAACGGTCACTCTGGGATCAGGAATGGAACAGTATTGTCTTTAGTGACGAGTCTCGATTTTGTTTAGGCATGCACGATGGTCGTGCCAGGGTTAGAAGGCGACGTGGTAAAAGGAGGAATCCACACTTTTTTGTTGAAAGACATGTTCATCACACTGTTGGAGTTATGGTTTGGGGTGCTACAGCTTATGGTTCCAGGTCACCTTTAATCTTCATCAGCGTTATATCCACGAAGTTCTAGAACCCGATCTTTTACCCTATCTTGACACCCTGGCAGATCCAACTTTCCAACAAGATAATGCCCGACCACATGTTGCAAGAGTCACAATAGACTTCTTTCAACATAATGATGTCACATTGTTACCACGGCCACCAAGATCTCCCGACTTATCCCCAATTGAACACGTGTGGGATATGATGGGTAGGAGATTGCTCAATTTGCAACGTCCTCCTCAGACTCTAGAAGCACTTCGAGAGGAGTTGGTGGTTGCCTGGAATGAGATACCATAGGAGGACATTGACCACCTGATCAGAAGCATGCCTAGGCGCGTTGGAGAATGCGTAGCACATCAGGGTGCATCCACACATTATTAAAGGTCAAAGGGCTTTAAAGCAGTGCAATCATTTTTAAATTTTTATCATTTACTTATTATGCTTCATTAAGTACTTATACTTATTAAAATAAAACCATGGGTGTTCGGATTTATATACCACTTAGTATAGATTTATAGGCTATTGAATACTGATATGAGCATGATGTATTATTATTTTGACTCCAACATGGCGAATCATACAAAATAGTAATATATCATCGCAAATAATGCATAAATAAGTACAGGGTGAACAGGAGCCGTTTGGTTTCTGCTTCTATGTGCCATGAACAACTTTATACAATGGCGTTTGAGTTTTCATTTCTTTTTTGCGTTTCTCGAATAATTTCGTGTACAAATTGAATTCTAAGTTGATAGATCACGTTATATTGACACTATCCTGTGTAGTAATTTTCAAAAAGGTCTCTCTCTCTCTCTCTCTCTCTCATGGTTGAGCATTTTGTATGTACCTTATATCGTTTATGATCCAACACCTAATCATCAAAACGATGTAATATAATATCAGTATGCTTTCTCTTAAAATAATCGTATTTCAACCAATTGCTATCAATGTAATCTTCCATATTTCATTGCATATTCGAAAACATCATTTCAAAACAAGAAGATTGATATAACATACAAAAACTTTGACAAGCCGCCGGTCCACCATTGTGAAAAATAACCTTTTTGTATCCTAGGGTTATATAAAGTAATTATAAAGAGCTTCAAAATTCAAAGCCACCCTGAAATTTTCAACTATCGCTTTGACGCTGAATTACCCCCAATTTCAACTTGCTAACTTGTACCGGCCAAAGAATAATTTGGGGTGCGGACCTTTCTGAAAAGCTATATTGTGACTGTATCATCAAGTTCAGTTCACTATAATTACTGCATATCTTAAATTCAATTCTAGGAGGAGATACTACCCGACGAAATTGACGAAATGGACGACATTGACAAAGTCAGAGATGACCTGCAGAGTACCAAGCAAATGTTAGCTTTGGAGATGAGAAACAAAGAAGCTCAAGAACGTGAAAATAAAAGACTTCTAGCTAAAATTCAAAATCTCGAAGCTGAGCTTGAGAAAGAGAAAAGTAGAGGAGGTGACAAAAGCGGCAAAGGTAGCAGCGCGGCTGACGATAAAGTAAGTATAAGATTAAGTAACAATTAATCACCCACTCCAATATCATTTTATTAGTATCTCATCCACATCTGATCTCTTAAAGTATTTTCTGGTATCTAGGAAACCAGACATGACAAACTTAAAGACCTACCAGACCTTAATTAAAATCAAATGTCCTACGGACAGTACTGACAAGGCCGAATAGAGAGATAAAAACTGCTTGGTACTGCCTAACGACACTTTTGTGTGACTGGCTTTGCAAAAAGTGATTAGGGAGCTTTCGGTATTCAGTTAGAACCGATCAAACAATTTAGCTGCTAATGGTCGTTACTAGATTGCAAATCAAGTAGATGTTAAGTAAGTTTCAATCAACATTTGGTGTAGATAGTTTTTATAGGCTACTAAACCTTAATGGATTCATTATTGCCAACATTACAAAACTGACACAAGAAGGTTGTTTCAAATCAGTTATTTAGACATTATAATGCTGAAGTATGCTGGTAAATAGGATTTTAATTATTTTTAAGTAAATTTCAAATTTTCATTCACGGCATTAAGATTACCCATCAAGTATGAATTAGTTTTCTAGCTGAAATGTATCCTCTTGATCCCTTCTACTAATTGTCTGTATACAATGTTTGATAAGTAATGAGACTGACCACCGTGCGGCACGCCAGTCTCTGTTGGTTATATCTGAGCTAATAACACAACCTGCCTGCATTTACATTGAATCTCTGTCGTAACAAGGGTGGTGCTCTACCGAAAAGTTGTTTACGAACGCTAGAGCAGCGATACGTAATCAAATTTTGCTTTCGAATGCAGTTTTATGTTAACTTGTTATATGTCATCTAAGATTGTCGAAATAATGTTTCGATTAATTAACGTTGCGTTCGGTATTCTAATTCCAGATGAGAAGAGATCTTGGTCATGCAACCGTAGATCGCACAAAAAAATCTGTAAAAAACAAACGGAACGCAGCTGTTGTAAGCTTTTGTAGTGTTTTGTAAAATAAATATCTGAGTTGTCCCTTGTTTTGGAAAAGACAATTTTTGTGTGTTAACGACTATTTATGTGCTGGTGGCTTCTCGAATATTTCCTTGTTTGCAATAATAAATAGCTCCTGATCAAGTTGCCGCCAAATCATCATGAGCCTTACTTGAAAAATCAGACATATCATAGATAATTGAAAATTATCATTCATGACTAAACTGAATCCAAATTCAAGATGAGATGTAAATAATAACAGTTAGCGCGTGATCTCTCGGTAACAGGTGGGGATAACGCCTCTTATTGGTCAATTCGCCATTAAATTTCAAGCGGTCGCCTGGCGGAATAATGCGCGGGGCAGGGGCAGGGCAGGCAGAGTCGCACTCAGGCCACCGTCCGTCGCGTGTATCACTGCGTGCTCGTGTTTTCGTATTCACCTTGCTTGGTTGTTGCTGTTGTAGTTGTTAAGTGTATTTGAGTAATTTGTTAAGTTTCTGTTTCTGTTAAATACTGTCATCTTTGTTTTACAACACGTTGGTGGTAGTCCGTCATTCGGAGGTAGCCCTGAATGCGGCCCTGTACGCCGTCCTTGCTTTTGGCAATCACGCATCCATTCTCTCTTGGGTGTAAATACACCAGAGAGTCGCATATTTTTCAAGTACCTATATTTCGGTAATAGATTCTTATCATTCATATGTAATTAAACTAGGCTAAAGACGAAATATGCATATGAAATTATTTGAAAAACATATATTTTTTAAGGTGATACAGTCTCTGAAAAAGGAAGTTGAAGAGGCAAGAAAAACTGGCAAAGAATTAGAAAAGAAGTATAATGTTACGGCCGAAGAACTGGATTCATCGAAAAGTATGGTGGAAGACTTGAAGAGGCAAAACTCTATGTTAGAAAAGAAACTACAAGAAGCACAATCAGGTTGTATAATAATATTTTTGATCACTGAATAATGCAAATCACATTGTTAATTTTTACAAAGAAGGATTTTTCATGCGACGCTTTTAGAGAAAGTGTCAAGAAAATATGCCTAATATCGCAACCGTTTCAGTTCTTAGCCTAGCAGAGGTATGCAAATAATCGGGCACCTTTATTACTGTAATGGTCAGTATGCTGGTTCCAATTTTCACAAAATATCTCCGTAGTAACAAAGTAATGTAGTAGAAAATATACCTACAATAAACAGGTAATACGGTGAATAACACGGAATAGGCTGCCTGCCCACTTGAATTCTTTGCATTTGTTTTTAATTATTAGGTGGTCGCGTGTACACTCATAACTATGCCTATTTTTATGTAAATATAAATATGCCTTCCTCCTGAAATCATTTGAAACTGAGTTTTGTGGATGGAACAATACAATGATTTCAGTTCCTGTTAGCCCTCCGAATGTTTGAAGAGCACTAAATAATTAATAATTAAACGCCAACGACCTGAGCTAACCCACAGAAAAAAACTCATTTTTCGACTAGACGTAATTCATCCTTCCAGAACTATACGGTTTCCACATTTATTTGCCATGCACCAACATATAAATCCTCATTATTACCTTTAAAACAATATTATTGTATCATTATTTACCAAGCCAGTTCAAAGACATGTCGCTAATAAAAGTTAAATATAATTTAAAATATCACCTTCTGCACATAGAGTTATAAGCATTTCTGTTTTCTCAGTAATTTTATTGCTGGAGTAATCCAGCACAAAACGCCATCTATTACCAGAATCTACCACTGCGAGAGTCTAAAGTTAGAACTGTGAAAATCTGAGATCGCACTTAATAGCCCAGTCACCACTATGAACTCTAGATGGCAGGCGATTCTGACATATAGTAGATGTGGTCTTCTCGCCATTGAACTAAACATGCTGTTCAACGGAATCGCGAATGACAAAGGAGGAGTATGGGCTGCTTGAAAATACCTTTTTCTTTGTTATTGACACCCTTTTCCAGTACTCGTCTTAAAATCAAATAACTTATCAAAACCGACAGCACAGTACCAAGCGATGTCAAGGATCACAAAATGAAATTCCAGTGAGACATGCGAGATTCGAAAATTGCTCCCCAATTTTTGTTAGTCTGAATATTGCACATACGTTCGTTTTTTCATATCTGGCTACAAATTGTTGGTCTCTACTCACTGTATGTGTGAGCGTTCGCTGAAAACGAGATATTTTCAGCAATCTTCTAAAAAGGCACAACTTAAAAGCTTTTAATTTTCTCGTGCGAGCAATGTGTAATGTCACGCGTCCTCGCCACAAAGCAAAACAGATTAAACATAAGGTTTAACTATCCTACCTATAAATGGGTTTTTTCACTACCATCCTGAGGATTCACCTTTATCGGCCGCAAACCACCGACGGGAAGTAGCTTTTCTCTCTCAATATGAATAATAATGATAAAAAAAATCTAAGTTAATCATGAATGTTATTTAAAATCGTATTTTGTCTATTTCGTTATGTCATTTTGACAACTCAAGCTCAGATTTCGGAATATTCGAAAACAATTGAAAAATAAGTAATGTTGAGAATAACTTCTCATGTAGCTATCCTTGCTGAATACCCCAATAAATTGCATAATATTGGGAAACGGCTTTCAATATAAACAGAAAGAAAATACAACCAACCAACATTTGAACCTTATTTCTCGTAAAAATGGGATAGTCGTAACTGGCTGTCTGTTCCATTCATTCTTTAATGTCCCAAAGTACTCGCCAGTTATCCTAATATCGATATTAATCACAATTTTGACAAAGTGACAGACAAATAAGTTTTTATCTAGGCCATTTCACCTCCCACACATTAGCCATATAAACATTGTGGTCACGGAAATTTTTGAATTCCAGGAAACAAGTTCTTTCTATTTTTTATTTTGCGAAAATCCATGTACAGACTTGCGGCACAAAAGTTCTTACTAAAACGCCAAGAGAAAAACGTGTAAAATGTTTTCAAGTTACTGAAATGGCCGCTAGGGGGCGTATCTGCAATCTTGAATCTAAAAAAGTGACGTTTCTGTGAAAGTCGAAGATAATGTGAACTTTTTTTGTTTTTCAATTTCTGCTATACCTCTAAAAATAAAGAGCTGGGGGTACTCGGTTTTCCGTAAAAAAACACCCTGTATCTTCGAAACGGCTGAGCCGATTTTAACAAACTTGGGCTAGTTGAAACGAGCTATTCTTGGGCTACAACTGTTATGATATTTGAAGTTTAGTTTCACATGTGGCCGCTAGAAGGTTTTTTGAGATTTCCAGAAAATTGGTTAATTTTCTCAAAAACATAAAATGCTCTGGTATGATCTTTTTGGTAAAAAGGTAGCTAAATGATGTCTAAAAACCTAAAATTTAGGTCAGAGAAAATTTTATACGGAAATCCCTGAAATTTTTATTTTTTTTAACTATTTTTTCTGGAATTTCCTTTTATTACTGAGTTGTGGTCCTAAAAAGGACCGATGTAAAAAAGACAGGTTTTTAATGCAGCGGCTCGAAATGCCGACCATCACGCTCTATGCATTCCTGAAGCCTCTCATGGGTAGACAAAACTGCATCTTTAATTTCGGCTCTCGGTGTGTTATGTACGAGTATGAAGAAAATCATACCAATTCATTTAACTATTTTTAGAAAATTAACTATTTCTGTCGGACTGTCGAAAAAAGTATTCTAGCGGCCACATGTGAAATAAAACTTCAAATATTATAACATTTGTAGCCCAAGAAGAGCTCTTTTCAACTAGCTCAAGTTTGTTAAAATCGACTAAGCCGTATAAAAAAAATTATACCAATGCATTTAATTTTTTTTTAGAAAATTAACCATTTCTGTCGGACTGTCGAAAAAAACACTCTAGCGGCCACATGTGAAATAAAACTTCAAATATTATAACATTTTTAGCCCAAGAAGAGCTCTTTTCAACTAGCTCATGTTTGTTAAAATCGGCTAAGCCGTTTCAAAGATGCAGGATGTTTTTTACGGAAACCTTTGCATACCTCCCACCACTTTATTTTCTGAGATACAGTAAAAACTGTCAAACAAAAAAGATCATCCTCGAATTTGAAGATTAGGTATTTTTTCATTAGCGAAATTCACAGAAACATCACTTTTTTAGATTCAAGATTGCAGACACTTGAAAATATTTTACAGGTTTTTCTCTTGGCTGTTTTAGTAATAACTGTTTTGCCACAAGCCTCTACGATCAATAGGTTCACAGATACAATACCTCGCATTCTTAGCTGGCGACCTTGTAATATTGGACACAGCTACACCGATTTTGATGACATTTCGGCTACTTCACTCTGAGGTCATAGTAGGTAATGACACTACATCATTTGTAGAATCTGTATAAATACTGAATTTCAACTGAAATATTTGCACGCGTGGCATTTGTTTCCGCATCATCATGTAACACTGTAAATTCTATTTGCTATCCTATTAAATTTAAGTTATTTTTCATTTATAATTCTAGGGGGCGTTAATTACAATCCTGGTTTTTCGGATCTCTTACCTTTCACTCATGAGCGAGGTAAGATGTTTCTTGATTTTTCTTGTGATGTCTAACATTTCAAAAATTCATGTCACCTATCTCCGTCAGTCTGTCTGTCCGTCTGGTGTTCGGCATGTTTGTTAGTTCTTCGATCCATCTGTCTGTATGTTGGAGTCTTAGTGGAATTTGGGCTACAGCATGTTGTGGGGTCATGACACGTAGTGCTACTTCATTTTTGAAAGCCGAAATGATGATCAAAAAACGATCATTCTTCAGACGTTACCAAGCTTTACGTACAGCTACAAATTAAATACAAATTGTGTAATAATACAGCACCGTATTTTATCAAATACGTATGCACCCAGTTAGGTATGCGCTGAGAGTGAAACAGTATAAGGTATGAGTAATTTGTTTTAATTAATTCTGTGAAAAGATTTTTCAAGAAGCTTTCTAGAGACGGTCAAATCGAAGACAATTTCATTGAATAGTGTTCTATACGAGGGTGATCCCAGAAGTACCCGAACCAACGAAGAAAACACAAAAATGTTGTAAAAAATGTATCTTTTTTCAACATAATCTCCTTTGAGCTCTATACAGTTTTTCCAGCGATGTTCAATAAGTTCGATACCCTTTTTATAATAAGAACTGTCTTGCTCCTCAAAATAGCCATTAATTGTCGACATCACTTCTTCATTGTTGGAGAATCTTTGACCACTGAACCATTTTTCCAAGTTTGGAAACAGAAAATAATCCGATGGGGCTAAATCTGGTGAATAGGGTGCATGAGGTAGCAATTCCAACTTTCATTCGTTAATTTTGACCATTGCAATGAGCTGGTGCATTGTCTTGATGAAACAACACTTTGTTCTTAACCAAATGCGGCCGTTTTTGCTTGATTTCATCGCTCAAACGTTGCAATAAGTTCGCATAATACTCGCCGTTGATAGTTTTACCTTTTTCAAGATAGTCAATGAAAATTATCCCACTCGCATCCCAAAAAACCGACGCCATAGCCTTGCCTGCAGATGAAACGGTCTTCGCCTTCTTTGGAGCCGGTTGTTCCTTTTGAGTCGATTGTTTTGATTGTTCTTTTGTCTCGGGTGTGAAGTGATGGACCCATGTTTCATCCATGGTTATGAAACGACGCAAAAATTCTGCTTTGTTGCTGTGAAACTTCGCTGAACACTCAATTTAAACATCTTCAAGACACTGTTTTTGCTCGATTGTGAGCAATCGCGGCCCCCATCTTGCACACAGCTTTCTCATGTCCAAATTTTCAGATAATATGCGATGAACCGCACTTTTTGATATGCCTACTATGTCTGCTAGCTCGCGCACTTTCAGTCGACGATCATTCAGTAGCGCTTTGCGAATTTTCTTCACCATTTCTGGAGTCGTCACCACATTTGGTCGACCACTGCGATACTCGTCTTGGCAGCTCATACGGCCTCGTTTAAACTCTGCTACCCAATATTTTACTGTTGTAAACGAAGGTGCAGACACCCAGTTCAGCTTTTATATTGGTTGGGCTGAGGCCTTTGAAATAAAAGTATTGTACCACATAACGATGACCAGTTTTCTCCATTTTCACAAATTCATTGAAAACGTTCAGTATTGATGTCTACCAAACAAATACTAAACAACGTGGCGTCTTCAAACTTGACACATATGCTTTATAGGTTGCATACTTTCTAATACAATGATATTTTTCAAACAACTATCGCCATCTCTAGGTCAGGCCGGGTACTTCTGGGACCACCCTCGTACTTTTGACCCCGGAAACTGATAAAGCGGAACATTTTCGTCCAAATATGTTATTAGGTGAAAATTATTTATTTTGACCTTAAAAGTCCTGGTCAAGATCGCCATAACAAACCTGCGTTTAGAGAGATTTCAGGGGTATTTTTGAAAATGAAGCAACACTAAAAGGCTAGAGGCAACAAGACAGACTTTTTCACTGGCCTTCCACTAGTGACTATTAAACTGACCTTTACCACGACCTTGACGGTTAAATCGAAATCTATACATTTTCTTTGTTTCCGCAAACTGACAAAGCGGAAAATCTTAGTTTTAGACATAGCCTTGACCAGGGACGTTCAAGCTCAAACTGAGATCCTCTGAAGGCCATATCTGAACGTAAAATTTTACGTTCTAGCCGTTTCCGGGATCGACAGTGTAGCGTCCCTTTGAAAATATCGTACTAACCTTCAAGTTCATCCTCATCGTCAAGTTCAAAATTACCACTGGATAGCCACTGGCACATCCTAAACTCCTACGAGTACTGTCTTTCTTTCATCATATCCCTTAAATATTCCCAAATACCTTATTTTTCCGCGACTTTTGTATTACCTTGTATATAATAAGAAAACATTCAAATTCGTCAAAAATGAAATGTTTTAAAGTAATGAAAAAATGAAATCAACATAAAAAACCTGGTCTAGGCAGCTCAGATATTCGTAAGGTCATGATGAATACTCATATACGAACATAAAAATACGAGTTTTGACAGAAAAGCATGAAATGGGAATTCAGTAGGAATAAAGTAAAGAAATTATCTGATCAGTGAGGCAAAAGAATACAATAGCGATGTTGTCAGACATTTTGCATTGTTCCTGGACTGTAATCTAAAATATAATCATTGAAAACATTACTGAACGCACTGAAAGCATTATCTATTGCAATTACTGTCTAATTTCTTATTTCAATCAATAGCTACACGCTAATGAAGTACTCAAAAGACATGAACATACTAAAAGCCTGAATGGTTAAAGCCAATCGAAGCGCCGAGTGTATGATGATTTTGGGTCTTAAATACTATACCTCACAGGAACAATTTATTAAGGTAGAATGATAGCGGCGAGAATTTCTCAGGCGACACCGATATACCTACGGGTTTCTGCGCCACCTGTCTTTGTTTACCCTCTTGTATTCGCTTGACAGATACATAAGGGTTGTGTAACTAGTAATTCAAAGCTGAGCGAATAAAAATTACTCTCAAGTCCTTTCATGCAACTTGTAATTGTGTTAATAATCTATTGGCGAGTAACGTTGATTAGGTGGATGATCGCACACAGACTGTCTAACGAATATACTGAAATTTTTCACAGGCAAACGCCTTTCTCTATCGGATCGTAAGCAGAGCCAAAACACGAATGACGAAGATGAAGACTTGGAAGAAGATGAACCAGACGAAGACAGTGGAGGCGAAGATACTGAAGAAAAGAGAGAGAAGAGGGCTCAGAAGGAGCTGAAAATGTTCAGGAGGAAATTACAGAATCTTAAAAACAAGGAGGATAACGCCAAAAAGGAAAGAATTGCACTCAAAGATATCATCAAGAAACATCAACAAGCTATGAAAGATGAGAAGAAAAAATATAAACAATTGAAAAAAGAGGTAAGTCTATAATAACACAATATGATGTCTAAATTTTTCTGATTTAACTAAAATTACGACTGACATATCTGGTGTTCACAATTAGCACAAGTCTCGGATAGTAACTCCATTTTAGAAAAAAATTATGTTATATTATAATATCATTTCGTATCAATTATCAAAACCCATCAGTATGTTATATCAATCTCCTCCTTCTAAAATAATCTATCCAAATATGTAATAAAAAAGGGGATTCCATTAAGAAAATAAAAAGGCAGCAGCGGTGGCCGCAGTAGTAGACTCTTCGGTCTCCTGATCAGTCGCCGTGCGCTGTGCGGGTTCGAGTCCCGTCCCAGGAGACATTGTTCTCTTGGCTATGGATGTTGTGATTGTCCGTAGGTGGTAGATGGTCTCTGACTGTCGAACACGGAGGTACCACCCGGCGGTTCTCGTAGGCGGAGCCAGAATGTGTGCATGTTGCATGCACACGTGTTCCCTCGCCAGAGTCCGTGTGGCGTCCCCCCCTATCTCCCTATAGCCCCTCGGTACCCAATGGGTGCTTAGGCCTTAGGCCTTCGTGGTAGTTGCAGTATAAAAAAAAAATCAATCTGTAATAACGAATCACAACACAAAAGTATTGAATTACTTGGTTTCTTGATGAAAGCATGATTTTATAGACAGATTGTCAATAATCCTTTGCTTGTTTTATTGCTTTCATGGATGATGACTTGTTTGAATAGAGACATAATCAATTTTTCTAAACGAACAGCTGTAACGCAGAAACCGCGTGAACAAACTGGTAACACCCTTATATTAAAAAAAATCTCATAAAAATGGTGAACCGATAGTGCAAAAATATACATTTAATTTTTTTTTAGAAAAAGTACATTTTACGTGTTTGACCCTGTATGTACGCAGACTATCAAACTTCGATGATTTTTTTGATAAAAACCCAATAGCTCAACAACTAATTATCAAAACCCATCAGTATGTTATATCAATCTCCTCCTTCTAAAATAATCTATCCAAATATGTAATAAAAAAGGGGATTCCATTAAGAAAATAAAAAGGCAGCAGCGGTGGCCGCAGTAGTAGACTCTTCGGTCTCCTGATCAGTCGCCGTGCGCTGTGCGGGTTCGAGTCCCGTCCCAGGAGACATTGTTCTCTTGGCTATGGATGTTGTGATTGTCCGTAGGTGGTAGATGGTCTCTGACTGTCGAACACGGAGGTACCACCCGGCGGTTCTCGTAGGCGGAGCCAGAATGTGTGCATGTTGCATGCACACGTGTTCCCTCGCCAGAGTCCGTGTGGCGTCCCCCCCTATCTCCCTATAGCCCCTCGGTACCCAATGGGTGCTTAGGCCTTAGGCCTTCGTGGTAGTTGCAGTATAAAAAAAAAAAAAATCAATCTGTAATAACGAATCACAACACAAAAGTATTGAATTACTTGGTTTCTTGATGAAAGCATGATTTTATAGACAGATTGTCAATAATCCTTTGCTTGTTTTATTGCTTTCATGGATGATGACTTGTTTGAATAGAGACATAATCAATTTTTCTAAACGAACAGCTGTAACGCAGAAACCGCGTGAACAAACTGGTAACACCCTTATATTAAAAAAAATCTCATAAAAATGGTGAACCGATAGTGCAAAAATATACATTTAATTTTTTTTTAGAAAAAGTACATTTTACGTGTTTGACCCTGTATGTACGCAGACTATCAAACTTCGATGATTTTTTTGATAAAAACCCAATAGCTCAACAACTAATTATCAAAACCCATCAGTATGTTATATCAATCTCCTCCTTCTAAAATAATCTATCCAAATATGTAATAAAAAAGGGGATTCCATTAAGAAAATAAAAATTATGACATCCTGTATGAATATTTTAGACAGACACCATATGTATAATAATCCATAAATAGTTTTTGTTTACGAACAATCCTCCGTTCTCGCACGGTGGGGACACCGTGTATGTTATCAAGGTCAAAATGACGGATCGAACATGGTGGAGATGTGTGCAAAAAATAAGTTAATTGCGCTCAAATTAGAGTTTCACGTATTTTTGGGGTCGCTGATAACGAATTTACATAATATAGATTGTTTAAAAAGCAAAATGAATGAGGCTGCAGTCAGCTTCAGTATAATTTGGCATGCAGATGCATTTCAGTGGCACTAACGTTATCAAAAGATACTTACAACTTTGAATAAAATCTGGAGTCAAACGCGATTTTTTTTTTACTTCTATCTAGGCAGCACGATTGGTGGACCACAAAAGTGGAGTAAAGAATATGAAGTGTGAAAACTATTTTTCGAAGCGCAATATTTCCCAGAACATGACATTTATCAATTACAGTGCTGATATTAACAATAACCTCAGTAATTGGTTTATAAACTGTTGGTGGTGTAATTAAATAAATAAATAATATGGACCACCATATTGTAAATACAACTATTCCATGTCCTTACAATTTTTTGACGGCGTGTTCTGTAAATGCCAATTTACATGTGCCACAACATTACGGGACTACTCTGCAGAAAGCAAAAAAAAATACGGAAAGCCTTCGACTGCAGAAGACGAGACCAAGCTTCGAAAAGAAAAGGTCTCACGTCTAGAAAAATTGACGGCAGGCTTAAGAGGTCCGAACCTCAAAGGTTCTTCCGCGAGGATGCTTCCTCTTTTTAGTCTGTACTCTTTGAATTTGCCTCTTATCTACACCTTGATAAAAAATCTCTCTTTGCTTGGCTTATAAAGATTTTGAACAAACCACATCATCCTGGTAGACAAAAGCCACTCAACTAAGAAAGGACAAAAGATATTTAAATCAAAAAGCAAGCATCGAAAAAAAAAGGTCTCACGTCTAGAAAAATTGATGGCAGGATTAAGAAGTCCGTACCTCAAAGGTTCTTCCGCCAGAATGCTTTCTCTTTTTAGTCTGTACACTTTGCCTCTTATCTGCACCTCAATAAAAATCTCTCTTTGCTGGGCTTAGAAAGATTTTGAACAAACACCATCCTGATAGACAAAAGCCACTCAACTGAGAAACGACAAGAGATATTTAAATCAATAAATAGCAAATGACAAATAAGGTTAACGTTAAAATTTACGTATGTCATATTATGATTATAATGATGTTTTGCTACAACAAAATAACCTTTGGTAGAGACATGAGTTATTACAGTGCACTCAGTATTCTATCGGCGTGAATAGTCTATTATTCTGCTACTATTGTGATACACAATCAAAATATCACAAAATTTATAATATATTTCAAATAGGTTGATAAGATGGCGTCATTGATGAAAGATGCCGAAGAGGAAGAAGAAGAGGAAGACGAAAAAGAAGCAGAAGAAGAGGAGGAGGAGGAAGAGGAAGAATCCAGCGAGGAGGAATCTGAGAGTGATTCTGATGGCAGTGATTCAGAAAAGAGTCAAAGTGAAACAGAGGATGCACCGGTAAGTAATATACACAGACTTTTAAAATAACATTTTGGTAATAGATCAAAAGTATGTAGACAATGCTTTTCAAAAAGTTCGGTTAATTTATTTTCTGAACCAGTCAAGTTAACAAGTTGTGTAAATTCGATATTTTTGCGTATAAATGTCAGTTGGTACGCACGATCTAGAAAGTAGAAGCAAAGGAGGATTTTTCTGGATGAACACGCAATTTTACAAGGTGAGTTTTTAGTGTGCAATCGGTCGATAGCTCCGTGATTATAAAAGATATCTCGAAAAGTAAGTTACAAGCATTATAGTCTATGCATATGCACTCCTTACTTGAATATGCCGCTCTCTACTGGGTGATTAAAAGCTGTAACTCAAGCACTTTTGCAAACAGAGTAACAAACTCTTCCTCAAAATAAGTTTCGTATCCCATAGTTTCTTGTCAATTAAACATTATTAAAATTTTGTGTATAATCTTTACAGTTTCTATAAATGAAAAATGTACTTCACCATCTTTCATCATTCAAATGGAACAGCCTGTATAATTAAGGGTTTTGGGTTATCCTGTTTAGAAGCTTTATTTTGATATAACATTTTTTTTGTAATTTAATTACCAACTAATTGGAGTTATTTGCAGTTTTACAGAAATATGAACATCATTTTCTCGAAAAGTTTGCTATTCTATCTGGAAAACATGACTGACTTTCGAAGTTGTCTTGAGTTGCCATCTATCACGCAGTGGTCGATTCTGGTGTGACATATGGCGCTTTGCGCAGTCTTATTTCGATAGACCGTACGCCCGGTATAGAGGATAGTTGCGATGCTTTTGTTCGTTCAGAGACAAAATACCAAGCCTAGACCATGCTGATGAGTTGCCACAAAGCACGAAGCAGTTGTCCATGGTTGGCTGGGTTTTTGTTCGGATAGACGAAATCATCATGTTTGGTTAATATACAAAAATATTAATTTCTGATTTTTCCGTCGCAGGTGGAGAAAAAGAAAGTCAACTTGAGCTCGAGGTCTAAACGACACGAGAACCGACTAAATGCTTTGAAAAAAGGCAACTTTCTTTTGAAAACGAACGCAGAAAGGCTGCAAGATGACCTCAACAAGCAGAAAGACTTGACGGCCAGTCTACAAGAGGACTTAGACTCTGTTTTGTCAGAGCTGGGTTAGCTCTGTGGATACCAGAATGTGCGAAAAGAATGAATGTTTATAAATTAATTATATTAATAGCGCAAAACACCACCAATTTAATTAATCATGTATTCAACAGACTCTGCCGATTTTACACTAAAATACTTTTTCTAAGTTTAGGATACATGCAGACATTATAGTTTCAGAAAAGACGCATAGTACATGATGATTCGCATTCGACCCCCACTCAAAAAGCTGCGTAATAAAGAATATGTAGGAAGAAAAAATCAGAAATGCTCAAATTATTTTCCTTTCCATATTTTAGATGGAATTTTAAAAGGAATTGCTAATTTACAGCATATTTATTTTCATTCCTTATGTCGTCCCTACTTCATGGAAAAATTTTAAATATTGTTAATGATAAATATGCCTCGTTCAATTGAACTCAATAAAACGCTTATCAGGTATCTCAGTGGTGGGGTCGAATTTTGATTACCTTCCAGAAAACTCTCCAATTTCGGTCGCTTTCATGACTCAATTCACTGATGAAACATTGGATCGCTTTTACAAAGCTTGTGTCTAAGTTTATAAAGATAATGTGTCAGATGATCTATTATAAATACAATAATTTGATATTGATTTAGTAGTGTGATTAAAGTTGCTTTTACTTGCGCACACAACAAAGCTCATGTAGTACGGTAAGTTTATACAGGGTGATTCAAAAAACAGTGGCAGTATTTGTAGGACAAAAAGTAGCTTCAAAATAACACATAATGCACATAGGTCTTAAACTTAGTTATTACTTTGAAATCGAGTTAAAATTGTATCTTTGGACTGGATATTGACCTGAAATTGTATACATGCAGTACTAGTACTAGTAGCTCTCCGTTAGCTTCCTTATTCGTTGCATAGGTCTAGGATTGTTGGATGGGTACGCCTAGATGAAGATTCACTTCCAAGGTTTCCTCGTTACAGTAGTAGCAAATGTTCAGAGGGGGCGATGTAGATAGCTTTTAGTCAGACCTAGAAATATCAGAGCCAAGGCTATTTCGAACAGGCTTATATTCACGCTTCTCCATAAGTACCATACAACAATTGTAGCAGATAAGAAGCTATTGGAGATGAAGATCCAATAATTAACTACCGTTGAACATGTAAGCGCGCTGGGATTATGTGCCCACGAAGTCTCAGTATTGTATCTGGGATAGGCTCGTTAGCATCAGGCTGTCACACATGAACACATTCAGACCAGGATATCTGAATTTTAGAAAATAAATTGTAATGAGTGGTTTTGCCAGATTATATTCTTGAGGGTTCGAGGAAAGGTCCCTTATTGAGAGATACAAAAAGTGTTGCGGCTAACCTTTTTAATAACCGACAAATATGGAAAAAACACTTTACCGTGTATATTAAAGAACTTGAGGTATTGAAAAAAGTTGTCCAAATAAAGTATCACAAGTTCAATTTTCTGCAGCGATTAATTTATGATTGCAAAAAAGGATAAAAGACGTCGATTTATATATGTATTTTTCACCAAAAAGAGCATAACATCCAAAAATAAATTTCAACAAAAAAGTTTCCGGAAAATTTTATTGCTAATTTTTTTTGAGAAAAATGGTCTTTGACGAGCTGTCCAGTGATCTTCGTTGAATCAAATGTGCTCCTATTAGGTTGATTATGTTATTAGAGACTTGTTTTAATATCGTAGCAAAAGGAACACCATAATGTTCTTGGATATACATAATCGGCCCGTCAAGTGCAGATCATTTTTTAAGAATAAGTCTGTAATCTATTCACAGATGAACTAGAATTCTGACTACTAAATAGCTGGTGGAAAAATATTTTGGTAAAAAAATCTTTACATTGACCTTTTGAGGCCGAAGTAGGATGATTTCTTGAAAAATCACTGTTAATTATGTGCATTGAGGGTAAAATTAAGTAGCATCTGAAACTTATCATGTGGTTTACATGCCGATAAACACCCATGGTTTTCTAGCCAATAAAACTACATGTATTCTTTACTGTAAACGTTTCAGTCACGGAGGTAATCTTCAGTACAAAGACACTATATTTGACTTACGTCTTCCAGGTGACAGTTCATTTGTGTTTTCTTTTCAACATCACATTCAGTCTATACAGTGTGTGTTACTACAATAGTTTAAAAGTCCCGTAACATGCTGAAATTGAACGAATTCCGTTCGCTCTGCTACTCTATATAAACTGAATTCACCCGGCCGGATCAAAGACACAATCATCGACAAGTCAATGACCACTGTACGAATAAACCTTATGTATTGTGTAAATATGAGTGAGTAAGTAAAGAAGTGTTTTTATATTCCAATACAATGAATCAAACTCCTTTTTGTCATATAATACTCTCAGCTATAGCATTACTGGATTTAGTGACGTGTCTAATTTCGCTTTAGTACTATATCCAATTTCATTAGGTCTTTGAGTCGCTCAAAAACTTGCCACAATTCGATTTGCGCCATATCACCTATTTGCTGCAAGGTTTGTGACATGTTTTTGTAAGCAAATGAATGTAACTTATTTGTATCGCAATGTTATCCGAAGTGCAGAAATAATATAAAACTAACTGAATCACATTAAAACTTTTCATCGTACAATACTTTATATCGAAATAACTTTTATACATGTAAAAGTACGATAAATTGAACATTTCTCTTTTGTTTGTTAACCTAATGCAACTCAATTTCATTTCAAAGCGTTATATGCCTTATCAATGTATATATTATGTATATTATGTAATTGACCGCAATTGCTTTTGCTCGTTGAGTTAATCACTCAATGAGTAGAATTATTTTTTAGGAAATGCGTTTTCTGATAGTAAATAAAAAACACGTGTTGCAATTATCATTTTGTGTTTTAATTCCTTGTAAGTTCAACCAAACTGTACAGTTACTGCGATGATACTGTTGCGTTTTTCTGGGTTCTTTTGGGTATGGATTAAAAACACTCGATTCCACAAACAGAAATGCAATAATTTATTTAAAACACAACACAATTAACTTTAAACTTAACTAGATAGAACATTTATTTATGTCTGACTACTTATTTACGAATTATGTCGCGCCATTATCTCAACTCTACTCTACTCTGCTTCCCTCTCCCGGCCGTCGACTTATATAGTCCGTATCGCATGTACTCGTCGATTCGAGAAGATTCCGGTGATCCACATAGCGTCAGTCCAGAATCTTCGAGGTCACTTCGCGTCGATATCGAAAGGAGAGTCCCTGACACGGTCCCCAATAGATGTCGCCAGCAGTCTCGCACCGAAGGAGAGTCTGGCGCGGTCCCCAACAGCTGGCGCCAACAGTACTATTCATTCTTGTTTCAATACCAAAAAATATAACAGGTTCTATTATTTGTCTATATCCAAGCATCAAATTCTGTTTGCCGCTGACATTAAGACTGGACACCTGAGGAAGCATACGTCTAGTGTCCTAGAATAACATGTTTGGAGAACCCCACACTTTAGGGAAGAAATGTTGAGAGAAGGCAACTGTCGAGCTTTTCTGTCCGAGAGTGGCTGTAAAAGCCTTCCCCTAACAGCTGGTGCATCAGTGTGTGTGTGTGTGTGTGTGTGTGTGTGAGTATTTAGCCCGGTTTCAGCTACGTACGTTTCAAGCAGCTTTTTGCAGCACTTTATTCCTACGCCAATCGGCGTAGAAGTTTTATCGCCGAAAATTTAGAACACGAGATATATTGTTTAGGTGTTATATGACATACGAAAAACCATGTCACTCATTTCCGTCGGAAAGTACCGCTCGGATTTTGATGAATTTTCATTAGAGGCTTCTACTAGGCCAAGAGTGGGAAAGCATTGTAGTTTATGAGTTTTTGAAAATTGGTCCAGTGGCGGGGAAGAAAAAGGCGTAAAGCGAAAAAAAATCGCTCAAACTTCGTTTTTGACGTTTCAGAGGATCCTGATCATTTACAGAAATACTAATGCTTGAGGTAAAAATTGGATGTTGGGGTTGTAGGGGGTGGGAAAGAGGATATGTCAATTTTTGGTTCCTAGCAGTTTAAACATTGCCAACCCCGGCTATTCTTCGCACCTATTAGACATATTTCATACATCAAAAAGATTTTCCCGTACATTTGCCCTTAAAACGATTAATTGAGATATGTTTTAGATAGATACGCTCGTGCCGGACAACTCGACGAGCTTGGAATGCTGAGGGATAAATACTGCCACGTTGCTGGGTGGTCGGAACTGTCGGAAGGGCGGTAGGCTAGATCTCAATGTTGTCAAATTTGTGGGAACTAATAAATTACATAAGCCTGTTTGACTGACATTATTTAATTCCTTTGTTTGCAAGTTCGTGCCCAACTTTTTCTAAGAAGTACTAACTTGTGCCAAATATAACCGTTTATGAAGGATGACAGGAAGTGCATGGTCACCCCATGTGTTTGTAGAGCTGCTAGGAATAGCAGTTTGAGCACTAAAGTGAACCAAACATCCACTGATTTGACAGCCTCATCTATGCTGGGACTGTCTCAATTCACTTGCGAAACGAACGCAACTACGAGTATTATTTCCACGTTAAATTAAAGTAGCGCTGCATGTTTCTCCCATTTTTATTTCCGACAAAAATTTTCATATCTATTGTATAGGTACACTTTGGTATTTTTCACGACACATGCAACATATGCTGGAATGGTGATATAACACTCGGCACATGAGTGATGATTCTATCTGTCTTTGATTTCCTCAATTTTCTTATCTTTGTTATCCCTCCAAATGACGTAATTGAGAGCTGTCGCCAGTCCTAACCAGGCACAATAAGGCAAGAGCAGCAGACCCGCGTAAGGGTTGATTTTGTAGAAAAGGTAAGCAGTGGCAGCCGCCGTCACGTTGATTATTTGGATTTCATAAAGGGCCTGTAAAAAAAGAAGATATGTAGTAGTACATTGCATACTTTGGTAAAGAAGTACTACATTATTAAGGGATATAATGTGCAATAGCGATGATAGCCCTCTCCACCGAGGTATGTACAGAATTTTTTTAATCTTATAACATATACATATGTATTTAAAAAAGAAACAGGACATCTGACAGAACCCTATACATTTACAGCAAGATCGGAAAGGTAGAGATATCTCAATGGTATTTTTCAAATCAACCTAAAAGATAAAAAATAAAAGATGGCGTCATGTAGATTGTCTCTGCACCTAACACGCGACGTGGTCAGTTCAAAAAAAACCGTATACGTATACGGATGTATTAGAACTAAGTGGCCTCATTATTAAGAACATTAACTCATTATTCGTATAGAGAACTCCTGAGGTTGCTCATTTTATCCATTCAGCAACATACTAAGTTTTGAATTTTCTTAGTTGGTGCTCGCCGCGCTAAATGGAGGATCCAGTAAGACGGCTGTCTTGTACTATCCTTACCGACTCATAACTTCGATATCAAGTTTTCCTAAGCTCTTTGAAAAAATCGACTACAGTCGCTGAAAGTCGCTATAAAATAATTTTTGGTGCTCTATATGTATCTGACAGATTATCAACTTACAATTTACCCTCGCATAGGAATATAAAAATAACTTACCAGTTGAATGTTCTTAGCTCCAAAAAAAATTGGTGTCCATGTCCAATTAGCAACTAAATTAACGCCATACATCGCCAGTGCTGTCCTTACAGGTTCTAAAAAAAGTAGTGAATTAATACTGCAAACTTAGGGCCGCACGACATGATATGAAATGACCCCGCAAAAACCTTATGGAGGATGGCTATTTTTTTCATTTAGTATGCTCAAGCTTTTTCCATCCATTCCAGTTGTTATCATCATCCCCATGAGCCGGTTCAGCAACATTGTATTCTGCCATATGTACAGAGTGACCCAAGCTGACATTGATGTAAAATTGCTTCAAGGCACAAACTTTTCTAAAAGGATTTTCCTCCTTTTGAAAATACATTTTAAAAGCATTGGATTACACAGAGTTAAATAGACAGTTTTACTATGTATTTGAAAAAACATATCTGAGATTTGTTGAGTAGAAAATAATTATGTATTTTGACCGAAAAATGAAAGTATGGCAAACAGTATCTCGACCACTTTAATAGACAGAATTCTGATTTTTTTACAAGAAAATATAATTTTCAGTTAGTACCTATAGTTTACCCATTCCTTGAATTGTTCGAGTTACTTAGTTGTACAGAGTAGTCAAAACACATAATCATTAATCAATAAACATTCAAATAGGGCACCACTTGTGCTTTACATTCACGAATCTCACTACTTCCAGGTTGTTTTAGGTACCTAGTGAAGTATGTCTATGTGACGAAATTAGGGAGCACATTTAATAACGCAACTCTTTCACTGTAGCTATTAGAGTAGTCGACACATCTCAACAAAACTCCACAAAACGGAGAAGTATGTAGGACTAAATCCATAATGTGTCATAAAATTGTGGATATATATCTATAACACCCTGTATAAACCAGAACAGTTTTGAAATATATTTCCATGTAGATGGTGCAGGATATTCCTGAATTAGTTTATAAAAAAGTGTATGTCTCGGATCTCCATCCATTTAAGCTTGGTCCACCCTGTACATGTGATAGAATTATAACGCTGGTAAATATAGGTCAATATCATATACCCTTTTTCACGAGTATCCATCACGCTTTGACTTCTACTGAGGTGAACAGCTGATCAGCAAATGACATTTTTGTGTTAGTTGGCAATAGTGAATCAGGGGTAAATTTAATAAAACTGTTTGTAGCATTTTGTTTTTGTAAGCAAAATAACTTTTCTATCTAAAGGAGCTGTTAGCAAGTACAAAATGAATCTGTAACGTACAAAAAACCAAAACAAAATACGGCTCTGACTACCTGACGTTGACGGATCCGTCATAATTATGTGTCTTGTGCCAATGTGGATTTTTTTTTTTTTTTTTTTTTTTTTTTTTTTTTAACGAGGGGGGAATGCATTTACGCACCATACCATAGCACGAGCTACGACGTGTGTGGGGCTCCAGGGTCTTGAAGAGATCACCTAATACCCACTAAACCCTAAACCTCCGCGTGGCCCGACTCATCAGCGTCTCGGTAGGCCATGTGTTGTGCGTGACCTGCGGTCTGCTACAACGTCTCCTCATGTGTTTCAGTCTCTGGGAACGCCGGGTTGGTTCCCTTTACCTCGCACATTCTATCGATGTCGTTAAGCGATCATCGATAGAGGGTCTGCTAGTTTCTCTCATGTACTCGTGGATGGTATCCCAATGCAGGTCTCTACGCAAGGTTGAGTTCCTTACGTAGGAAGGTGCATTGGTGGCGATCCGGAGTAGCTTCATCTCTAGAGCAGCAAGTCGCTTGCGGTAGCTGGGGGCAGCGTACCCCCAGACCGCGGAGGCGTAAGCGAGCTGAGGTCTGGCGATGGCCTTGATCAGCCGTAGCTTGGTCGCTAGCGGCATCTGGCTGTGTCTACCCAGTAATGGATAGAGTTGAGCCATGGCTGCTCTGGTTTTTGCGATGACAGCTTCTATGTGCGCTTTCCAGGTGAGGGACTTGTCAAAAACGATCCCCAGATATTTGACATTGTCGCTCCACTGGATATCTTCATCGAAGATGGATGCTTCGAGAGGTCTTGCAATCCTTCTTCGTTGAATGAAGATTGCCTGCGTCTTCTGGACGTTGATGCGGATTTTCCATTTCACGCACCAGTCCTGAATTTGGTCCAGTTCACCCTGTAGTCTCCTACGGATGATCTCGGGTCGTCTATGCTTGGCGGCTATAGCAGTGTCGTCTGCATATAGGGCCAGCATTGTGTCAGCTGTCTTCGGCACATCGTAAGTATAGATGTTGTAGAGCAGGGGGGCTAAGGCTGACCCCTGGGGCACGCCTGCTTCCAGCTGTCGTCTTGTTGAATGGCATGTACCAATCTTCACCGTGAACCATCTTTGTGTTAGATAGCTCTGGATCAGTTGGCACATGTTCGCATCGATTCCGGCGGCTTCCATTTTGGCGATGAGTCCATCGTGCCAAACTCGGTCGAAGGCTCGTTCCACGTCCAGCAGGACGAGACCGGTTGCCTCCTGGAGATTGAAGCCGCTGGTGATGTTTTCCGTCAGTCGTAGCGCTTGGAGTTCCGTGTTGTGGGAGGATCTGAAGCCGAATTGCTCTGGGGGGAGAAGTTGCAGTTCTTCTGCCTGCTTCTCTAGTCGAACGGCGATAGCCTTTTCGACTACTTTGCCCACCGAGGAAACCAGGCTGATGGGCCGGTAGTTCTGGGGCAACTTCCGGTCCTTGCCTGGCTTGGTGAGCATTATAACCTGGGCTTCCCGCCACCGCCGCGGGAAGTGGTTAAGTCTCAGAGTGGCATTGGCGATGTTGGTGAGCGCAGCAATGCCTTTGGTGGGAAGGTTCTTCAGCATCCTATTGTTGATGCCGTCCCTTCCCGGCGCCTTTCTGACCTTCAACCTGCGGATGATCAGACGGATTTCCTCTGGACTGGAGGGGTGATCCGTCTCCTGGCCAGGTGGTCGACTCCTCATGTTTTCGGCTGCGACTCCCACGGCCTCCTCGTGGTTGTCGTCCTCGTCTTCATGGTAATTGAGTCTGCATTCGGATTCTAGCGAATCGGCGAATGCCTCGGCTTTTTCTTCACTGGAGTAGGCCAAGCCGCGTTGGCCGTGAAGAGTGGGGATCGTGGTGCGCTGACGACGAAATTTTCGCTGCATAGACCAGGCCGTACCATCCTGGGTCTCTAGTTCTGCACAGGCTGCATTCCATCTGTTGTTTTGGAGTTCCGCGAGTGCGTTCTTCAGTGCTAACGATGCTCTGTTTCGCGCAACTCTCGACTCCTCGCCAATGTGGAGAATGTTGAGATATATATATAGATGCGACACGTGCTGTCGGTCCCTTTGATCTTTGTGTCCCCAAACTGCTCACCACAATTCCCGCTTATGTTCATTAGCGTCCGGAGGATTTTTTCGTAGGGGTTATTAGCAAGACGTCACGAATGTCCTATGTCAAACAACATAATCAAGAAATTTATTTGTGTTTATCATTTACCCACATGCATTTTAGCGAGATAATTATTATTATTTCTTGAAAAGCTATTTATATATAGTATTGATAAAACTCAATTTTTTTGATAACCTCTAAATCCTAAATGTCACAGCAACACGAATCCCACCAAATGGACAGGACTCAAGTTGGCGTTGATAGAACCTGATTTTTGACAGAGTGTTGCCTCTGTACAGTATATTACTCTGTGACTAGATAATCAGCTGTCAGTCTACCGAGATGGATACTCGTGAAATAGGGTGTTATATCGTGTAGCTAAACTACAATATGCTACTATATGCTATTTCACGAATATCCATTACGGTAGAATGGCAGCTGATTATCTGGTATAATTTTGTATTAGTTTTTTGTATGCTACAGATTCATTTTGTACTTGCTAACACCTCTTTTATTTAGAAAAGTTCATTTGCATACAAAAAAACAAATGCCACAAACAACTTTTCCTAAATTTTATACCCGATCCATTATTGCCAACGTTGCAAACTAACTTCAAAATGTCTCTTGCTGATCAGCTCTTCACCTCAGTAGACGTCAAAGCGTGATGGATACTCGTGAAATATTGTATGCGAACTGACCACGTTGAGGGCTTTGATTCTCGGTAAACTAAAACTGAACAAACTGTGTGACCTTATGCCCATGGATACTTTTGTTTCATGTTTCTATCTATAACAAACTTTGGTTTCTGAGAATCTTTTTGATATCCAAAAAATTTTAATTACGTTCAGCAGGTTTCAGAAAGCTATAAAGCCTTCAAAAACAAAGTGTAGGAATGATCTGAAGCTACTTTGTTTTTTTACTCATGATACCACTGCCACTTGAACAATTTTCAAAAATAAAGTAACAGTACCTATATGACGCCACAGCCTGTTGCTCTCCATATTTTATCAAAATCGGTGCAGCTTTTTCCGAGATTAGCAGGCCAACACACAAACGGAAATAAGTTATATGGATTTATGTATTAGAGACATAGAAAACCATAAAAAAACTTGAAAAAGTTCTATTTTTTGCAATCACAGTACCTTCCCCTCGTAGGAATGGGAAAGTAAATGACAAAAACAGTATATATTTGTTAGTTGCCCACCTTGGAGCATCAATATAAAAATCAGATTCTTAGTCACTATGCAACTATTTGATTCGATGCAAGCATTTTTGTATGTTTCTTTTCTGAATAAGTTTTACCTCAATTTTTACCCACCATTTGTGATTTGACTGAGTAAGGCCCCTGACAAATTTTGGGGGCCACTCAAAAGCAAGATGTCAGTGCTCAAATCCCATAGATTCCTGTATTTTACCCTGGATGGCTCATCCGCCAACTACCTGCTCATTCAAGTGATGCCCAGTCATGCTGACTGCAAGTAGCTGACATGGAGAACACTGAACTGTATTAGAATAGGGTACAGCGCTAGTAAAAATAAATCAAATAAAATAGTCAGACTTGAAGGAGATACTAAATGTGACTGGGCCTCTTTACAAAACATGGAACACCTATTGACCTGGCTAAATTGCCCTGCATCGACGACAGTCGCTTACTGGGCCAATAAATTTTAATTTCTGAATGTAAGGGCACTTTTTAACTAGAGCCACTGTGAAGGAAGAAGGAAAGGCTGTAGATTCAGTAAAGTAAATTCCAAGGACTGCTATATATATATATATATATACGTATATATATATATATATAAAACAAAAAGTAGGAAAATAATGGGCAAAATCCGCAAAAAGGAGGAAAGTGGATTCGAGCAGAAAATAGGATAGGTAACCCGAGCGATACGTATTTCTGCTAGTTGGCTTCATCAGGCCCGAAATGAATGCACATATGCAACTACAAAAGTAGATACACATGCCCACACATCCGGATACTGGTGTAACCTGAGGACACCAAGATGGAGAGGAACAAAAAAGCACACGAAGTCTACAACAAGAGCCAACCAACACATTGTAGTATAAAATGGCTAGAAGACCTCGAATTATCAAGGAGATATCTAACCACAACCACGCGGCCGGTTATAGCCACTTGCTGTTGTACTTCAAGTCCAAAGGATGTACAAAAAGAAAATGATCGTGCGGAGAAAGGTTTATTTTCCCACGAAGAAAGGTATATAACAAAAAGTGGGAAAATAAACCTTTCTCCGCACGATCACTTTCTTTTTGTAGATCCTTTGGACTTGAAGTACAACAGCAAGTGGCTATAACCGGCCGCGGGGTTGTGATTAGATATCTCCTTGATAATTCGAGATCTTCTAGCCATTTTATACTACAATGTGTTGGTTGGCTCTTGTTGAGGACTTCGTGTGCTCTTTTGTTCCTCTCCATCTTCGTTTCCTCAGGTTACACCCGTATCCGGATGTGTGGGCATGTGTATCTACTTTTGTAGTTGCATATGTGCATTCATTTCGGGCCTGATGAAGCCAACTAGCAGAAATACGTATCGCTCGGGTTACCTATGCTATTTTCTACTCAATTCCACTTTCCTCCTTTTTGTGGATTTTGCCCATTATTTTCATACTTTTTGTTATACACCTTTCTCCGCACGAGCATTTTCTTTATATGCACTGATTTCAAGTATTTTAAATCATGTGTGCAAAAAAAAATGTTTTTGTCTTCGTTTTTGGTTATGCTGATACACATTGCTGAGCATTCTTAAGTAATGCACTATATCTATTTTTTGCCTGCCAATTGGAAATTTGATTCCTATTACCTTGATGCCAATCCCCTTCTTTCCACACTAAGTATGAGGCATATCCCATTCCACAATAAAGTGATGTCCAAATGGGGCCAAATGCCCAGTTGGGTGGCCTCCAATCTGGTTTCTTCAATTGGACATACCATTTTTCTATAGCTGGCCTTGTGATTAGACCTCCAGCAAGACCACCAACATTTGGGAGGATGGTGAAACCAATTGCAGGCCAGTTTACCATGATTTAATTAACCTGGGCCAAAAAGACAGATATCTATACCGGGTGACCCAGAATAAAATCGGAAAACCTCAAGTTCCTATTAAAATATATCTCATAGGACTCTCCCATGGAGATGCAAGCCCCTAAAAGATGCTGTTGGAAATTCGTTATTCTTAAGTTACTTTTGAATGACACTGTATAATTCATTAAAATTTTAACAGCAACTCGGAATGTCAACCCTAACTGAATATTATTTTCCCACCATGTTCCAAAAATAATATTTTTAAAAAGACTAATGCCTTAGCTAAAGAAAAACTCTTGTTTGATTTTTATAAAGCCAAGGTTCTTTGTTTTAACTAATCTGCTATTTATATACTCGGGATTTTTTGGTTGCTACTACTAATCTGTTAAAAAGATTACCAAATTTTCATAATTGGGTATAAAAGGTTCTGTGCCAAACTTAATAGAACCAGGCCCGACTTTAGGGTGGGGGAGTGGAGCGCCTTACTCGCGCTAACAAATAAGTAAAAAGTTTTTTTAAAGAATTTTGTGGTGGCCACATAGGTAGCAAGAGAACTTAGTGAAACTCTGGGTGTGGAGCCAAAGTTCAAAGAATTCGGACAGGTAAAGAAGAATGTTTGAGTTCGAGGGAGAAGATGCGCATATGGCAGAATCTGCAGTGCATACATTTAAACAATATTTCAGATTTTCACTTAACCAAACAAATAATAGTATGTGCAAATAATATGAATATTTTGTAATAATATGTGCTTATTTATGATTGATTATTTGCTACAAAAAAAAAGATTTCTTATACAAATTTATTTACCTAAACTTTATTATAATTTTCCTAACGATTCATTGCTTAAAAAATAAAAGTGGAACAGTTTAGACCATAGTCGTAACTGATATTTCTTTCTTATCTCGATTCTTTACACAGAGTGAAATATTGTATACTTGCATCCAAAATAAAAATAGACAACCCTGGCAAATGAAAAAAATTACGCAAATAATTGGCGTGTTTTGAGATGAAATGACTTCATCAAAAATGCTAAAAACACTTTTTTGTACGAGAACTTTAAAAATTTTCAGAATAGAACACTTTCTTTAACAAAAGGCCTCACAAAAATGTGTTGCTCCAGGTCTCGCAACTCTAAGGACGGCTCTGAATAGAACTAGGATGAATCGTCCCAAGCGATCCAAAATGAGTTGTTTCCAACGGTCACCATTATGTCAGCCTTCAAGACTAATATAATGCCATTCAAATGTTATTTGATATTAGAAAGACATATTCACATATTCAGTACCATCCCCTTATATCTTCACTATATTTTTTTGTGTTCTGTATATATATACAGAACTTGATATGTTTTTCTGGGACGTCCTATATAATGAAATAATAAAATGCCCGTGAAGGTAGCTCCAAAATAAATGCTGTCCGCCTGGGATACGCCGTGGCCGTAGGGTTACTCATAGAAGCCCGTGACGCGCATACGGGGTGAGCGCGGTAATTATATATATTCTATCTGTGCCTACGAGTCTTATGCTATTGCGGTATTGCATTAAGCGGTTCTGCAGAATTTGTGGGTTCGTATCTAAAGCTAGCCGTACACCTCAACTCATAACAAACAGGCCTTTCGTGCAGGGTGCGCGATACTCCCTGAAATTTAGGACACATTTGTTTTTCGTGAAGAGTTGCAGAAGTGCGTCGATGTGCTTTTCAGTTTTTAGTTACAAACGGACTTACACCCCAGCTCCAAACAAGTCAGTCGTGTACGGTACGCGATAATCCCTAAAATTTAGAATTTTTTTTTTTCGTGAAAACCTGCAAAAGTGCTTCGAAGTGCTTTTCAGGGTTTAAAGTACACAACAAGAGCTATTATAATCAGCTGTCAAAAAGTAGTTAAGTAGTTACAAACGGTCATACACCCCAGTTCCAAAGAAAGAAGTCTGTCGTGTATGGTGCGCGATACTCCCTGAAATTTATGAAAAATGTTTTTTCGTGAAAAGCTGCAGAGGTGTGTCGATGTGCTTTTCAGGGTTTAAAGTACACAACAAGAGCTATTATAATCAGTTATCAAAAATTAGTTACAAACGGACTTACACCCCAGCTCCAAACAAGTCGTGTACGGTGCGCGATAATCCCAAAAATTTAGAAATTTTTTTTTTCGTGAAAACCTGCAAAAGTGCGTCGAAGTGCTTTTCAGGGTTTAAAGTTTACAACAAGAGCTATTATAATCAGTTATCAAAAAGTAGTTACAAACGGTCATACACCCCAGTTCCAAAGAAAGAAGTCTGTCGTGTATGGTGCGCGATACTCCCTGAAATTTATGAAAAATGTTTTTTCGTGAAAAGCTGCAGAGGTGTGTCGATGTGCTTTTCAGGGTTTAAAGTACACAACAAGAGCTATTATAATCAGTTATCAAAAATTAGTTACAAACGGACTTACACCCCAGCTCCAAACAAGTCGTGTACGGTGCGCGATAATCCCAAAAATTTAGAAATTTTTTTTTTTCGTGAAAACCTGCAAAAGTGCGTCGAAGTGCTTTTCAGGGTTTAAAGTTTACAACAAGAGCTATTATAATCAGTTATCAAAAAGTAGTTACAAACGGTCTTACACCGCAGCTCGAAAGAAAGAAGTATGTCCTGTACAATGCGCGATACTGCCTGAAATTTATGAAAAATGTTTTTTCGTGAAAAGCTGCAGAGGTGTGTCGATGTGCTTTTCAGGGTTTAAAGTACACAACAAGAGCTATTATCATCAGTTATCAAAAAGTAGTTACAAACTGTCTTACACCCCAGCAAAAGAAAGAAGTCTGTCCCTGAGCTGGGGTGCAAGACCGTTTGTAACTACTTTTTGATAACTGATTATAATAGCTCTTGTTGTGTACTTTAAACCCTGAAAAGCACATCGACGCACTTCTGCAGGTTTTTACGAAAAACAAATTTCAGGGAGTATCGCGCACCGTACACGACAGGCCTGTTTGTTATGAGTTGAGGTGAACGACTAGCTTTAGATACGAACCCACAAACTCTGCAGAACCACTTAATGCAATACCGCAATAGCATAAGACTCGTAGGCACAGATAGAATATATACAGGGTGCGGCAGAGAGGATGGACGGTTTTAAAAAAATCATAAAATAGTTAATTTTTACTCGAAAACAAATTTATTGATGGAATCAGGTCAACAAGGAAATAGCATTTGAGACAGTCAAGTGTGGAAAATCACATCAGGCATGTGGTGGCCGAAATCGTTGATGCAGTGCTGGAGGCGTTCTTGGAAGTTCGCGTGCACTCTCTCCAACATCGCTCTCTCAACTTGGGCGACTTCCACGCGAATTTCGCCCTTCAATTCGTCCAGAGTTCGAGGCTTGTTCGCGTATACTCTAGCCTTGAGGTGTCTCCATAAGAAAAAATCGCATATGGATAAATCTGGGGACCGAGGAGGCCAATGAACATCGCCAATCCTGGAAATAAGGCGACTAGGGAAGAGAGGGCGAATAACGTTCATGGATGCTCGGGCTGTGTGGGCGGTCGCCCCATCCTGCTGGAACCACACACGTCGGATTGGAACACGTCGCCGTCGTAATTCAGGGAGAAAGAAGTTGGTGATCATGTCGACGTAGCGCTCTGAGTTCACGGTAACATCACGACCATTACCGTCTTCGAAGAAGTAAGGCCAATGAAGAAAGTTTGCGATACAGCGCACCAAACCGTTACTTTTGGGCTGTGCAGCGCTCTTTCGTGTAACTGTTGCGGATTTTCATTAGCCCACTAAAGACAATCCTGCTGGTTAACCATGCTGTTTAGGTGAAAGTGGGCTTCGTCACTCATAGGCGAAAACGCGGTGCTCCACCGTCCGAGGCTCCATAACGACAACTGGTAAAATAATGCTAGGATCTCGCGAGTCAAACGGCACCCTCCCCACCTCTCTCGTAGACGGAGGCGGAGAGTACTACCCACCCCAAAAACGTCCGTCCTCTCTGCCGCACCCTGTATACTTACTGCGCTCACCTCGTATGCCCGTCACGGGCTTCTATGAGTACCGCTACGGATAAGGCGTATAGCAGGCGCAGGCGAGCAGCATTTATTCGGTCCACTGTAATCTAGCGGCGCGTAGGGTTGTGGAGCCAGCTTTTGGAGCTACCTTCACACGCATAATAATAAAATCCTAACACATAATAATTATTTTCAATTAGAAGACTATATTCAGGTAAACTGATATAGGGTCCGAATAAAGGGAAACACGATAGTGCAAGACAATTAATAAAATATGCTCCTCTATGCTATTGTATAAAGCTATCCATAGCGAAATTTTACCCGAAATCGACCAACACAAAAAACTCGAATCAGCAACCTCAATGGAAAACGGAACAAACACGAAACCACAACCCAACAACTCAGGTGATACACAAAACATACACAAACTCACAAACACACTTTGGGCTGATATGAATCACAGAACGGCGCAAAAGTCACTTGTGCCAAGGTTGATGAAAATTGAGTTAATGTTTTGTGGTTGAAACTGAAACACAGCAGATGCGACACCTGCTGTCGGTCCCATTGATCTTCGTGTTACCAACTGCTAACCACATTTCCCGCTTATGTTCAATAACGTCCGGAGGATTTTTTCCTAGGTGTTGTTATGCGTTATTAGCCTGACGTCACGAATGTCATATTCAATCTACAGAATGAAGAAATTTGTGTTTATTATTTCCGCAAATGTATTTAGGCCAGATAATTGATTCGTATTGATAAAACTGTTTTGTGGCCACGTGTCAAAACATTCCACGCATAAATCCCAAATGTCTCAGCAACAGGAATCCCACCAAATCCATAGAACTCAAGTGATAGAACCTGATTTTTGACAGTGTCGCCTCTGGTAGTACTCTGCGGTTCTGAAGGTAACCAGCATTTACTGAACTCACTGCTTGACAGACTTCTGAGGAACTCCTCACCGCTTGTCGCTTCAGGTTCGTGGATGTACTTAAAATCTCACTTCTCGACATCAATTGTCATGAATAGCCACTTCTTGACTTGACTTCTTCTGCTCATCAGGGCAGGCCGGGGGCCTTTTGCCCAAAAAGTACTTAGGTTCTAACTGACAGAAAAGCGAATCTCTTTAACAAAAAAATGCCAAAGATAGATTATTAATAGCCACTTCTTGCCTTTTTTTCATTCAAAAACTCACAAAACCTACTTTTCTCCGGAACTTACCACTACACACTTCCTTATATCAACTTATAGAAAACTCGAGAACTCTAGAAACTTCGCGAAACATATCGAAAGATCTGGTAATAAATAGCTATCTGACCATATACCTATAACCACATAATGTTTTGACACGTGACTACAAAACAGTTTTATCAATATAAGTCAATGGCCTAAATGCATTTGGGGAAATACTAAACACAAATTTCTTCATTCCGTAGCCTGTTGCTGAGACATTTGGGAGTTATCCGTGGAATGTTTTGACACGTGGCCACAAAACAGTTTTATCAATACGAATCAATTATCTGGCCTAAATACATTTGCGGAAATAATAAACACAAATTTCTTCATTCTGTAGATTGAATATGACATTCGTGACGTCAGGCTAATAACGCGTAAGAACCCCTAAGAAAAAATCCTTTGGACGTTAATGAACATAAGCGGGAAATGTGGTGAGAAGGACACGAAGATCAAAGAGACGGGCTGACGGGCAGCAGGTGTCGCATCTGTAATCTGTATAATCTGTGGTACTGTGGTAGTACTGCTACTCTGTGCCTGTGCGTGGAACCCAGTGTAAAGCTGTAAAGTGTATGTTTTGTTAATACGACAAGTACAAGTGGTCAGTCGTGTTTTGACCCCAAAATTTATTTGACTTGAATTGAAAATACCTAGGGTAGATTAATATCACTGTGTTTTGTTTCACATTAGTTTATGATCATTAGTATTGTGAATTTGTACGTAAACATAGAGTGAGTGAAAAATACGAAATATAGGTTACATGTTTTGTGGGGTATATGGGGAAGGGGATGTCGTGGAAGCAAGGCCTAGACTGCTATACGGACAGTATTAAAGTAAAAATCTCAGAAAAATACAAACCTCCACCGCGTATCAATTTACCAATGACCTATGCTCAAAGACTCATCCTGAACAAACAGACCCAAGATAGTGATTTGTATTATGAGTTTGGACTAGAAAACGGCGTTTTAGGTGAGTATTTATATTTTGATATAAATTATGGAATGTATGATGATATTTCAGTTTTTGATTTGATTGCATGTTATCATTTTCCTTTGAAGATTTAGGTTTCTGTATGAGATGAATCTGACACCCCATTTTTTCGGCATTATCCTTCGCCACAAAGGGAAGTTGAACCATCACTGTGTAGATCAGTGCTAAAGGTCAGTCTCGCATCTTATTTGTTTTCCACTAATTTTTGCTTCTGAAAGTTTTTTGAGAGTAAAACCAATTTAAAAACATAGAGATGGGCTCTGGAGGTCAAATTAATAATCCCTAGTGTCCCTTTTAATGAGTGAGCCCAGCCAGAAGGGGAGAATCAAAATTATGATACAAAGAAAATAATGACACTAGCTGTAACAGATGAAAAACCTCTTGCTCATTTCCATGGATTCAGAAATGAATTAAAGTAATTTGTCTGGAATGTGAAAAGTGCACTTTGACTCCTGTGCTCAAACCCTTAGGACTAATAATGTTGTCACTCTGATGGTTCATTGTTAATTTTGTTTGGTTATCAAGAAATGCTCAAAAATTGAAGATTATATATTTTTCACAATATCCAAAGCATTTTTTATAATAATTACAATGTTCTCAGAAAACGCGGTTAGAAATTAGTTGGCTGTAGCCAATGAAAGGTGGAGAATGAGCCTCTAAGCTTCTGCTAGTCAGCATTTCCATAATACCAAATTTTTCAACCTGGTCTGAGCTACCCAGAAAGACAGGACAGCAGAGCTATAAGGGAGAAAAAAGTAAGGCTTGTCTCCATCTGGGTTAGTCAATGTGTAATAGACCACACTTCTACAGCACAACCTGCTGCATCAGTCTTGTTTGAGCCCAACCAGAGCTCATTATGGGTATTGAAATCACCAAAAACTACCGCTGAAGCAGGGTGATTGATGTTCAGGATGTCGATCTTGACAGCGCGATATTCAAGAAGGTCATCCCAGTTATGGTTCGAGGGATAGCGATAAAGGTAGCAAATATATTTGGAGGAATTGAGGCGAAGCCACAGAATGTCAGTCCGGCCGGATTCCAAGAAAACGTCTCTGAACTGCTGAGGACAAAAGCCACAACTCCCCTGCAGGGTTATTACATAGAATCCTATATTTGTATAATGTCAAAAGGAAACCACATAATGTAACTTTTCAAAATATGTCCATAATACCCCTGTGTGTCCAGTGTCTAGCCCTGGCGGAAAACGCGGAAACCTTTGGCGGTGATGACACATTTCTAACCAGAATAAATATTTATCCAACCGTTTTGTATGATCCCTTATAAATGACACCAATTTGCCATTTCCTCGTGAAAACAAGTAATATATTTACGAGATTAGATTCCATCTAATAATCATCACTTCAGGCAACATAGTTGTCTACGGGTGGATACTTGAACAATATGGTAAAAATTTTAACTATATGATTTAAAAATAACCTGATGTTATATATAATTTCAACTAGCCAATTATGGTTTACCTTAGAAAACTATTCTTTGCCATAGGACCCGCGAAGCAATGTTTCTGGACATCTTAAAATGCAAGTTATCTAAATGCTCTTTTAACCAACCCAAGATATTTATAGCCAAACACTTAGAGAATAGGCTCGTTTGTCGTTTTTCAGATCAAATAAAGGCTTGGAGAGGTTCGAGACTCCAAATGCTGCAAGACAGAAAATTAAGAGTAGAAAAAGCTAGAGATGAAATCAAAGAATGTCTACAGCAAGCAAAACAGAAGACTGATAATGGTACAATTAATACCACAAACATTGAATCAACTGGTATTCCTGTATCTCAACCCATGAATCATCACTCCAACATTCTCACTCCTGTTCCTCTAAGTTGCACCAAGAGTCAGGTCACCATGGAGGTGAAAGACAACAATATCAATATCGTAGACTTTGAAAATGATACTTACAGCCCGTTTGACAATATGGAACTTAAATCAATCAATGACATAGAAGAGCTAGCACAGGTAATAAACATGATCAATACTTTCATATGAATGCCCACTTGCCATAAATCTACTAAGAAGCTTGATATCACTTGTATTTGGACTTTGTCTCTGTAAGATCTCGTAGGCAGGGCCAGAATGTGTGCAAGCTGCATGCACACGTGTTCTTTCGCTAGAGTCCGTGTGGTGTCCCACTCCCCCCTTTTCCAGTGTATCGCCCTTTAGCACCACGGTACCACATTGGTGTTTAGGCCTTAGGCCTTCGTGGTAGCTGGAGTATACAAAAATACAGAGTGATATCTAGAATATCTAAAACAAGCCTCAGCGGCGGCCATAGCAAGTCTCCAAGCTAGCCAGGAACAACCCGTTGCGAATTTAGGCAGACCTACTAATCTGTCATGTCTGTAGATGAGCACGTAGAAAAAAATTATCGACTAGATACTACCAAATTTTAGTGTAGGTGAACGTGATCGGATTTTCAAATCCTTTCATTTACAGCTAAATGAAAGCTTGTATCCAAAAATGTACCGTCTCCTTTTATCAATTTGTTTAATTGAAAATCCAATACTTTAGGTTTTGAACTACGAAGACGAAAGAAATCATAGGATATCAAACTCTACCAGCTACACGACCCAGTTGAGTTACCCGACGATAAGCTATGCAGGAAAGCACTATACAGCAGCGAACCTCTCACCTTACTTGGACCATAGTCACTTGAGTCAGTTGAATAGCTACTACCCACCTGAAACGAATCATCAAGGGACGTTGCATGGAGCCATTTTTCAGAATATAAATCAAAATTCTGTAGATTATAATAATGCAGCTGCTACTTCAACCCTAGGTATTTTATAATCATATTAGGTATATATTAAAGTGATTTAGAAGATAGACACGCTTGAATGAAAATAAGACATAGTAAGATTCAGCACAAAAGTTGATACAACAATATCTCAATGAAAACGAATTAGTTTTATAGGAAAATTATGAAACATCGAACGATTACCTTGTGGATTTATATCGTCGGATAAAATTTGTATAATGACTCGAAGTCGGAGGATGCATACTTACATGTTTATTTTTTAAATGAACATCCTATATTTTTTTATTGTTCGATTGAAGATCTGTTTTGTCAAGAAACATGCATTTTTTGGAAACATGCGCTAGTTACACATGTACATTTGTTTTCCTAGTGCAAGTGTCACGGTAAAATAGTGCTTGACGGCTGGTCGCCATCTTGAAACATCTTTTAAAATGGAATGGGGATCAGATGATACCTAATTTTGAAGCTCCTGTATAACCCTAGAATAAGAATTCAGTATATTTCAAAATGGTGGATTGGCAAGCTTTCATATTTTAGCGTTTTTGTCGATTATAACTCAACACTGAATTAGCAAAACGCTTTAATATGCTGTAACAAACTTCTACTGTTGGAGAGATATACCTCCGAATATGTAATAAAATATGAAACGTACTAATCAAAAAAATGTCAAAAATCTGTCGTTGTCCCATATAAACTAAACTAAAAGATGCAGAACGATTGACATAACTTACAATAACGTTTTTATGATTAGCTGCTACTGAGCTATACGCGTGTTAATGTAGTGCATACAAAGTCCTATAAAGTATATATCCATGCTGTAGGGTACCCCTATACAGTGTGTCTCAGATTCTCTTCTCTATGGAAGGACCTCGGCTCCTGTTATACCTACAACAAAGGTTAAATGGGAAATGTTTTAAATGAAGCTTAATGCTTTCGAAAGCCTGCTTCAGACTTACAATCTGTCAATTGGTTTTGAAAATATCAGCGAAAACCCAAAAATGGCGAAATTTGTTTTTTACCAGTAAATCCAAATCGGTTAATTTGACAGCTGTTGAAATGTGACATTATTCGGAATTTTTTTTAAGAAAAATAAGATCGCATGTATGACATGTCTCTATCGACTATTGTTTTCCAGTAACCCGCCTCAACTTTCATTTTTCTTATGGCCGCCATATTGAATTTTTTGATTTTTGAAAAGAGTGTAAAATTTCTAGTCAGTGATGTCTCACAAGTGCATAAAACATTGAAGTATCACCGAAATATCATCACACGTAATGCTATGTATTAGTTTTTTTTCTAAGGAGGGCATGATCTATTTGACAGAAAATATCATTAATGAGTAAGGCATAAAAAACACATAAACGCCTTGAATTTCCAATGGAATATTAACGTTAATATCGACTTCTCAACAAGTCAAATGTTTTGGGACAAATTCCCAACTATGAGTGTGTTAAAAAACAAGTCAGAAAAATCGTCGTAAATTCATTTTACACTTGAACAAACAAATATTGTACAAAATTGTAATGTATTGTAAAATCTAATAATGTAAGTGGGTACTAATTTTGCATTAAGACATTTTTGACAGTTTGTGACTGTTTTTCGTACAACCTTAGCTAATGTATTTCTTTTAATATTTCTAACTGTACTCAAAATTCTTTGACTTAGGATTTCTATGGTCGCGGGAGGATTAAATTCATAGATCTCATTCTTTGTGTGACCCTAGAGGTAGAAATCAGAGGGTCAAGATATTGAACCATTTAATGAGGTTATTATTTCATCAAACTGCTCTCTTAAGAAGTTTCTGACTTGAATGGTGGTGTAAGCCGGACATCCATCCTGTTGAAACCAGGTTCTTCTAAGCTCATATTCAATTAGACTAGCTCGTAAAGCCGGCACAACCTGGGTTCGCAAAAGCTGTAGGTACCTCTGTCCGGTTAGGTTGTACTCAAACAAAAATGGTTCCTATATACCTAATTTAAAATAGGTGCCCAATTAAAAAAGGTAAGTTAGATTAAATTACGAATGACCCCACACCAAACTTTAGTTCCAAATCTGGTCTGTAGACGGCTATCTGCCACAAGGGATTTCGTTGATAGCTTGTAAAATGTTTCTGATGCGATTTTCATTTTCAATATTGTATCCGCTTCTAGGTTGTTCGAAGTTTATTGAATTAACTAGTATTTTTCTAAATTGGGTTTTATGAGGCTGCCGTCGTTCGGGGACATTCCCAAGTACCTTGCTGAGGTAATGTCGGTGTTTCTGTGTGACTGCAAGTACAGCGCTAACACGTCAAACTTTTCTTCATTTGAGTATGGAATACCGGTTATTTTCAACAGGTTTTGATAAATTTTTTTTTGGCAGACGATTTCACTGAGAGAAAACGTACCTACTACTTATTAAAACACAATTTTAATACTTTGAATTATTTAACGCCAAAGTCACAGCTTCCTTAGATGAAAAAAATGCTTTACTTATTAATTTTATTTTGTGATGCTCTTTTCAAAAATCGAAAATCCAACATGGCGGCTATAAGAAAAATGAAAGTTGAGGCAGGTTGCGGGAAAACAGGAGACGTTTGAGACATGTCATCCACGCTATCTTGTTTGCTTTAAAAAAAATGACCGAATAATGTCACATTTTGACAGCTGTCAAATTAACCGTTTCGGATTTACTGGCAAAAAACAGATCGTAAATCTGAAGCCGGCTACCGAATTCATTAGGTTTCACCTAAAACTTTCCCCATTTAGCCTTTGCTGTGGGTATAACAGGAGCCGAGATCCCTGTATGGAGAAACGAATCTGGTACACACATCCGTAAATCAATCTTTAGTTTTTTGGTCAAATCTGGGCACACAAAAGAAAATAGGTCAATGCAAGAGGCAGTTTATAAATTTTTTTAACTTGTTTCTCTAAAAACTATGTTGATTTTGTAACACCTGCGGTTCAGGAACCAAGCAAGTTTTCAGAATAAGGTAAAAGCTGCAAGTCCTTTATCTGGAACCTGATTCTTGTGTGGTCGCGATATCTTGAAGATGTCATGATCTTTGACTAACGAAATGCGTTTTTGTCTAATTTTACGGGAGCCCTCAAATTGTTATCGGCCGCTAACGGATGCCCCTACCACCTTTTGAATTCCAAAGTCGGCCCGATACTCTTCCCCTCAAGTCTGCACGACAGGCGCCTGGTGTGTATGCAGACATTTTGTGAGCCACTGTGTTTTGGTGTTGATACTATTCGTGCAGTTAGGTTTGTGATACTACATATACGTCAGTAAATTATCCAGAGTCTTTTGGTCACTGGGGCATCCAGTACATAAAGAATAATGGAAATACTTGTATGAGATATACATATATACAGTGTACATAGGACTCAGGGACCTGCAAAGCTGTAGCACTTTGTCAAAAACTACAATTTTGATCGAAGTCCCATAGAAATTTTGTCAAAACTGTCATGTTCTGCTCCAACTTGCCGTGCACTTAAATGGGGATTCTGTTGCAACTTTAAGTTCCAACCGATTCGCCTCATTGTTGACGTTTCGATTATTTACAACTTTTTTGTATAGTGCACTGATCCACTTGATTCAAAAAGTTCCCGTATTAAGGAAAATCCGTCCGGCCTTGGATGTCGCAAATTAGGGTACCGTTGCTTATAAATACGAAATATGAGGAAAGTAATTCTTTATGGTTCGCTCAAAACGAACATCATATCCATCATTTCTCATTCAGAAAAAGAATCATTTTTAACTACGTTTTTAGTCTTAATATTTGCTAATAAATGTTTGACAAATTGTAACCCAATCAACAACTATTTTGTTTCCATTTATAATGCGAAAATTTAGTGAATTATGCCGTCGCATTTTTTGACCACCCTGTATAAACGAAAATGGGGATTCAAAAACTATTGAATAATGTTGAAGCTGGGGTATGTAAATTTTTTTGATAAACAGTCCAGAGATCCATCTTTCTAAATAGCGGGCTGCCGGGTTGCCGAAGTAGGAGGTTTTTCAAGACAAAACACACCTCAGTTACTAATTATCAAAACCCCCTAGTGCGTATGTCAATCATCTCCTTCTTCTTCTTCTGCATTGATCTATCCAAACATGCAAAAAATGGTCAACCCGTTTAAAATTGTATATGTGTGTTTTTTTTTAGTTGAGGCTAAGAAGAGTTGTAAAAGCGTTCCGGATATAATGAGTTCATTAGATGCTGAAATAGATAGCTTGTGCCTTTCCACAGCAAACAGTACAGTGAAAAGTCCGACGAGGCCAAAAAGTACAGATATGATCTACTTAAATAGGGAAAGAAAAGAAACTCTTGACGACGGCGACATATTGGATTCATTGGGTTTTCAGGAGCAGGAGTTATGCAGATTGATGAGTTCCATGGGATTCCCTCTTTGTCGGGTGATTAGAGTCTGTAAGATTTTAGGGAGCGATCAGAAAAAGGTTAGTTATCAATACAAACGGTTGTCTAAACCAATTGCGTGTAATTTTAAATCAATGCTAAAAATATCCTCAGAACCTTCCAGATAAATTGTTTAATTGAATTCTAAATGCTACTCAAGATCCACATACAGTGCTTTTCAAATCCCCTGCTTATTTTTTGAGCGACTTGATTTAATAAGCTGAAATTTGAGGTGATGCAATTCGTGCATAAATACTGTACCGAGGTACTGGTGATTCGCTGATCGAATAGCCGCTTTCAGAATCATTCTCAAGAGAAAAAGTGCGTCTAATGATACGAAGAACCCAGGAACGTGTTTTAATTCTGTCGGTGACTCTGCTACCTGGTTTTCAAGAATAGGGTTCCGGGTAATAGGTGACCTAAAATGCAACAAATTTGGTCCTACCCTATATATGTATCAAAATCGATGATTTTAGAGACTTTACAATATTTGTGATTTTTCAATGATCACCAAAAATTGAGCATTTGTGTCTAAATAATAAAACTATGTAAGAACTATGTAAGAAATGCATGATACTTCTAATGATTTTAGTAGATTATACTGAAATTGAGCTAATGCAATACAAATAAAAACTGAAAAAATACTACACACAATAAAATACCAGCTATTTCGAAAAATAAAAAAGGTTTCGTTTTCAGCTTTCCTCAGAAAATTGTTAGTATGTTGAGCATACAAATTACTTTAAAATCTTGCCCGCATAGTTAGATTTCCAAAAAGGTATTAAACATCAGTATAAAAGTTTTTTTTTAATAGCGAAGCCGCGTAGGCAGAAGCCTAAATACCAGGACACCCTCTAGGGTTAGTAGAACTGGGAAAATCCTCCTCATGTAGATTGTTTATATATTTTGCATGATTTTGTGCTCAATTTTGGGGATTTTTAGGATTTGCTCCCATAACTCGGAAAACAGTGTCAATATTTTTAGGGTATAAAGTAGGGTAGAACATATGAAAAGTATTAGGAGAGTAATCCTATTTCATCATAGCTTTATTTGAACAATTTTTATGTTTTGTTATTACTCACTCTCAACAGTGCCGTAGACACTAAGATATTATATAAAATAATCTAACGATACCACTAAAAAAATTGCTGTCGTCAAAATTGTAGTATTTACTTATACAAAATCTCACTATTTCTTGGACTATACCAAAGTCAGTACAATACTGCTAGGTAGTACATATTGATGACAAAGACCGTATATCGATAAAAATTAATTTATCATGCTTCATTTATGTAAATTATTAGGAACTTTATGCGTTGTTCAACAAAATAACAGATTTATATATTGGAGCAAATAACAGCGATTCAGGCAAGTACATATGGAAGTCTCTCTCTATCTCTCTCCATATTTCTCTCCAATTCAGAAGATCTGTGAACAGTGCCAATTCAGTTTTCTTTCTTTGATTTGACCTTGAGTCATTACGATGTCGTTGATTGATGAGGTAGGTTCAAGCAGGCAGCAGCGGTGGCCGCAGTAGTAGACTCTTCGGTCTCCTGATCAGTCGCCGTGCTCTGTGCGGGTTCGAGTCCCGTCCCAGGAGAAATTTTTCTCTTGGCTATGGATGTTGTGATTGTCCGTAGGTGGTAGATGGTCTCTGACTGTCGAACGTGGAGGTACCACCCGGCGGATCTCGTAGGCGGAGCCAGAATGTGTGCATGTTGCATGCACACGTGTTCCCTCGCCAGAGTCCGTGTGGCGTCCCCCCTTTCCCCTGTATCCCCCTATAGCCCCACGGTACCCAATGGGTGTTTAGGCCTTAGGCCTTCGTGGTAGTTGGAATATAAAAAAAACACCGTAACTAATCAAGGGGTGCCCTCATTGTCTCATAGATGGCGTCATGATAGGATAGAGCCATCTATGGGTCATTTTCGTGGCCTACCATCGCAACGTTGCATTTTCATGAACTGGCCTCGTTGCCGCTTATCAACATCGGGGGAATTCTTTCCGTCGCCGAGAAGTTATAAATAGTACGAAATCCTATGAATAATTTAAGGAGGGATGTGGGTTGAGGATTAATATTACCTTGGCAGGTTTGATACATGTTTAAGGATACATGGAACATCGCTGTCAGTACCCCAAATTTCTACTTGTAAAACTTGACCTTTTTCAAGAATAAGTTGGGGGGACGTTTTTTGAAAGCCCTGTTATGTAATTTTATATTCAACTTTAGTTAGCTTCGTGAACAAGGATCATGTTATTTTTGAGACAATAAAGCTTATTTATCTACATGCCCGTAAATTATCTGTCAACTAAACCTATGCTACTGGTACTACTGACCACCAACCTTGAACATAGATGGCAGAATGTGTAACTATAAGCCAGTCAAATTAGATCTAAGCATGTGTTGAGCATATATAGTTGGAAAGAATATTTTGCTGGGTAATGAATTCGATCAACGATCTACTCGTATTTTGGCTCACCTGCAACAAACCTAGATACATCCGTCTTGGACAGTATCAGATGTAAAGATCTCTTTAAAAAACAACAACATATTTTATGTTTCAGGTCTTGGAGCATTTGTTAGTGCTTTCTGAGCTGATCGACTTGGGATTTGCGGAAAAAGATGCGTCGAGAGCCTTGATGGAAAACAATAATGATAGAGACAAAGCATTAGATCAACTAGTAACATAACATTCCTCTACAAAATGGCTGTTTTTTGTAATTCTGCATAGGTATACTTATTTATGTATTGTTTGCACGGATCCACATAATTTTTTATTCAAAAGTTGATGTACCATAAGTATCAAAATATAGGATTTTCAATGTTTATATTTCTTATGAGGATGTGAATCATGTCACGATGTCTTAAGAATTTTATCAAAATGTGATAATTTACAATGGTTTTGTGACTCTTGCAAGGTTAAAGTGGAAAAGCCGGTCTCCAATCAGATCTGTGGCAAATTGACTACATTTGAATCATCTGAGTTAGCTATCTGCAGGAAAGAAACCGAGTGTTTGTAAAGAGAAAAAGGTCTGATGCAAAAACTAGTAAATGAATTAGAATATTCAAACACACTGTTAAAATCAAAATTATCCGATAATGATAATTTTCCTGCTGGTAGAGATACTGTAACCTGTGAAGGTGGACCACTTTTTGTGCCCAAGGATGTAAATACACCTAGCTACAGCGATATACTAAAAAAACGTGTAAACAATATTGATTCATCTGTATTACTGGTAAAATCAGCAAACAACAAGCAGAACACCGATGTAGTCAAATGCATTAGGGATGCAGTCAATCCAGTCGAACTAAACGTTCATATAAGTGGTACAAAAAAACTAAAGATGATGCAGCAGTATATTGCAACAGCTCGCAGGACCTGCAGAAGCTGAAGGAAGCTCTTAGAAACAAGCTTGGAAATGGGTATCACATTGGGGAATCCAAGAAGTTTAATCCTCGTATTATAATTAGAAATGTTTCTTCTAATGATGATTTGGGCGATAATGATAGCATTGTTCAAAACATATTGACTTTAAACAACTTGAACGATGAAGATTCTTCAACCTCGATGAAAGTAGTCACAAAGTTAAAGCTGAGGGATTCAAAAAATATGCACCTAGTTCTAGAAGTGTCTCCAGCTATTAGAAAACTTCTACTAGCAAAAGGTTTCGTCTACGTAGGATGGAAGAGGTGCAGCGTAGTTGATCACCTCAATATTATGCAGTGCCGAAAATGCTGTTCATTTGGTCACCTTGAGAAGAACTGTGCATCTAATGTATCTACGTGTCTTAAGTGTTCTAGTGGCCATTCTTATAAAAATTGTGACAGTGATTCTGTGAAATGTGCAAACTGTGTACAGTATAACCGTAAATATCGTACAAAAATAAATGTTGAGCATGCTGCATCGGATAAAACATGTATGCTTTTTGAGAACCATGTTCTCAGTCTTAAAGCTAGAATAGATTATGGATAAGTTAGGATCAATGAAGCTTGGTCATCTGAACGTGCGATCTCTCATGTCCGACTTTGCTGCAATTATTGACCTGATTCAGACTGAGCGGTTCGGTATTTTCGCTGTAAGTGAAACATGGTTGAGCCAAGACATTACCAATGATGCGGTGAGTATCAATAATTACAAACTGTTCCGTAGTGACAGGGGATCCCGCGGTGGCGGAGTAGGAGTCTACATATCCACTGACCTTCAGGTCGAAATTATTAACTTTGACAACAGCTTTGGAAATTGCTTGGAACAACTGTGGGTTTAGCATAAAAATAAACAGATACCTCTTGCTTTTGGGTGTGTTGTATAGACGGCCCTCACAAAACCTCAATGATTGCATCAGCGCTCTAGATCTCATGTTACCGTTAATGTCAAACAATTTTGATAACATTGTTATTGTAGGAGATCTGAATGTTGATATTTTGAGCGGCAACAACGTCCTTTCTCCATGCTTTCAAATGGTGGGTTTTTCTCAAATTGTCAGTGATCCTACAAGAGTGACAAGTAACACAGCATCCTTATTAGATCCAGTTTTTACTAATAAACCAGACATTATTTCCGACTGTTTGGTTCTTGATTCTAACGGCATATCTGACCACAAAATGGTATCGTGCACTCTCTCCATTCCTGATTTGAAAAATAAACAACGGTTTGTAACTGTAAGGAACTTCAAGTGCTTCAACGAAGAATATTTTCTATTTTCTGCAAATTTAGACGACTTATTTTTTATGAACGATATAGATGCTAAAGTTGAGTTCCTAACAAATACACTGATGAGAGTTTATGATAAACATGCTCCTGTAACTACTTTTAGAGTAAACAAACCACCTGCTCCATGGCTATCTCCCCGCCTACGTGACGTTCTTAAAGAAAGAGATATTGCCCATACTACATATAAAACAAATAAAACTGTAGAAAACCTAAATATTTATAAGCAAAAAAGAAATCACGCACTTACTCCGGTGAGGAAAGAGAAAAGAGCATATCTACAATTTCTATCTGAACAGAATGACGAAAAAAAGATATGGATTGGCTTAAAGCAGCTTAATATACATTCTCGGACAAAAACCCCTCTTCCAGATAATCTATCTGATCCAAATGAAATCAATGACTACTTTATGTCAGTTTACAGTACAAATAATGCCTCGGAAGAATTATGTCACCTATACAAAAATCGTCACTTCTTTCCACCTGATTCTTTTCCATTCAGAATTATTGATCCTTCAGAAATTCTACAAACTATTAAATCTCTTAAATCAGATGCCAAAGGAATAGATGGTCTTACGCTAACTATGGTAAAGGTAAGCCTACCCGTTATATTTTTCCACTTAGTTCACATAATCAATCTATGTCTTGAAACTGGTTACTTCCCTAAAATTTGGAAGCAAGCACTGATAATACCTATAAGAAAAACTTTGAAACCCGGTCTCCTATCAGATCTTCGACCAATCAGTTTACTACCTATTTTGTCAAAAATCCTTGCAAAGATTGTACAACTTCAACTTACATCATACATTGAAGTACATCAGATAATTCCACCTAATCGATCGGGTTTTAGAAAACATTATAATACAACATCGGCTTTAATAAACAGATGCGACAACATCTTTCGTGTTCTGGTCAAAAAAATGGGTTTAGCTTTAATATCAGTCGACAACTCTAAAGCCTTCGATAAGATAGATCATAAACTTTTATGTGCTAAGCTACGTTCTGTTGGTTGTGATGAGGTTGTAATCAAATTTTTTGAAAGCTATCTTAAAAACAGGACTCAATGTGTTTCAGTGAAGGGTATTACATCTGATGTCACTCGAATACCTTCAGGAGTGCCTCAGGGTTCCATTTTGGGACCTCTTTTGTTTTTAATCTATACATTTGACTTATCTAGATCAGTTTACAACTCTGATATTCAATCGTTCGCTGATGACACCCAGCTCTCGGATTCTTTCGGTATAGAAGATATACAGAGCACTGTCAAAGTATTACAAGCAGATATTGATAGTCTATGCAAATATGCAGATCACAACCTCAGCATAAACCCGGAAAAATCTAAGATTTTATTGTTTTGTTCAGACAGCAGAAGAAACGACGTTGTTTCGCTCTTAAATGTGAACATAGACATAAGCAGCTCGAGCTCACCAATAGCGCAAAAATATTGGCTGTAGAAATTGATACAAAATTAAGATTTACCGAGCATGTAAAAAATCTGACCCAAAAAACCTATGCACGTTTACGCAGTCTTTATTCAAACAGATATCTGCTAAACTTCAAAATGAGGAAAAAACTTTGCGAAACCTTCGTTGTGTCTGTCTTGAACTACTGCAGTATTCTATATTTTCCCTGTTTGGATCAGATCACTAAACACAGAATCCAATTGATTCAAAACAGCTGTGTTCGCTTTATATTCGGCATGAGAAAGTTCGACCATGTCTCTCACAAATATGCAGAGTTGAGATGGCTGAAGTTTGACCAGTTGGTCAAGTTACATTTTTCCACATTTATCCATAAAATTTTAATTAATTCTAAGCCAGAATACCTATGTGAAAAAATTATTTTTAATAACACCATTCACAATAGAGCTATTAGAGACAGGCACGTTATCAAAATTCCGAAGCATTCAACATCTCTGTTCCAACAAAGTTTCTCATATAACGTTGCAACAATATATAATTCTTTGGACAGTAAATTTAAGACCATGAGTTTACCATGTTTCCGCTACAATGTTAAGTTGAGTTATTTGAATGATTAACTTTTCTCTCAATATTCATAGACCTTTTTAGAGTAGCAGTATGTGCACACAAAATATCTCATTTTCCACTTCTCATATGGGTTATAAGTGATTTGTCATATATATTTTGCATTTTTTTTTCTGTTAGCTGTTAACAACGTAATATTTAACTTTAGTGGTTAAGTGTTAGAGTAGCATATTGCTAAACTTCGCCACTATAGTTACACTTTATATATATATATATGCACATGTATAGTATATATTATTTAATAAAGACGTTTATTATTATTATTATTATTAATTGTTAGTTAACCTATATCCGCATCGCAGTGGAAGAACTGTGCAAAAAGGTGTGCGAGAATCTGGAAAGAAAGCAAAGCGACACGTAATTTTTATGGAATCGGAACTGTAAAGTAGAATAAAACAAATAAGAAAATAGGTTTTAGACATTCCAGATTATAAGAGAGAGAGAGAGTATAATCTGGAAGACTGAAAAATCAGTTTTCACTTTGGGGATATATTATTGCAGTACGTCTCTTAGCTATCATAGCTGATGAAAACTGCTATTTTTCAGATTGACCTTCAAACTTTATGCTTGAAAGCAGTAATGACGTAACGCTAGCTTCACAATAGTTTTACAATGATAGCCTTTTAATAATTTATTATTTTGATTCCACCAAAAATTCTCTTAAAAAACGCACCTCATTTTTTACCTGATCATTAAGCAATGTTATGAGTGGTGGAAATAGGTTCAGCTGTTTAAAGTTATGGGGTGTGTGGGTCAGTGGCGAAGCGTCCATGTAACCATTGTTACCATTGGTAACAGTTTAAAATCTTAAAAATAAATATTTTATGACTAAGTTACTGTGAAATAATTTCATTTATTTGTTTACGAACAGCGGTATGTAATACTAATTCAGTAAATAGCAAATTAGCCCCACGGAAATAATGCGCCCTATAGTGTCTAGGTTTTGCGAACACGATGAAGCTGACTCGCCTCGACTTGGTTGTCGATTCGGATGTTACCATTTTTTGATTTGGTTACTCACTCCTCACTCGTTAGTAGCCGTTTTGGTTTCTGGCTGTAGTGTGCGTGCAATTAAACATGGATGAGTGTCGCTGCGTAATCGATCAACTACTTGAAAAGTCATTCTCCTTGTATAATTTTTGAGAAAAAAAAGGATATAATTGAAAATGGAAGACCAACACCTACATTAGATAATTTTAAAAAGGAATAAAAAACGTATTAAGTTGGTATATGGAAACTTGGTTATGTGGTTGCAAAAAAACAAGATTGTATTGTTGGCGATGTCTTCTGTTTTATACAGAAAACAATGGGTGGACCAGCAGCGGAGTCAACGATTGAAATAGTTTTAGGGCTCTAAAGAGGAGACATGAAATTTATCCGTTACATGTGAGATGTGTAGCCAGTTTTATTCAGTTTGGCAAAACAAGAATCGAAAGTTGTCTTAAACAAGCTTTAGACAGCACACTTCTAGATACCGTATGTTTTTTCCCAAAACAGGAATTACCGTTCATTTTGAAGGGGATGACTCTGACAATAGAGGATATTAGAGGGAATTGTTAACATTCATTGGACATCTAGAAACGTCGACTGTTTTTTCGGACGGCTTGGATTAGTCATAGCATAAGACGTTTAGGTATATCAAGTGCCCCAGACGCTCAGTCCAGGAATGTTTACCTTAATTTGAAAATAGTTTGAATAAAATACCTAATATAAGCAAAAAATTATATTTGGAAGGTTCAAAATAAACTTTTTTTAATAAGATTTTTCACATCTGGTTTTGGTAACAGTCTAGGAGAAGTCACGCGTCGCCACTGGTGTGCGTGTGACAAAGTAACTGAGTTTTCCCTCAGTGGGGCATCAAAAACGTTTAATTTGAAGATTACTAGATTACTACCTCCCGATCAGATAAACCGATTTTAGTTCGTTTTTTTAATAGACGGTCTTGTCTGTCGTTATGGTTTCTAGCTATATTTGAAATATCAAAATCGATTTATCTGTTTAAGATATTGAGCCCCCCTCACCGGGATGCAACGGCAACGTTGCCAGCATCCGTAGTCAAATTTATTTCAATAAGTTTTGAAAATGTTGCCCATTATTGGCCAAAAGGCGATGTTCAAATTTCTGACGGACATTTTCAAAAACATGTGGGATATCATGGCAGCTTTCGATGATGCGTTGACAAAGTTCATCCAAACTTTCAGGTTGCGGAGTAAACACAATAGATTTCAAATGGCCCCATAGAAAAAAGTCTAATCTAGGAGATATATCAGGCCCACTTCGCCCTAACCATTTATCTGAAAACTCGTCGTTCAGCCATTGCCGAACCGGAAGAAGGAGGAGCGCCGTCTTGCTGGAAATCTATTTCAGGCTCAACATATCAAAATAAATGTCTCCATTCAAATTTCGATTAATAAACAATGGCAATCACTTGTTTCCTAAAATGTGTGCCCATACATTAATTCTTTGGGGTACTGGGTATGCCCTTCTACAAAAACATGAGGATTTACATTGCTCCAATAACTGCAGTTATGCTTATTAACAAATCCATTTCGATAAAATGTGCATTCATCACTGAAGCAGATATTCTTTACATGAATGGTATTATGTTTAATCACCGGCTATTTGTTCACAAAACTCAACTCGCTTATCGAAATCATCTTCAGTTAACTCTTGCAATATTTTCATTTTGAATGGATGAAATTTATGTAGTAACTGTGAGTACAGAGTCTATTGAAATACCAGTTGCATCAACAATTTTGCGTAAAGTATTTATTCCAAAATGATCCAAAACTTCAACTTGAGCGGCTTCTTCTAAAACTCTCCGATGATCACTCTTTTTATTTGCAAGAGATCCAGTTTGGGTAAATTTAGTAACAAGTTCCAAAACATACCTATGCATAGTTATCTTCCCTGGATGTCTGGCATTAAACGTGACGACAGTTTGTCGAGCACATTGATTTTGGGCACCATAAATTAGAATCATTTCCACTCTTTTGGTGTGTGTAAACCATTTTGGAAGTAAAATCTGAGTGAATCAATTAATGTCACAAAGGTAACTGACAGCAAATTAATTTTTTTCTTTGCCTTAGCAACAAATAACTGAACAGGTATAACAATAAATTCAGTTCGCCCAGGATATCTGTCTTGATGAGAAGAATGCGGAAAAAAATTCTTGTTGTTATTTGGTTGCTGCAGATTTGGCAACAAGACGGCAACGTTTTGAACACTTATTGAAATAAAAAGTGATATGTAAAGATTTTTCTAATTTTCTCGTGAGCGAATCGACTGATTTTAAAAAATCAAACGTCAAAATAAAGGACTTCGAAAGACCTTTCAAACAAGCTATTACTCGATACCCCTTGTCATTTAAAATTTTCAAGGGAATGCCCCTGGGGGCCGAGGGTGAAAGTAGTTTTTGGCTAAAAAGTTGTCAATGTTGACAAATTTTTTGACGTGACTAGGCGTTTTTCCTTTTAATCAGCGGTTTTCGATAAATCCGTCGCGAACATGAACGCCCTGAATTGCAGCTTCCTGGACAGATGACGGCCCCAAAAGTCGAAATTTCAACAGGTTATTCTGGTCATGGTGTCTCGTGAGGGAGGGCTCAAAAATAGATTAAATCGTAGACAATTTAGATTTGAAAAGAGAACACCACTGATTCTAATGAATATTTATTAAAAGTAGATAATGGTATATGTATTTAATTTAATTAACATATCACTCAATAGTCGTAGAAACATTTTTTTTAATCTCCCAGTTGCTTATAAAGTATCGGAACGTAGTCATCCCATTCTGCTTGATAGAAGTTAGCAGCTACTGGTTCTCCCAGTTTGTATTTCTGCGCAAATTTTCTAATTGAAAATTTTCCGCGATTGTCCCCAGATCTGAAACGGAAACAAAATTCAAGTTTCAATTAACACAGATGGATATGGACACCTTTGCATTTTTTTAAATAATTCTTTGGCGAGAACAAATATTCCTGTGAAATTGCATGAAGCAGATTTACTAATATTGATATATTATCCATTATTTTCATTCCGTTAATATCCCATGCAAACACGAGATTGATAGAAAGTATTTTTGTGTCATTTCAATTTTACTTTGTCTGCACTAGTGTCACAAATCATCCAGAAATGTTACTTCAACGAAATTCATAGTTATCTAAAAAATATGTTAAATTACTCATCCAAACCAACTCAAATCTGCGGCATAGCAAAACAATGTGGACGTATATTTATGTAAAAGGTTATAAGAATTTTAGATGTGCAGAATACACTGTCAGGTTTGACTATAATACATAAAGGCTCCAACTTACAATGACCGGAGTAGCTGAAATTAGCAAGAACAAGTGCACTTAGAAATTTCATGGTAATCAACAATTTTTAAATATAGTAGTAGTAGAACTATTTTGACTTTTTGCTGAAGCATTTAAGCCCTTATCGTTATTTCTGAATTATGAGGTGATGATAAGTTGATTAATTTTTATGTAAAGGCTAAACTTACGTATTTGGCAATCTCTTCTCATCAAAGTTGAGTTTCCCTGGTTGCTTATAAACTAGGAACACGTAACGATGTAGCCCAGTACCTTTTGGTGGGCCAGAGCCAACATAAGCGGAGAGGGTCTCTCCCTTGGTGACGTCACACCCAGGCACATTTCCTACCAGCCAATGATGCCATTCTCTGAACTTCGGATCTTTACGACTTGGTGCATCCGGATCTATCAAGAAGAATCTAACAATTACTGAAATTACGACTATTACGTTTAACGTAAATATGTGGATTCCTGCAATTTATAACTACATTGCAGAACAAACATACATCTTTTAAATAGCATACACAGTACATGCATTGATGGAATATTTCAAGATTGGTAAAAAAATACCATAGGGCTTGCAAATCAATTGCTACTAAATTATTCACTTATTTTCAACAAACAAATTATGACTATCAGAGACCAACAAATAGTAATGCATACAAATGACTATGAGCGGCTCTATTATATTTATTTATAATGAGAGTCCATATGTTTTATGCAGCTTTCTTTGTCAGGACATTAAGCATCATATATTCAGCACAATATGCATATATGGGTTGTGCCGGTGAAAATGCAAGCGCTAAGCTGATATATGCCGCATTGGTGAAATCAAAAATGCAAAAGTCTCATTAGATATTAAATTGTTTCAGAATCTCTGATCCATCATTTTGTTTATACTGACCAGTCATGCACACAACGTAATGCTGATTACTTTCTGCATCCCATGTGATTTTTGGAACGTCCTTCACCTGGGTAGGCGTTAGAACATTGCCCATTTCAACTGCAGCTCCACTGGGATAAACAACCTTTATAAAAATAGAAATTAGTTTTCCCAATCGCACTTTTTGGGATTGAAACATGCGCTCAGCGACAAACCACAAAAACGTGTCATACCTCAACTTTTTTTGAAGGAACCGTATCCACAACATCCGGAACTACCTCGTGCTGCTCCATTTTTGATGCACCCTTGCTAATGTTTTGTGCAGCTGCAGAAAAAAAACGGCAAATGTAATTCGGTCGTCTGAGTGCCAACATTCTAAAAAGATATTTTATTAAAACCAAAATTAAAAACCATGTTCAATATCAGAGTGCCTGTTGTATGAAACTGTCCAGTTGCTCTTTTAAGCAACAGTACAATTATTGTACGTACAAGTGTCCCACCAAACCTTTTACTTCCCACGCCTACTGGCGGGGAAGTATTGTAATTGCGAAAAATTTCGAAAATGAGATATTTGGATTCTATATGACATGAACATCACGAAAAACCATGTCACTCATTTTCGTCTGTCCGCCAATCCTATAACCGCCTGTAACTTGAGAAGCCCCACTCAAATTTTGAAGAAATTTTTTATATACTGTTACTACTATGCCAAGGACGAAAATGATTTGTAGTTTTTGCAAAACGTCCAGTGGCGGCGGAGAAAAAGGACAAGACCGAAAAAAAAAGAGTCGCTAAAACTTCGGTTTTTCACGTTTCAGCTGATTCTAGTCATTTTCAAGTGCGCGAGTAACACCGAACGAGATCCCCCTGGCGTCAGTCTCAGGACGTTGCTCAAAGGAAGAATTAATGGATTCCCGAATGCTCAGTGTGGACGGAAACGATAACGCGGCGCACAGGAATGAAGAGTTTATTGTATTTAGTCCAGTAAATGATGGAATGGAATAATACTAAATTTTTAAAACTACTGCAAGAGTTTGAAAAATTACCGGTACTGTGGGACTTTAGGCACGAAGAGTTCGATTCAAAATCGAAAAAATATGGATGACAACAACTAGTAATCGATGTATCATTAAAAATGTACTGTTGCGAAGCCAAGAAAAAATTAAAAGTCTGATGGGATCATTTCGTCGCAAAAACAGCAAAATAAAGATTTTGACCCTCGGAAAAGATATTGCAAGCTGCTGCAGGAGTCTCCAGTTGCCAAAAAAGGCAAGGTTATGGCTAAACCTTCTCTTGGTGATATAGATTTTCGAAACTGTGTATCATTTTTCATTATCTTTGGTGCAGGTATTCAAAGTCACCCTTGGTCATTCTTCTAAAATTTCTGAATTGATCCTAGACTGAATTCATTTAATAGATTATTACATATTTCTATTACGTAGCAATGTGGACATCTACGTTTCCGATTTTCTTTTGTTTTAATTAAATTATACAGTATAATAAATGCTGCCGCGGCTATATCTCTATTCTCCATTTAACATCGTACGCGAACGGCTGGATCAGCCCATGCGTTGAAAAATGAATTTCAGTTTAAACACTCTCCACGCACGAGAATGAATGCGTGCGCGTATGCTCAGTGCGCTCATATTTAAACGCAAACGTACCTTTACGTTTTATCGCATTATCGGTTCTACACTTTGTTTTGGATATTTGTTGTGATAGATTGATGTATATTCACACTTCTGGATTTATATGTGGACAAGTTCAGCCATCTTGAAACCACCACTTTGAGTGGAATAAGGAAAATGAAATGCTGCATCAGTGCTCTCTCCCCCAGGAGAGATAACATACTTTCATAAAGCGTTTGTGCGTGAGGACAGCGGCATTTGATACCCTTGTTTATCCGACACTGACTCCACAATATTTAGAACTCTACTTTGAAAACGTTAGTGTCCCATGGGTGGCGCTGCAGTCAACTGTTTAATCCTGTAGTAATAGAATCTAATGTGTCATGTCATGACATTCTAGGTCAGAAATGAAAGAATAAATTTTAAAACTGTGTCATATTGGTACATTTTACACAAGTATTCATAGTATGAATCCTTCTTATCCAGTAGTTCTTGAAAATTGTAATTGAAACATGTTTATTAATATACCCCCTTAATGAATGAAGAAATTGATCTGCAATTTAAAACCATTTTTTAGGACATGTTATGCACTTTCTGATCAATAAAATGCAGACACATCCACAAAGCGCCACCTTGCTGCAAAAGATAGACTGAACTAAACTGACAGGATTGAGCATTTACTATAATCATTTAACAAAAACAATTTCTGCCCGAATTTATTCAGATGATTTCTTCAAGGTCATCATGATTATGTTTTGCAGTGTTTACATCAATACATTCATGGATTATCTGTCAGTACTCAGTGCTGCCAACCACACAACACATTCTTGCCAAAAATATTTTGAGGTTTTTGCTTTTATGTCTATTGTGGTTTTGATTTACAAGCCAATCTCATAAACAGAAACTGTACTGTTGAATATTGTAATTCTATCAAAGTTCTATACTTGAATTGAAAAGTTGTTCAATACAATAGAAAGAAAAACAAGATTGGCACCATAAAATATGACATCCAACCTAGCAAAAATTAGAACTAAGTTCTAATTTTGTGAAGGAATCCATGAACAACTTCATGGATTTATTTGATGACAAATTCCTGTTTTACACTTTTGAAATGTTGCCATGAACTCAATTCATGATGAAATCTGGATATTTATTGTCATTGTAAACTAGGTATTAAGAGCACAGGTAATTTTTCAAATTAAACCAAGATTATCAAGGTATGTTCATTATGATTGTTTGCAAGAGATAATGGCATTTGAATTTTTGAAAGTGGAGTGGTGCCACATAGGGGCATTTTAGTAGTAGTTTTTAAGTTATCAGGTAAGTTCATTTTGTTTATTTGTAAATGAAACAGCTCAACTATTTATACCTAGCAACATTGGTATTCATAGTCATAGCAGTATCAAATACCTTATGAAAATATTTTTGGGAAGAAAATTTGCTTCACCCGCAACTATTTCTGTTTTAAATTACATAATAATAGACACTAGTACATGTGTAAAAAATTCAAACATTGCCTGTTTCCTGGGCTCTAGCGTTTACCGGCACCAAAAATGGTTGGAAATGAACGATTTTGTTGTAACAAAAATACTGGAGTGTCCCAGGAAGAATTCAATTCATCCAAATGTCCCGGGTTTTTGAAGCTTTTGTCCGGCGTCGGTCATTCAGGTAATGATAGGGCTAGGGAACACAACACACACATAATGTATTTGGAAAACGTCAGTACATAATACATGAAACTGGAGTTACTTACATAATTACTTTTCGTCATTTGTTTGTCTGGGCGGTCCGTAGGACCTTTGCCTATTAGTCACTGTCTAATGTAGGTTAGTCGAATCTGTCAGCCCTGGTTGCCCAGAAACCTGACAATGTCAAGGGAAAGAGAAGAAAAACAGAAGTGTTTAGTTTAAAGAGGAAACGCCTAAGCTTTTTGACTTGGTATACGGATTAATTTTGAGGTGAACTAAATAACTTACATATTATTATCTCGGAAATTCTATAAACTGCTTATCAAATTCCACAAAACTTCTTAAAACTACCTTTGAACCGTGGTATCCGTATCACTCTGGGCCTGCTCTGAGGGTTCGTGGGTCAGCACTCCGGCAGAAGTTTCACGCCCGGTTGAAAAGTCTGGAATTCTATGGAAGCCGGTACAACACAAAACGCTAAATTCCATATTACTCAAGGGCAACATAATTGACTCATGTCATTGTCAAGCGGCCATTTTTTGGAGAATGTACTATGACTATGGTTGGTCCATTGAACAATAATGCCACGCAACGTTGCCAGCTCTACATATACATCTGAGATTACTATACTTTTACTTTAGGGCTGGTCGAATATAATTAGTATTTTTTGCGGTTGTGGCCAGTTACCTTCACTGAGATCGGTTTGTAAGCTAGACTACAATGCGCCAAATATCAATGGATATTACATATTTTCTTATTTAAAGGGTTGGATATGTAACTAAAGGAGAACAGACAGCTGTTTTCAAACAAATATTTATTTAAAACAGTTTCAACAAATCCACAAAAATCTTTCATAGTAACCATAAATCAGATAAATTTCAATAATTCCTGATAAATAATTCGACCTTGATACAAACCTTAAGCATAAATGGGTAACGAAATTTGACGGCAATCTGAAACCTTGTACGCACTGTTTTAATTGATTTTGAAAGCTACGCTAGGTGGAGCTTTAACCCAAACAGATCTCAAACGTTTTACTGAGTGACTGGATCACCTTAAACTCTCAACATTGCTTGAATGGAACACTACGTCTGCGGAAACTTCAAATCATTCAAAAATAATCACAGTGCATTGTCACTAATAAAGCTACGCTGTATACTTCATTCACAGCTTCTTGAAATAAAGGAATTCATAATACCCATTCTTTTCTGACCGAATCAAACCACATATGTTTGAAATTCTTCTTTATTGTACGACGTTTCAATACCAATATATTGTCAAGTGTCAATTGTACTTGAAAAAGGTCACCATTGGGACAAAAACGTCGTACAGTAAAGAAGAATTTCTAACATATGTGTTTTGATTCGGCAAAAAATGGGGGATTATCAGCATGAAAACCACAGAGTAAGTTTCAGATGTTACATTAAGGGAAATGAGTTTATTTAGAGTAATTTTCTGTAGTTTCCCATACACATACAGGCTGACCGAAAATTCGGCCTATTTTTTTTTTATAGTTCATTCGCAAAAAATTAACTTTCGTTAATTGTGGGTCAACAAATAAGAATGTTTCGAGGCATCCAACTATTAAGACTTTGTTTGTAATTAACGGTGATTAATTGAGGCCCAACAAATAACAAGGTTTCGAGTCATCAAACTTTTAAGGCTTGTTTGAAATTATCTGACATATTACTGTAAAGAGACTACAAAAATTGTCAGTTTAGTGATACTCTGCTGAAGCTTTTAAACCATCAACTATTGTTCAAATAAATTCCGTTCCACTGTTCTAACATCGCAGAATAAAGTAACTTAACTAACAATCCTATTTATCTTTCTGAATTTGAAATAGAAAGAAATCAATATATTAGGTACAAATCTTAACAATTATCGTAAGTAGATAAAATGAAATTTAAAAAGATCCTCAAAACGCCTATAACTTGGAAACTATTAACCCCCAGTCATTGGGGATTAATTCGTTGCAACTTGTAATATAAAATTTTGCAAAGAACCGCTCGAATTTCTGGTCAGCCAGTTTTGACGTAAACTGTGTGGAACGTTACAGTGAGAAAATTGTTTGAAACGTTTCATAAATCAGTGTTTATATATCAAACTTCTCAGGTTTTATGAATTAATATTGGAAAGTACAGCATCAATCAGATGACGGTGGATTAGTAGTGTATAAATACAGGGTGTCCGCAAACTTTCCTTTTCTGACACAAGTACGCTTGATATATCAAAGCTAATGTGTGGTGAAACGTGAGCAACAAGTAAAAAAATGAATAAGTACTCATTGTTCAGTTGAATTGAAATTCCAAGTACGGCTCTGTCGTAAAATCTGTATTGACATCGTAGTCGTACGTCGTATAACTGTACGCTGGCGCTATGGACGTGATCGTGGAATAGGACAGGACCGGCTTCGGTTTGGTTCAGGTTTGATTAAGTTTTCGGAGCCCAATATCTCGGTTCTCTTAAGACATCAGTGTATATGCTACTAAGAAAATCCGCTTATTTTCTCAAAATCTATACGTCGTGTAAAGGAAAACCCCAATTTAGCGGACACCCATAGGTATACCATTTTACTCTCCCCACCTAAATATTTCAAAAACTGCACATTCTAGAAAAAAGTTTCAAACAAAAGTTATGGGGTTTCAAGGGAGCACATTTCACGTCCGAACATTACATTGGCCATAATCTTGACTATTGCCTTCAAGGCAAATTCGAGGTCAAATCAAGATGTCAAAAACAATTTGCTCTAGCAAAAATGTTCGTGTCAAGCTTAAATGTTATGTGAGGTGAAAGTGATATTCAGACGTAAAATAGTGAGTATTCAATTTCTTTTTTACGTTTTCGGTGTTGTTTTGCCGCAAATTAGCTTTGATATTGCAAACGTAGTTGACAAAAGGAAAGTCCTAACTTGGAGACCCTGTATATGCACGGTGTCCCATTTTATACATATAAATGGAATATGTGAATGATGATTGCATCCTTAGTTTTATATTCCAAACTATCGTCGGAAACCTCCTGTGTGCATCAAATTGGTTTGAAAATATCACGGGATAGTACAATTTTTTCCCTCAACAATATCCTGAGGCCCAGCGACGGAATGCAAAAGTTGCAACGTTGATAGATGTGGCAATAACTGTTAAGCTTGTCGGTTGTCGGTAGTTACTGCCAGGTAGTTCTCATAAGTTTATGATGATTTGTAATGTATTTAATATCAAAATTAACATTAATCATTTAGGTGCCATTTACTCTTCAGTATTGTCACACAAGATAGTTTGAAAGGTCTTTTGAGACATTATTATCATTAATTATAAAACATGAGTTGAGTCGAATCCTTAGAAGTTTAGCAAGATTTCTGTTGAAAAAATCCAGGTCAGACCTTTTAAATTTTAATAATGATTCCAATACATATCTCAAAAAAGTTTATCTTCAAATAACCTGGAATAGGAGGCTCAAGGTCAAATCCAAGGTCACAATCGAAATTCATGATAAAAGTTACAAGAGAGCCGACCTTAATATGATGAAAAAATGTCATCAATAATTCTGCTAACCTTCTAGATCCCCAGCCTCACACATTTAGGGCCTTTTTACTTAAAAACAATTGTTGACCCCTTAATAACCTTGAAGGTGGTACTGAGGGTAACATCCAAGGCCACCAATTAAATATTTGTTCAAAGTTAGTAAACACTGACCTTGTCCAAAAATACCTTATCTGGAAAAAATACAGAGCTGTTCTGTTACTGTTGTTACACCCGGTACATATTTTTTATGCACAAAGACTGACAAAATCGCTATTTCCCGCCCACATCCCTTTGCCTTACATTCTTTCGCTGAGCCAATAATATGCTTTGTAGTAAACATAATTTTCCTTTTTATGTATATTATTATTGTATATAAATCGGTTGTGAACATAAATGGTAAAAAATCACGTAAGATCAGCTATAAAGAACTATAAATCAACAGGCGGTAGGTGTTACTACTATATGACTAGGTACCGTCAAATTGGAAACTGAGGTCCGATTTTCCAAAGATGTGTATATTGAATTACCAAGAATATGTGCTCAAACATTTTCTCTGTTACTTTTGTAACTGAAAAATCACTGATTTCCTGATAACTTGGGCTTTGAATGAATATTTTAAAATGCTCCTTTTGAATAAACACATATATTAGAGCCATACTATACGGACGATTTTTTGCGGCTTATTTTACGGGAGTGGGCGTATTACACGCTTTCCAATGCGGTGATATCGTCGCCGTCACAACGCAACAGGTTGTTTAGTAGGGAGTAGACTAGACGATGCGGAACTCCGTCGGAGGTACAGTCCGTAATAGCAGCGCGTCCCCTAACACAATGGGAGCCATTTTGTAACTAGAAAAAAAAGCGGTATTCTTGCCGTGAATGTACTCGACTGAAAAATCGCCCCTATAGTTTTTCTCTTATAGAACGCTTTTACATCTAAAAATATGTCTTATGCCATTGCCAGTCGCTTATTTTTTTCAAGAATAATTGGAGTACGAGCCACATGCTTCAGACCAAGAGGAATCCTACCTAGCAAATATTCAATTAGCATCCTGTTTTGTAAAAAAAAGCTTAGCAATCCGGTATAAACTATGATTAGATTGCGGTGAAAGTTTGAAACGCGCGCTCGCCAAATTAGATTGTTACTCACTCACTCTCGTCAAAAAAACTTAGCATCTGCTTTGACGTGGTAGTAAATGGACTCTATGATGTGTTTAATAAAAAGGAGCTGAAAACTCTGCATCCGCACTACGAGTAGAACATAAAAATCATTATGTAGCGTTGGAAATATTTATGGAAAAATATGTTTTGGACTAACAGTTGTCGTTACAACACTTTTATATTATCACAATGCAAAAAATGAGATGCATCCGAATTACATCTCCAATCGTAATCAAGCTTTCAATTGCTGCTCGGCAGTAGCATTCACCAAAAAGCTGCAATCTTTATGTTCAATAGGTGAATATTTTCTGAAAAACTATACTATTTTCTCGGAAGTAAAGTTATTTCATAAACTTGGTATAGCAGAACTGTTTTTATATTGCGTTTATTTTAAGTAAACGTTTATATGAAATTTTGGAACCCAGTCTTTAGAATGATTAGCACATCTGTATATAGGGAGATCGGAACCCAGTTTACATACATTTCAGTTTAACAAATAATTCCTATTAAAATTTAAAATGATTACATATTTGCATTCAAGAAAATATGTTGGCTGTTCAATATATACATTGTAACACAAATTTTATGTTAATGATGTATTTTAAGATAAGCATCTTCAAATAGTTCAAGTTCGTGTGCTAGATAGTTGGCCTTATTTCTCAAAACCTGAAATAGGAAAATGTCACATTAACTCCTAGACTGAAGGCAGGATTATACTATAGCCAGACCTCGGGATTCATTAGTAGTAATTCATGTACCTAGAGCGTTAAGGAGACGTTTTTCACCCGCGACGTCTAAGGTGTAAAGCGTCGTGGGTCTCAACACAACACGGGATATAAATCGCTCGAGGTAGATTTCATCTAAGCTCCACTAAACTCAACCATCAGGTTGAATAAATATATTGACCTTCACGGATAGTTGCTCCATATCCCAGCAACAAATAAATAACAGTTCCGGGGTCATCATATTGTTAATTTAAACATGCGAGTTGACAATATTACTTGCCGCGCTAGGGTATAAGGGCTGAAAAGTAGGTCTTATGCCCAGAAGACGTATTCATAAATTGCACTTTACCGCCCGGTCGTTGACAAAACAAACAATATTAGGCCAAAATTGTACCAAAATCATAATAAAAACACTGAGAGAACTTCTCATGTAGAATAAGAAACACTCTAGCGATCTTTCCAATTCATTGTCACCTCGAACGTCAGGGATTTTTTTGGATGTTTATGTTGCTGCTAATGTCATCGAAGTGTTTTTGTATTTATGACATTATTTTATAATAGTTACTTCTTCTGGTACTTAATCAGACGTAAGTTAATTTTAGTATTTTATTTGATTTTGAGTCATATAGTTCATTTCACAGTTTTTGACGGGCCACACTTTTATACATCAATTTTTGAGTAGGCTATAACCGGCCTCGTGGCTATGAATAGATGTCGCCTTGAATACTCGAGGTCTTCTGGACATTATACCACAATGGATGGCTCTTGTTGGTGACATCGTGTTTCGTTTTGTTCCCTCTCCACCTACGTTTCCTCAGGTTACACTTGTATCCACATGTATGTGTGTCTACTTTTGTAGTTACATATGTGCATTCATTTCGAGCCTAATGAAGCCAACAAGCAGAAATATGTATTGCTCGGGTTACCTATCCTTTTTTCTGCTCGAATCCACTTTCCTTTTTTGCGGGATTATGCCCATAATGTTATTTATATATAGTCAAAATCATGAAAGATGACTATTATGTCATACCATAAATTGTACTGAAGTAACCAATGGACGTACGTCGATAATAAAATCACGATGTCAGGAACATAATGACATCAAATTTATATTATGATTTTGCGAAGTTAGGTTATTTCACTGATTATTTTTATTTTCATTTTATTTCGTGGTTTTGAGGGATACCTTAATAATAATTTTAGTGGGGAGTTTTTGTTTTGAAAAAAATAGTTATGAGTAGAATACTTTAAGACTAAAGACCAAAGTATTATTCGAAAACAACCTAACCTACTTTAACATAACCTAACTATTCATCTTTAAAATATGATCGATCATGCAACATGAAAACATCGTCTATCTTTGTCGGATGCAAATTAGCAATACAGTTTGTTTAGACGATACAATTCTGTTTGTCTATGTCTAACATATCAGAAACTTCATTAAAAATATTCACAAATCGCTGTCGTTTGTCTTTACTACAGACTAAAATGATGACGTGATCGTCATCTTTCGTGATTTCGACTATATATGTCGTTATCCAGAGGGCTCAGGCTGTTCCATCAAAGTACACAAAATAAACTTTTTATACCTATTACACTTTTTGCGGACTAAGCTTATTTAATATAACAATATAAAACAATTGAAGTTACCAATAAAAATGATGGTGATATGGCAAATTTATTTAATCTACATTCTACTTAAAAACCTGCTGTAAGTTTTTGATGTAAGTCGGCCGCACCTAAGTTTTTACGCTCTTGACGTTAATACTGTCAACTACCACATTAGAAACTTATGCAAATTAGGTCATTATCATCATATTGTACTACTTACCTTTGCTCTACTACCGGCGCTTTCCAATCCATTAACTTCTTTCTCTAACTTCTTCAATTTTTCATCCATTTCGTTTATCGCTTCGTCTACCAAATGGCATAATCTGGCAAATGTGCCGCTGAGTTCTTGTTGAACCTACAATAAAATTCCATTTTTGTCTCAAACAGAGTCGAATATCCAAATAAGAATTTAATTTCGGAGTCTTTTCAAACTAATCACTGGACCAGTATAATAAAAAGAAGCGGGTGTTTTCACTCGCGAAGAACCAAATAAATAGTCGGTGTGAACAAACACTCGTGCTTGAAGCAAAGACTAAACTTAAACGAGAAGTAAACCTTCATAAGCTCTCTAGAGTGAATGTAAACTGTTCAACTAACGAAATAATTTTTTATCAATTATTTTAGGAGTAGCTTTCAGCAGGTTATTGTATGTATGCTGGTTACTTACCTGATGACTGCAGTTTGCAGACGTCAAATCAACAATCATCCGTAGTTTTCGTGTCGCATGGTCGACGTATTGTTTCTTGAATGCACGTTCTTTGGCTTTGTTGGTCCAGGTGAGCCGTTCGTAAAGGTAGAGGCAGCCATAGATACCACCTGAGAAGAGATAAGAGATAAGATACCAGCCATGACCAATTTCGCTCTCGTTAGGCTACGCTAGCGTGGTTGGAGGTCAAACTCAAAAGTAAATGGGGAAAAAGAGATTTGATAGGAAGGTAAAAGATAGGAATCTACTTTTCACGTTACTTCATCACGCTTCGACATCTTCTGGAGTGGGTTTGTAAATCACTTGGCAATGTAAAACAAAAGTAAGGCTTTGATTCAATAAAGTTACTGCCTGCCACTATTACAGGATGGTTAAAATCGTGGCCATTTTCTTTTTTTTGAGAATAACCTTACTTTTGAAACTAGTTTTCGAGGATAAAAGATTATATCCGGAAAGCAGTTTCGTTTGCGGTTTTCTCGCTATTATTTTGTATCGTTTACTGAATGCAAGTTTAATTTGTGGAAATCATGGACCCTTGGCCGTAACATTCAAACCAACAAGATCGATATTTACGAAGAAGTACAAGAAACAATAGCAAAACTTTTAAACAAGACAAAAGTTTATTTTATCCCAATATTTTTAGGTTAGAAATTTTGTCATCCGTGCACGGAAATGCACCCAATACCCATGCACCAATGCACTCAACTTGTCAACATTAGTACTGCCATACACTATTATTAATAGTGGATGGTAGTATTTCAATAACTCCCTAATATCGTACACAGTAATGGTATATATTTTCAGAACATCTAAGTTATTACAGAGCCACGTAATGACACTTGATGACAGCCTACTAATTTTTAACTACGTTTTCTGTGACCATTTTTTGGTAATAGAAACGCTATGAATACTAGTAGAATGTTTATCGAGGAAAATATATAGTCACCCAATCTTGAGCACTTTTTGTCAACGAAATAGAATAAACAACGAACCATGAGAATGGCAAGTGGCAACACTTATTCCTAAGGTTCTGCGCACGGGAAGAAAAGTACACTTTTGACGTTCCAGGGCAATTTCTTTGTTTTGTTGCTTGGAATGGGTACGTCAAACAATTAGGAACGCTGAAATTGTTACAGAGTATTATAAAGTACACTCTGTAACAATATTCACGAACGCAGACCTGAGGTGAACAGATGAACAACAAGTAACATAATTGTTTATAACCTAACTTACCGGTCAATGCAACAATCCTCCATCCAACCATCTTAAACAGGAACCCGGCAGCCAACAGGCACCCCATCGTACCCTGCGAAGTGGCGCCGGCTATCGCTAATCTAGACAGCAATGACCAATCGTCCAAACCTGCTTGAGCGTAGATTAGTCTACCGTCCACGACATCCGTGGGTGTTGTAGGCGTGTTGGGACATGTTCCTTGAGGGTTATTTGAGCTCTTCTTGAGGGCTAGGAAATTAGCGCCGCTGCCGGCGAATCGTTGGATCATGGTTGTAATACCCCAAGAAAACCTAGAATTGACACAAAAGTATGATCATAACTGAAAAATAACTGCTTGGTTCAGTGTCCCAAAATAACATGTGAATTTGCTGTATCGTGAGGTTCAAATTTAGCTGATGTCGTACGAGAGAGAAGCGCGAGAAGCGTCCAATATGTATGTTAGAAAGAGTGTGCCGATGGCGTCCGTGGCCTCGTCACTCGGGTTGCTAGGCAACGAGGTGCTTCTATCTCTTTCTAACACACGTATTGCACGCTTCTGGCGCTCCTCTCTCGTACACATTACGACGTCAGCGGAATTTGGTTTTCAGTGTATAGTGCACAAACAAATAATGCTAATAGATCCTACATAAAAATCGCATGCGGAGATACAGACCCCTACATGAAGTCAATGTAAATAGGTTTTTCTCTAATAACATTTGAAGGACTCTCTAGAACTCAACCAAATTTAAACAGCTTGGTAACCAGTTGGGGCCTTACTTGATGAAAAACAATTATCTCATTTAGAATGCCAGTGACGGACTAGCCAAGACACAATATTGCTGACACTTGTTACACTCTGTATAATAATGGGCCAAAAAATGATATTTTTGGAAAGCTAAATGCTTTGAATCCAAGCCAGATGTCACATGGTGTCTAGGTTAACCTAGTTTATAAACAAATGAATAGTAAGTACTTTTCTTAAATTTCTTGTTTGCGTTTTAGGTGCAGTTTTGCCGCATATTAATTCACAAATTAGAAATTTCATTTATTGCATATTTATCTTTTGATAGATTTTTAGATTGATTTATAAAATTACTTTGTAAAACCACTCAATTTTGAAAGCCTAACGATATTTGCCCTCGTTTTTGTTAATGACACCAGTCTGCAAAAATTGTATAATTATTTTTTTTTGTTGATTATGTAGGTATAAGTAATTTTTCATATAATCTCCTATTTTTGGGTTCTGACTGATGATGTCTTCGGCGATCTCTTTTGATTGCCGGTGACCATGGTTTTGTTTCGATGATATTGTATTTATTCGGTAGTTCTTTGTGTACTTCATTTTTGATAATCGGTAGACTTTCCTTGTCAAGGTGTATTGCTATAGCTCCATCTCTTTGATTGTTTACTCCATGTAACTTGAGATTAATTTTTGGTTTTATATGTTGATTGACGCCATCATTGGAAGAAAGATTATTTATCCGTTCTTTGGGTAAATTACGAGCTTTATTGATTATATTTCTTATTTCTTGAACGGTCAGTTGCTTTTGCATATGCATATGTTTGGTGTTTTAATATTACGCCCCCTGGTAGCCATTTTGTAGAACAAAAACAAATTCCAGCGTCAGCTCTGGCGACTTTTGCCATGTTTTACCCAACAATTCTAGGTTGAATGCTTGCCGAGATACAGCTGGGCTCCTTTATTGATGATACAGATCGAACGCTGATAATATAGATCTACCGAATAACAGCATCTACGATCTACATGTTTGTTTTCATTTAAAACACCATTACAACTAACCTGAATTCCAAATCTTCGTGAAAATCGGCACACAAATTGTCGCAATTCAATCTATATAAAATCTCGAAAGGCTGCCTCTTGGGACCTATAACCCCATAAACAGTAGTTCCTTTGGGAAGAAGGGTCTCCATTTTTTCTGTCATCTCTTTCTGACTTGCTTCCATATTTAAAGCTAAGGCTGTTGATAGACGTGCGCGAAGGTTCGATCCAAGTCCCTGCTCCACATGCAGGTGAAGTTCCTAAATACAGTTTCATGAATATATTGATAATTATAACTTCTAAAACTCATCAAAAGCGCGGCGACATATAGGGTGTCAGACGCAAGACTGCCGCGATCCATTACTCAAAAAGTTAACGTAAGACAGTTACCAAAAATTTGGGTTTACATTATAACTGATGGGAGCAATTCAGATAAAATATTCGGTGGCACTTCTGCTTGTACCAAAGCTGGTACTATTACAAATATTTCTTTAAAACTAAAATGCTAAGTAATACGCGTTTGTAAAAGAATATTACCTTTTTATAAACATTAAGGACTAATGGCTCCGGATGGAAAGGCAAGTTGAATTCGTCTACCAGAGTACTTAGGCGGCGGATTTCTTCATTCAAAGCTTTCGATACCCTAAAACGAATCATGTCATTGCAATATTTGGAACAAAAATTAGGTATCTTCATGATTCATTTTGCTTAACTCGCATATTGGGGAAATATACCTTTTACTACAAACTACAGATGTGTTTAGTTGCTAGGCTTTCGTTTGTTGTCCAAGAGACCCAACCCTAGACCATGCTGAGGAGTACCCAAAAAGCACGAACCAGCTGTCTATGGGTAGCTGTCTCAGCTATACACTCATAAAACTATATTGGAACCACCTGGTTTAATAGTATAATCTCATAATATTTAGCTTAAGTGAAATAACTGTTGCGTGAAACATTTTCTGAATCATGCCCTCTAAGTAAAAGTCAGTTTTAAATACAAAGTAACTATGAGCGTCATTTTTTCCCACAATCGAACAAGTTACGCAATTGGAACATCGCCATATAAGAAGGGTTCTGACAACATTGTCACATTTGCGAACTATAAGTTTTGTCAAATTTCATGGTGAGAAGTAGTTGCTAAGAGATGGAAGTTGACCCAGGAGAGTCAAGATATGATGCAATATCACAGATAAAGGCGAAAGAGCTGAGCGGTGACAAAAACCAAGCAGAAGCAGAAAGCAGGGGCCCACCCACCGATGCGGATATCATCAAAACGGAAAACCATTGAGAAACTGATGATTATAGATGACCAGTCAAGGCAGATCCGAGATCTCATGGAGACAATGGAGACAATGGAGGACCAAATGGGCAATATTGACAGCCTTACTGCCCAGGGAGCAGTTTTAATAAATCCAGAAGAATCCTCCAGAGAACGACCTGGAAATACAACTACGAATCATTACTGATGATCATTTTAGATCCGCAGACATAAAAGAAGGAGGAAAAGCGAGAAAACCGAACGACCAGCCGAAGGCTATCCTCCTCTCCCAAATACAGGATCAACTCTATTTCACACCTCCCCTACTTACTACAAAACGGAACACCTCTAGTTATTCGGCGTTTGACCTTTTTTTGCACGATGGCCGAATGTGTGACCGAAGGTGTATTTTTGGCAGAATGTAGCCGAAGTTTCGGTCGGACCCTACTATCTGAATACGCAAAAAATACACTCCATTTAGAAGACGAAACTTAACATTTGATTCAACATCGTGTTAATGGGACGTCCTGCATAATGTAAGCGTTTTTAAATTGTACATTGCTCACAAGATATAATACATTTACGACTTTGTGATTAATCACCTCTGTTCTACATCCTCTACCATAGTGTGTATCTTTTTCTTCATATCTTGTGTAATAACCATCAATTGTTGTTCTGTATATGTAATCTTATCTGTCACTTCCTTTCTTTGTGCTAACCTGTCTTCTTTCAACTTCAAAGCATCATTGTAAATACCATCTAGAATATCTCGTAGTTCGCTAAAAACAGAATAAATATGCACATTGCAACACAATCGATGGATATACAGTGCTAAAGAGAAGGATGTATAACACTGAGATATCGGGAAAGGAACGGTTGGAGTTACACAATGTAGGAAGAATAGGTAAGGGTTGTCTTAGATAATGCTACCACAGTTATGTACGGAGAATATTCCTACTTAAAAATCGAAAAAAGTAGAAATTTATAATTGACTAAAGTCAAAAATATACCATGTAACCTATCGACACTCAAAGCAGAGTTGATGCAAAAAGCGGGTCAGCAGCAGCAAGGTCGGTTCACAAAATCTGCTGCATTTTTAATACTGAGCTTCGTTTTCGGTATGGGTTCTTAAACCAAACTTCCATAAAATGAACGCGACAACTCGTTCGTTCTTTACTGACTTATTAACGACATGCGTTTAGTTTTTTTTAATTAACAATATAAAACCACAAAATCTGTATTATTTTGTAACTGACATCTGCTGACAAGATGAGATATCTCTTAATTAGGGTCTCCATTATTAAAGCCTGAAAAACTTATTGTGTACGCTGTTCTTGTGTTATTTCATCATTTTAGAGTTATCTAAAATAAATTTCTGGGGGGGCTATAAAACTTACTTTGCGATAAATTTTCCCCTTTGGGAATGTTGTTCGAATTTTGTTTTTACAGCTGATTTAGAAATGCATTCCTCAAATTTCCTTTCAAAATCCTGGAATTCGAAGTATCTTGTTTGGAAGCCTTCCGTCAGCGGCGTTGAAGTTGTTTGACCCTGTTCTGCGAGACGCGCTTGTAGCACTTCTTTAGCTGAAATGAAAAATATCCTCTCTTCTGCCTCCTTGCTACTGCAAACTTTCAGTTCTTTCACTAGAAAGTCGATAGCACGTTCTTGGTGTTGCCTCCTGACCTAAATCATTAGAAATAAATCAGTGTATTCCGAAGTAATGTCAGACTAAACCCAATTTCATCAGCATCTATTACATTTTGACGTCTACTGAGGTGAACAGCTGATCAACTAGTGGCATATTTGTATTAGTCTGTAACGTTGGCAATAATGAATCGGGTGTAAATCTAGTGAAACTTGTTTGAAGCGGTTTTTGTATGCAAATGAACTTTTCTAAACAAAAAAGTTGTTAGCAAGTTCAAAATATATCTGTTGCTTACAAAAAAACCAAAACATAACACCTGGCGTTGACGGATATGGGGAAAAAACTGTCACTGAAGTATTAGTCCAGTTGATGTATGTATAACAATCGGCTAAACCGCAATTGCGGCCTTTCAAATTACCTTTTAGATAATAAAATATTTTAAATAGTTTCTGTGCAAGATAGACAAAATGCTGCAGGTAGTGCACTCGATCTTAAAAAAACTCATTGTGTGACCCTAATACTGTAACCTTCCACATTTTGAAAAGGAGGAAAAATTAAGGAACAATAAATCTTGAATGAGTTCTAGGTTTTCTAAACAATACTATAATTATAGGTACTACTACCAATAATCTTCCAACGGTGGATATAATAATGGTTAATGGTTTATATACACTGTACATACACGATCGACGCCACAGTGGTTCAACCGTCGTTAACTATGGTCAAACTTAGAAAGATTTATAAAAATAAATTTTACAAAAAAAAAAACCTTTCTGTTTTCCAGGTCGCTGATAACGGACATGATCTCAGAACTCAAAAAACAGTCCACAATCGAATAAGGATATGTATGGTTTTTCTGATTGGAAATGACTCTCCCCCCATCACTTTCTTTCGTTTGATAGATTACATTTTGTGACACTCTGTATATGTTTTCTTAGGAATACCCAAAATTACAATAATGCAAAAATCCAGAATGTAGGACTTAAATTGAGATAGTACATAAGAACATTAATGTGGTGCATGATGAGAAATATATAACTTCATTTTCAGGACTGTCGAAAAATCTGGAACACTAGTAGTAGTATTGTAATATATTATTTTTTTCTAGAATTTTTCTCGGCATCTATTGTATCGATATAGACTTTTGTATTTTTCGACATATGAAAAAAATAGTATTTTTACATTTAAACCGTAAAATTCTTAGAACGTCAATTGTTTTGAGTGGAGTGAGGATTGATTTTTATTCCTTTTACGATTAACTACCCCGCATGACTAACTAGCCTGATGTCATTGTTGGAGGATTCAGTAAGATATTCTTCTCAAGTACTCTACCTGCATCTGAAATTGAAACAATTTTACTTACCTCCTCCTGTTCATTGCAGTGCTTGTAAAAAAGAAGTTTTATTCAAAAGTGTTTATTGGTCATCAGTTTAGTTATACCGGGTGTTTCCAAAATATGGGTAAAATTAAAGGAATTCTAATGGCTGACTTAAGTAATGGTGTATGGAGATAATTCCTTCTTGAGTATCCAAAATGTATCGTTAACGAATGACTTAATGTGAAGCAATGAATAAGATGTCCGTGAAATCGTTGGGACTATTTTGACCTATAATGTTTTTTCGAAACACCACTGCGGTTCGGAGATTGGAACCTTGAATGACATCACTGGAGATTGGTTTTCTTGAATAACTTGTGAACAACATTGTATCATCTAAGGAGATTTCGACATCATAGTAAATTGTGAGTCCTCATATGATGGTATCCAACAAAAATAATCAAAGCATTTGGATAGACAGGGACGGACTAGCCCTAACGCGATATTGAAATTTTTACGCACCATATATAACAATGACTCAAACTCAAAAGTAATATTTTTGAAAAGCTTGATCCTTTATAAGCCTTGTTTCAGTACTGATTTACTGATTAATATATAATATACATATTTTGATAAAATATTCATAAACAGAAACTAGAAAAACTACTGTATACAAAGTTTCAGGTCACAGCGAAATGTCTGGCTTTTCTCAATCTTTTAAATATTATCTCCAATCTAAATAAATAGAAGCCCTATTGAAACAAATTAGTTTTTCTTACTTTTTCAGATAAAAGGACTGTTCAAGAACATTTCTTTTGAACCACTTTTTACTCAGGATGCAAAAGGAGATTGCAGTACTGAATTAAGGGCTAGCCAGTCCCTCTCTAACTAAATGGGTTGATAACGTATTTGAGAAGAATTAAAGAGAACTGAAATTAAAATGTTTCCAAACCCTAACGATTGACAGTTTGAACTCCACCTACACTAGCATTGCTTAGTGGGAGCGAAATTGCTCTATTCAGGTGCCTACATCTCCAGAGCGAATTTTTCGAAGACAAAATAGCGTTAAAATAGTCTAAATAATCACCACTTGAATGCCTGTCCCATATTTTGAAAACATAAGATGGTAAATGATCATGATTGATGTGAATGTGTAGATATGCAAGTATGCAATTCTGATATCGACAAAAGCCAACATTATACTTGTTAGATACACATCCAAAGAATATTAATTCTTCAATGCAAGTAATTTAATGTCGAATCCTGAAAGCTGTCAAGGTCAACCCCTGGCAGTATGTATTGCCCTATTCAGTGGCCGCTGAAACGCTAGACTCGCATTCCAATACGAAGATAAGCAACATATGAGAAACTCAATAAGGCAAACATATGGAAAACATATTTGATTGTAGCCGAGCACACCATACTCGTTCAGTCGCGTGCACATCAACATCGCTGCAATCAGCGGCTGAAGCAAAACGACAAGTCGAGCACACTTTAGGAGGTTACATGTTGATTAATAATCTACTTAGTTGATATGAGTGCTATGACGTCTTTGTAACAATAGCTTGATAGCCGATAACTCTTTGATCTGTTCTTGAAAATAAATGTCTCACCTGATCTAAAAACTCTGGCTCTGTAGCTGAAGCATCCCATCTATTATTCAGGATGAATATATTCGGTTTTGACAGTTTTGATGACACTTTATGGAAGAAATTTTTTTCCTGAAATTAAAGCATTTTTGATTACACTAAGAAGAGCTGTTTCAGAAGTGGACTTGATTCGGAAAGCTGATTTAGCTCTGCTTATAGCAGTAGCCAGATCAATTGAACTTCACTTCTGCTATATAGAGATGAGATAACGCTATTGGATTGTACTTTCTTGTTATATAGTTAGCTTTTCAGATAATGAAAATATGTCATTGGAGCCGCACGTAGATATACGCGAAAAAAAGTAACGATTTTTTTATAGGAACCTGTCACTTTATTTTTTGTATTCTCCACAAATCTCAGAGACTGATATTCATAAGCACCTTACTATGTATAAATATAGTGAACACACCTCCTGAAAAACATGTACATTAAGCCTTAATTCATACCATTGCTCTACTTATTCAAGGTGTAACTTAATGATAGTAATTACAAGGGCACATTTCTGAACCAAACTCAAGCAGAAAAATTTATATAAACATGTGACCTAAAAACTCTTGTCTTCAAGATACAGGGTGCCAAAGATTAAAAAAAATGTGTTTTTATTAATAACTCAAAGATCCTTTTTCCGGTTTTGTTAAATTTTGACGGTAGAGCTATGGCCACACGGTCATATAAACTTTTCTGCTAAGTAAGTATACTCCAAGTCCAAGTCTTTTTGCTAAAATTATAGAATTGGAGCGACTATATGGAACAATAAGATAGATTCTGTGATTTATAAGATCATTTTGTTGTCAAAGTTACGACAAATAGGCTGATATTCCACGATTTTGTTTAAGTGAACCAACTAGTTTCCGTTTCAGATGTCTGGAGGGACCCCATCCTCATCTTGAACATCCTGTATATTCTTTCTGGTCCACATACATATGTACTTATTTGCAGGTAGGTGCTACTTGTTGAACCAGTAAAGGGTTTAATAGCCCCGTCACCATGTGACCGTTAGATGGCTGACGATTCTGGCTGTATAGTCCATCCGACCAATATAAGAAGCAGGCGACATCTGTCCCTGATTGACTGTCTTTTGGTTGGACGAACGAAGGCATCATGTTTTTAACATTTATTAGATTTAATTAATGGTTTGTTTTATTTGTATATATGTTACCGCTAATATCCAAAATCCGCTAATATGCATAAAAACTACACATAATAGGAATTATGCGTAAATACTAAAACCGTCCGTTAGTATGCAAAATAACGGCGCGTATCAGGAATTATTAATAAGTACTAAAATAATCAGTTATGATGCATATTCACTGTCCAAATTAGAAATTATGCGTACATACTGAAGCTACCAATATCTTATGTTAGTGATTAAGCATAATATCACGTAACGTCATTAACTAAGTAACGTCAAATTTGAAATGCTATGTAGTTAATGATAAAATAGAAATATATTACGAGTAAGTATACTATTACATAACATTTAATATATATCTAATTCTACAAAACTATATGGTATGCATAGATGAAAATCAAACATATTCAGGAATCAGAACGAAAAAAAAACATAACCGTAACATTTCAAACGACTACATAAAAATTATTTATATTATTATATTTATATTTATTTATTGGAACAAAAAGAGCTTTGATGGCACTTACTATAGCATAATCGATTATTTTTTACCGCGGCAGGTATTGTTTTGGCAGAATTTTGTGCAATTGCATCGTTGATAACCTTGTGTAATATTCGAATACTGTTTGGACATTTCGGTCTTCATTCGATCTCTTCCTCCGTGACCTATACTTCTGTGACAAATGGTTAAAATACCAAACATTTCTTCAACGGGAACAACATAGCGAACATCTCGTATGTCAATCACTATATTATTAGAATCTTCATTATTTTCCTTTCCCGTTTGCTCTTTATTTCGCGTTACAAGCTTTTCAATATTTCCGACTTCAACTATTCCAGATGTTTTAAGTCTACGATACTGTAATGGAGTTTTGGGACCATTATTTGATGAAGCATCCCTAACCTAGAGAAAAACATCAGGAATTAAACGTTTAAATATAGGCACTATATTAGTTTAAAATCATTCTTACCTCGGATAAAAGCACGTCATATTCTTCCTTGAATAAAATGTTCAATCGTGAGTTTGTTCTTCCCTTCAACTTCTTAACTTCATCGACAAATTTAAATTTAATGTTATCAGTAGGTAGTGCAGTCATTGCGATGAGAAACTCCAACAACAAAACAATCAAAACATAACATCAAACTTCAACGCACGCTTCAAGGCACGACCAGTCGTATTTTGTGAGGTTACATGTATAATCACTAATATACGCAGCAGATATTATGCATAATTCCTATTGCTGTGTCAGTTATTATCAATATTTACTAAAAATATGGCGATACTTTGCATAATTACTGACGATTTTAGTAGTTATCGATAATTCCTGATACGCGCCGTTATTTTGCATACTAACCGACAGTTTTAGTATTTACGCATCATTCCTATTATGTCTAATTATTATGCATATTAGCGGATTTTGGATATTAGCGGTAACATATATAAATTCTGCAACATAAGTAATTTCTATAGATGTAATACAGTATGATGAAACTACAATCTTTAAAATGATTTTATCCGAAAAACACCTAACAATTCAATACATTCGAAATTTGAAACAATCTTTATATTTTGAATTTCAACAACTATATTACCAAGTATCATTTAATTAATAGTTTACAATATGATGATAATGATTGAAATCGGATTATTTTAAAATATAAGAGTCAAAAACTGCTTTTGACCTTGTCAAGGAAAACAGCATGCAATATTCATTCGGTCATCGTCTTTCTATATGATTTGTCCATTAAGTCACTTCCTTCTTTTAATTTTGGCACCTAAAAGCATGGTTAGATTGGACTAATATAGGAACTTACCGTAACCATGAGTGTGGACTCAGCATTGGCGACCAATACGAACACATCGGCATCAAGACAATGCTTATCGATCCATTCGTCCAAATTGGGCGTAACATCAACGCCTGGCGAATCGACGAATACGACGTCATCTCTAAGCAGCAGACACCTATTCTTCGGCCAATATACTTTGACCAGAGTAGATTCACTAAGTTTCTCTTTGCACAATGCATGTGCTAGCTGACCTACAGACTCGACTGCACATCGTTCCTCTGAGTTTTCTAACACTAGATAGGGTTCATCATTCGGAGAGCCTTCCACCTGAAGTTCACAGTTTAAATATCAACTCAACAATGTAACAAGCATATGAGCATTAACGTATTGAAAAGCTGCGGAAAACCGTGGCCAAAACACAAGGAAATGTGGTTTCAGTTAAATTTCATGAAATAAGTGCAATTATATGTATGCTTCCTCCCGTATGATTTCGTGAAGGCCAAACTATCTGTGTGATGTTCGTTTTCTCCGCATAAGTAGCACCTCATTTCATTGGTACAGTCCTTTGTGCTTGCCGTCACCGCATCTAAGGCAGTTCTGCTTTTGGTTTTGTTTGGCCTTGCACTGGTAGACAATATTCCAAAATAGTTGGCACTTACAGCATCTTGCTGTTTATTTATCGAACATCCACTTCGGCCGATTTTGATTTGCCGTAGGTCTAGCAACCTAGACTTCCAGGAATCACACTAAGTGAGGAGCTAGGAATACTTTTTGTTGCAAACCATTTTTCACTGCCTGTCAGATCTCATATCTGCTTATTGGTTTTTTAAGGTCCATAACTATCACTACAATTGTATTATCATGCGCTTTGGCAACATTTCCTGCACCTAGAATGCTTTCGACTTTTGTCAGAAGCTTTTCAACGATCCTTCCCTTTTTTCAGATATTTCAAGTTCAATTTTACCCTTCTTGGATTGCTGTAAATTGAGCTCCGAAGCACCTATTTCCTGGATATTTATTAGCTGCCAAGGTGATCTTTTGTTTTCGTTTCTGAATGATATGGCATGACTCCTAGAAATTTTTTGTGTCTGCTCCAAAGGGATATCTCCGATGGAACGCAGATTATAATAATCGTCACAGCCAAAGGGAAATCTCAAGACCTTCCAAAACCTTACCTACCCAACTGTAAAGAATTTTAATATTATAATATCCCGCTGTAGACTATCAGGTGAAACATATGGCTAAGAAATGTCTCACCGAGCTGTATAATATGATAAAATGCCAGCTGTAAACTATTACTCACTTGTAAGAAGCAATTAGTCGTGTGCCCAATTCCACTAGGAAGTACTTTATCGTGCAACATTGCATTAATGACGGAACTTTTACCGTTGGAAGTTCTACCAAAGAAAGCCACTTTCATGTGATCTCGACACAATACATCTCTGATCCCATGGACCTTGCTGACGAATTCTTCTGTTTCTTTTACCCTGACGGTGTTTATAATATTTTGTTCCTTCTCAATATCTGTAACAAATATGTAAAATGATACTTTATTACATAGTTTCTAAATAACTTGTCAACTGGGATTTTTAATTTTTTAACAATGGCAAACTTCATTATTTTTGTATATTTTAACAGTTCTGTTCAGTATAGTTTTTCATGTAACATAATAATGAAACAAAATCATTTATTTAAATAGTTTCATTCAGCTGTTAATTAATTGATTGACCTCGTCATTGTACAGTCTGCATTTAGAGTTATAATGACATAAACTCACCGTGCATATACTCCACAGTATCATTGACGTAGTCTTCAATCTCACCAAAAATATCGTTAATCTTCTTCTTCGCCTTGACGAAAATCTGCAATGGCGAGTTATCAGGTCCAGCAGCCGCGCCTCCCTGTTGCCAGGGACCGTTCAAACGGCCGTCCGTGAGCAGGGCTGCAGTGGTAACAGAGCCCCCTTTGTTATGAGGGCCGTCCCCTCCAGACATTAGTGATATCGTGCGGTTTATGTAAGCAGCCATGTCTCTTTTACACTAGCATGCAGTGGTGCAACAGTGTCATATCAAGCACATCTAACATGAACGTAGCAGCAACTGAAACACACAAATAAACAAAGTAAAATGAAAATATGCCATCTACGTGTATATACCTAATTGGGACAACAAAGCATTAATTACCCAATGGAGTCTTGGCACCCAAACTTTTAATATAAAACAGTATCAAGACTAAAAATACGAATTCATAGATCAGAAGAATTTTTATTTTTGCCTCAATTTTAAGGGATTCCATATCATAGTACAAACGGTGTCCAAGATAAGGATCCTATGCATGGGGACCTCAACACCTGGAGGAGATACAGCTAAGGTTAAATTAGGAAAAAGCTGCGTTCTTTGGGGGATAATACTTACATGCTGTTGAGAAACTTGTAAAAATTTCATGGCTTACTGAGGTATTTGCGAAAAACTATATTTTGGCCAAATCGTTTTTATTTTTTCTGACTTGTTGTCGTTAAGATTATATCAAAAAACTAATGCAATTTTTTCATTGGCACTTGTTAGGTACTACACGATTGTGTTTTTAAATTTTTTGCCCGACGTTTCGTTTTTGAGAAACCATCATCAACCTTATTTTCTTATATGGTCTGGTATAAGAAATTAGAACAGATTTATTTGAAGAAATTGCTGTTTTAATTTTTCCCGCAAAAACTGACCTGAAATTATACCTGCTAACTGTCATCACCGAAGTTACGCAGCTTTTGCATAGTGCGCCACTGCTGATAGCAATAGGACAAACAAGTATTACAACCGAATGACGAGTCGTCAAGAATGGCTGACAACACCTTATGTTCATCAAACTATGTGCCAGAGGCGTAGCTGTTATCTACATTCGTAGGGGTTGGATTTTTCAGCTTTTGGCACACTAAATGTAGGTGATAGTAGTCAAACCCTTTAACACTATACAGGGTGATTCACAAGTCTTGACGAAAAAGGAAACATCACACACAGGACCGCACTTTGAGGGGGTCTTCTAAGTAACATTTTTTCCTCGAGGGCTTCATTACAAAGATACGGGGAGTTGAAGTTTAAAAATGAAAAACTTTTTTTTAATATCTTCAAAACCGTTAATTTTAAGTAAAGACCTTTGAATGTGGACAATACTTAGGTGAATCCACATACCAATTTTTTTTTCATTCCAGTTAATGGTTTTAAAGATATTAAAAAAAATGTTTTTTATTTTTAAACTTCATCTTTTTAATGAAGTCCTATAGGAAAAAATGTTAAACCCCCCTTAAAATACGGTCCTGTGTATGATGTTTCATTTTTGGTCACGACTTGTGAATCATCCTGTATATTGTATACAATTTAAAGTTAGACCACATGTGCTCTACTTGCTTTCCTTTGACGACCACCAAAACTTGTATCATACTGATGACTGCTAACAAGCATAAAATTGCGCCGCATATGTTTGCCTACAGAGAAGGAAAGCAAACAGATCCAATGGTTATTACCATTAAAAATTAATTTTAAAACGTTTGCTATTCTTATATCACAATCATTATGAAAGCCTAATATCGATTTTTAAAAGTAATATAAAACCCATGACTTTTTCCTTCAGCCCATGCGTGACTGCTAATTTTAGGCCAAAAATGTTATTTGAAATGTTAAAGTATTAGCTATAACCAGCGAATACAACAAACTTAAGGTTAATCTAGAGAAATATAGATTTCCAAAATATAACAGCCCTAAAGTTTTAGTTGGTGCCTGCTTCAGCTCTACATTCTGGAGGTATGAAATCACTGAATTTCTCAGAATAAAAAACGAATCAGGAATGCACAACACAGGCGGGAATTTCAATTCCGAAACAAGCAGTCGAATCAAGTTAGTGCTTGTCAAGTTAATCTTCTATAGTTAATAGTTGCCCTTATACTTGGTGAAACTTTTCCACCATGTGACTGATTAATACACTATTTGCACAAAGTTTCAGAATGAAAATACTGAGCTTATACAGTGCTGAGTTTCGTTTTATTTCGACGATGCTAAAACAGATGGGCTTTTTTTTAAAAAACCATCATGGCCTTTTTAACTGAGCTATAGGACCACATTCTAAGAATAATGAAGTCTACATAGTGTTGCAAAATACCATAGCATAAAAAACATGTTTAATGGGAAACTTTATATACATATTTTATATATTTATTATTACAAGATTTATGAAATACATGCTTTCCACTGTCAGTCCCAGAATTCTGTTTTTCGAAAAATGCGATTGCCTACGTTTTCCATTATAAAGGTTAAAGCTCACCACACAGGATGACTCAATGGCAATATTTCTAAGGCAGAAAGTAGATCCAAAAACAATTCGGAAAGTTAATATAAAATATAAAATATACCACCTTAGTGGGACACAGGGTGTTGAAGTTTTAATTTCAGAATCGATGAAAAAATTATATCACCAGAGTGGATCAAGTTGAGAGCTTACAATTTTGTACATGTGCTACCGACAGCATAACCAAATCACATAAAAAAATTCGGAGTCCAAACTACACCAGTGGCGTAGAAAGGAATGTTGACATCTGTAAAAGAAAAAAGAAATATTGTACGCCAGTGACATGAAACATACATTGTAATTTTGATTAAGATATTTGATTCCATATGAAAAGTTTTTCTTGGAAAATTTTCCTCATCGAGAAAAATGGGTTTGAATAATTGAAGAAATAATCCGTAAAAAAAAACCTAAATCTGTTCTACCTTGAAAATCCACTAGATTAGTTATGTTTGAGATAGAAAACTTTATGTACTAATCCCATGTCACAAAAGCGTTATTTGACTGATATTCATGGTTGTCCTCAGTTGCGACACCTGTTATCTTGGTATCGGTACATTTTAGGACCTATGTTAATAGGAAATTTATGTTATTTTTAGATGTATTTTCTGCTCTGTATACAGCAAAAGTATAGTACAGTTTTCATATAAATTTCTATTTTAGTTGAAAATACTCATAGTAATGTTGAAGTGTTGCTATTGTGCAAGACTAAAAAGCATACTACATAGGCCCTCTAAGAGCTCATCAAAATAATGTTGACAATAAATAGCACTGAAAACAAACAAAGTTTAAACAACTGCATGCAACACATATGATGAAGTAGGATAAAAACCTGGTTATTTGTAGGCATTTTCATTTAACCTGTTGTTGCTTGAAATGGACCTATGACAAGAATAATGGATATATTTTCAGTATATTCTTTTTTTGGCGGTTACGTCACAATACCATTCGAGACGGAGATAAGACAGATTGACGAACTGCACCATGTGCGGAGTATAACTTAGCTAAGGAAAATTACACACCGATCCTTAACGCAGCTACTATTCGCTTTTGCACACACATGAATTGGGTGATGGAGGATCGTTGTTTTAATTCACCTTCTAATGATACTCCAATAAATTTAACGACTGTCGACATTGCAGTTGTATCTTCAGACATTGGTATGCTTTATAATTAGATCAACAACCAAGTTGACATACTGTCTGAGAAGCATAAATGTGGAAGACTCATATGTTGACGAGAAAATGTTGAGAAGTGTGACAAAAATAAAAAAAAAAACATTTCTACAAACAACTTTTTTGGACCCCAGGTTTGTTTTAGAACATTTAGAATTGAGCATTTCATCTCACCCAGTATTAATTTTCAAGACGACAGGAAATGACCTAGATCTGTTTGCAACACTGCAGGCGGATGAGGTGGCTTTAGCTCCAAACCTTTGACCACGGTTCAATATTATAAAAGTGGAGCTAAATGGTAGCGAAAACGTAAAGTGTAACCATGTAAAAGATATAAGGACAGTGGTCGATTCATATACAGGGTGTTTCAAATTCGAGCCTCACCAGTGCGATCTCGAAAATGGTAAGAGATACTAAGTCGCTTAAATGAGGACAAAGTTGCGTATTTAGGTAACTAACAAAATGCTACATAGAAAGTTACGAAATTTAAAGTACTTCCGAAGAGACTCAGAAAAAACAAATTTTCACAAAATCGTTTTAACTTTCTCCTGACTTTATTTGTAGTGGAATTTTATAATAACACATTGACATTGCCACTTTTTCTCATCTACAAGATGGCATAAATAGAATTTTAATATGAGATTTCAGCTCTTCATCAGCATGAACTCAATTTTTTCTTATGGGACGCCATACTGGATTTTTGTTCAAATAAATAGTTTTTAATTCTGATTCAAAAAAACGTATACATACATACATACATTGCCAAACCCCAGTTCTATCTCTCTTACTCCCTGACAGAGAATCTATAATAGAGTTTATCAATCCTGGTGGTCCTAATAAGGATAATGGAAAACTGTTATCAAATTATTACATTGTCATCGGTCCTTGATATGTGTGCTAAGTATTGCATTAATCAAACATCTGGAAATTGGTGAAAATTATGCTAAAAAATTCTGTTAAATACATACATACATACACACAGGCCAAGCTTATAAAAGCGTGTTAAACATCAATTTAAATGTACAAAATGCCAATATAGAGCCCATATGAAAGAAAAAGTTAGTAATGGTAGTCAAAAGAAGAAACTTCAAAATCAACATTTGACTATGCCACCAACAAATATTTTAATATTCCATGATTGTGATTTTGCTCATGTTATCTATACCAATTTTGGGAGGGTCAGAATAATCTGTGATTGTGATCTTTTTAAAACACTTTGTGGTGGCTATTTACCTCTAAAGAAATGGTGTATGGGAATGACAATAGGTCCATTTTTTACATATTGGTAGTAAGTACTACTTCTGATATTATTGTGTTCTTGTGATTTTTATTATCGTCTAGTTCCCTGGGTACATCAAAGACAAATTAGTTTTCAAAGAATTACACAGGCAGTGCTACCCACATGGACTAAGGCACCAGTCTTTGACACACTATGTCTCAAATAGAAAGCATTTCTAAGATTTGTGCCCATTTGATCATTGAAACATGAACTATCACTATATACAAATTTTCATTAAGATTGACCAGTGGTCAAATTCCATGTTTTGTACCTGGTGCCTACTTGAAGTTGTTAGACAGACTCAAATTTCATTAAAGTTTCCTTGCCTCTTCTGAAAAATTTGCTGATAGAGAGATAAGAGGTATTCTCTTGATGGCAATGATATGTTCCAAATAAAGCATGATAGTTTACACTATTTGGATGCCACAATTTTCGATTTAGTCAAGATTTGTTTGGTGGATTTAAAATGCCAAATATTCTATATTCAACCATATATCATTTTTAATTATACCTACTTTGGCATGCGGCAAGAGGCTTTGGTGTCACTCACTGCCGAAAAATTAGTTTCTATTTGAAAGTATTAAGCAAATTGATTAACAGGCCACTATAAAATAGAATAAAACAACGGGATTGTGCTAAAAATAAAGAGAGGAAAGCAACATCGTAAAAACCTAACTAAGGTGATTTTTTTAGAATCGCGAGACTAACATATTATTTGATTATTTTAAATGGCATTTGAAATACCTAATTCATAAAATGTTTTGGTAATTGGTACATACCCAAATACAGTATTGCATATATAATCTGCAGAGTGTATGAAAATTTTAGCAGAAAACCACATAGAAAGAAGCACTTGACACTGACAAGCAGGACTTATGAGGTGAAGCTGTTCTCCACCTGATCACTCTGCTCCCTCAGAATTGACTCAAAGTGTCAGAGCTACGTACACATTTTAGAGCTGATTACGTAATTTGAATTTATAAACTTGGAATAATGAAGTCTTAGTACGACAAAAATAAGGAATCGTTATGACTTCCGTTAGGTTATTTTGACAGTGACAGCAATGAATGTCGACAAAAAAAAAGTTTTTTATGTTCTAAAAGTAAACCGTGGTAATTTGACAGTTCTGACCATACCATAAAACACAAGACTAAAGATGGACTGAAGAAGTAGGAGCTTCACCTGCACTTTACACGATGGCAACACCGTTGACGTTTGTCAGATGGTTGTGCCGGTGTGACTGTCCCAATAGTGTTATCTAGTTCTTTTTTTGATATTGTTCCCCTTAATTACAGTACCTTTTATATGAAAATCTATCATCCATTTATTTCTTGTTAGTATAGGAATTTTCTATTCATTAAGCACGTCCACTGAAAAAAGATTGATCTGGCAACACCGACTGCCCCCACCTAACTACCGGAATCACGCCGCCATTTTTGTCATTTCATTTACGTTCGGCGGCGTGGTCTTGGTGCTTTGAGTTTTGGTACATTGATATTCGTCTGGCCGTATTTGCGACGGTTTAAATAATTTGTAATCTGTTTTCGCATATATCTTCGCACAGTTTTACTACCATGAGTGACAGAGAGGTAAGCAAATTCAGTTTGAATTTATGAACCAGTAAATTGTTTTTGTGCATCTTTACACATGGGACTCTACCGGGGTTTTATCGAATTTTTGTAACTAGGAGAAACATTTAAATAACTGTTGAAACATGGCGCCGTCAGAAACGGATTATCTTGAAATTTGCAGTTTTTCTAAATTCATTTACCTGATAAAAAATGGTATTGTTTTGACTATAAAATGCTACCACTAAACATCTATTTGCTGATTAAGGGATTAAAGCAAAGCCAAACTTCAAGCCGGTCGCAGCAGGAAGGATTCCTATGTTAGCGCCTCTATCGCACATTCTTGGAACTGAAAATGGAGACCGCTAAAATTTGAAAGTTCAAGCTGATATTTTGTTTCATGTTAGTTCTGTGATACTTAAATCAAATCATGAATATGATATAAGAGATGTACTATAGTATTCTTGGTCAATATTGTGTAATTGAAATTTCGTAAATTCTACTGTCTATTGGATAACACCAAGAAAATATTGTATTGGCTTCGCGACTTGGGGATTGGGAAATCGCAGATCCGTGAATCTACAAGACCAACAATTCCGTGCAAAATCGTGAAGACGAGTAGTCGGCTAGTTCTTTCTTCTGAAACACTAAGTGAGACAAAGATAGTTAAATCAACTAGCCAGTAGATGTTTTTTGGAGATGAGTGTGACACAAAAGAAAAATCTGCAGAAAGATACAATTGTTATTTAGCAGTAGACAGTTTTTTGCACTTTAAAATGGAATAAAATAGCCAACGATTTTGTTTATTTTTTTTTTTTTAGAACATTTAGGGAGTTGATGAAAGGAAGACAAATAGCTCATTAACTATCTATTGATCAAGCTTGCATAGATTGCTTTGTTTAAAAATTGTTGTCTCTTTAGGGTAGCAGATCTCCAGGACATAAAATGAATAATGAACATTCACCCCATCGAAGGGAGAGGGAGGAATCTCCACGTAACCACAAGGGGAAAAGTTATTCTAGGTAAATATTAATCTTCAGAATTGAGTCTTAACTTTTTTAAGTAAGTTGACTGCTTTGTGAAGTAAGGAAGGTAATAGAATATTAGTTTGTCTTCATTCAGAAAATAGAGATCCTATTTAAATGCATTGACTCCAGAGCTATTGTAAACATTTAAGAATGGAAAACAATAGTTGACTAGCCATAGATCAACTATAATATACAAGAAACTCTAACTGCAAATTAGAACTAGGTCTTGATAAGATATATGTTGACCTTGTGTATAAGTTCTGGAGTAATATGCTACAGAAAATTTTGAGTAGGTATGTGAGGCATGCTGAAAACTTGTCTAATACCTCATGTATAATACCAGAATATAGAACTGCAAACTTGGGTGGAGGGTAGTGGGGCTAAATCAAGCCACATATTTTTAGAGACGCAATGTTATTTGCAAGAATGTGCTTTAGGCATTCCAAAATCTTTATACCTTCAGATTTGACATTTAAAGAATATAATATATAAGATAATTATTTTAAAAAGTAGAGATCATTTCAATGGGTCAATCTACCTGCCAGGATCCAGGAAGTGGCCAAAGTCTGTGAGTGAGGTAGAATGTAAGAAAGAGCATATATCAGCATCTCATGGCACCATGCTCCTTTGGCCTGGTCTGTATTATGTGACTTTTAATACACATGCTATTAGCTGGAATTTTTAAGTAATTGTATTTATGTTACACTGAACTGAATTTAGAACTTTGTTATTTTCAGATATGTAAAGGTCTACCTACTATTTCACTTGCCTATTTAACAGAACACCATACTTTCACTTCACATTTGCAATAAATATAGGTGAAAATGGAGTTAGGCATTAAAATGAAATTGATACAATACCTATTGAAGGAGGAACTTCAGATCCTCCTGTAACATCATTTTTTCATTATGCTGAAAAAGTTTTTGTTTGTAAAGAAAAAACTATATCTAACAAAAAACAGTCAAATAGTAAAAAATAAGATTTAACCATATATCACATTATTCTTCCACACTATAAAAGTTATTTTCAATTAAATAATCTTTTTAGGAGATTCTTAAATTTCTGGACTGGCAATTCTTTATTTCCAAACTAGGTTAAACATTTTTAGGCCATTAATATTTGGGTACTTACACATAATTTGAGTTCTAGAGGGTGGTATATAAAAGTCTATTTATGTATCAACAAGTTTCCAATATATATAAACCAGTAAGTGTTAGTACTCTGAATCTCTTAAACAGATCTCTACATGATGTTCTAGCACCAACACATGCTATACATCTGATAATTCTTTTCTGTTTCACGAACACATCTTTTGAATTAGTAGAGATCCCCCAAAATGATATGCCATATCTCATGATAGCGTGCATTGATTAACTGATTTAATGATAGAATATCTCTTGAATTCAATAATACATAATATAATGAATTAAGCCTCTTTATTACATGTCAGGGTGCTGCTTCCACTCCAAACAGGAATCCAAATACACACCAAGGAATTTTATATATTTCACATTATTGAAATTATTATTATTTCAACAACAAGTATGATAACAGTCTTAGCGTTATGATTTGCTGGTAAAAAAATACCATTGTATTTTTACCTATGCTTTTTCTAATCTCTAATACATGATGGTTTTGTTACAAAAAATAATGATTTTCCCGTTGCATAACACATACTAACTTCTCAATAGACATAAACAACATTTCAGCAGCAGTATGTGTGACAAATACATGATATTGTTCCAACTTGGAAAAGGCAAAAATCACTCAAAAATTCTGGTTCATAACAGAAGTCATGTGGTCTTGCGCGAGCCAATAAGGTCACGGCGCCATCGGACACAGACAGCTACCGATATACGCCTTTCTCACACTCAACTTCTCTATAGCACTTCACATTCACACGAAAACGCTCGTTTGACTACCATAGGGCAGGAAAAGATTGTCTATGTATGGACCAGTTTGACTGACTTAAACCGTTTAATTACTCTGTTGCACATTTTCCTGACTTTTTTCTCAGGGAATTTAAATTGTGTTGAACTTCTTCCTCTATTAATTGATGGAGTTGCAGAGTCAACCTACTTGACGCCATTTTTCTCTATACGATTATGCAATTTTTATTTTTCATTGAATCTGTTTTGTGAACAAACATCATGGTGTCTCAGCTGGATACTGATGCTTGTTATGGCTTCTCACCTAATCATCTGTGCTGTGAAGGTCGATCCAGTCAAGGGTGCCATTATAATGCAGATTATGAATATTTCAGAACTCATTATCGTGATGCCATAAGAAAACATTGCTTATTTTAACAAGATCTATACAACATTTGGAGAAAAGTCCATATTTCATAAATATTTAGGAATGTCAGTCAATCTAACAATTGTCAGTTGCAATATTTCTGCAAATTTCATTTTTTATACCCTAAGTAGATTTTTTATACAATCAGATTATTTTGTTTTTTTTTTAAACTTATTTACAGAAGTCCAAGTCGCAGTAGGAAAGTATACAGAGAAGGTGGCGGAGAGAAAAGGCGAGATAGAGATGATGAAAGAAAATACAGGTATATTATAAAACACATCTTCACAGTTTAACCTCGTTCTGTACTATTCATAATTTCAGATCTCGAAGTCGTTCCCGTTCTGCGAAACGGTACAAATCATCCCGTTATTCTCGCAGCAGATCTCGTTCATACAGGTAATATTCTTACTACAATCCTAAAACATACAAAGTTATGGGTAGGACCAATGACAGTCAGATGACAAGATCTCAATACCTATGTTATATGTCTTATTTGAAATTCAATAGTTCAGGAGAAATTTCCACTTTTATGAAATTGTAGAAAAAAAATCTGATTTTGAACTTTGCAAATGCTGTCAATCAGGTCTTTGGCTGAGATTATTTTTTTCTGGAAGTAGTACACTAGTGACATTCAAAAACTGTGCTGTTAAGTGGTTAATTTCAAGTTGAGAGTAATGGGGGTCACAAATATCACCAGACAAGTTGATTTTGCAAAAGGTTTGTAAACATAAGATCTTTATCCGCGTGGATGTATAATCTTAATGAATATGATTAGTAGAGAGATGTGCTAACATATCTTGCCATGGGCGCATTTATTACAGTTTTTATCTATGATTGAATGAAGGCGTGAGCGCATGTCTTCAATCGCCATCGCCTTATTTTCCAGTTATGTAATAAAGGTACCGATGTTGGCGATCATGGTAGCAGCTTGTATTGAATGTAACAGTTTATATTGCTTAAGAGAGAAGTCCTTTAAACATTATCACTACAGATATTTCCTATAAGTGTTCTCATTCTTGTAGCCCAATGTCCAGTAGACGCCGCCATACAGGAACAAGGGACAATCCAAAACCCTCCCGATGCCTAGGTGTCTTTGGACTCAGTATCTACACGACAGAAGACGAGTTGTATCACATCATGTCAAAATATGGTCCTTTGGAGCGATGCCAAGTAGTCATTGATGCAAAGGTAACTAGTGTAGTGTAGTCTAGGAAGATTGTGGCCAGTTTAGACAAGATTCACCAGCCGAATGCTCTAAAGTTGATATGTGGATACTGAGCTAAAACCACTTTATCCAATATAGAGGCAGTATGCTTCATCTAGTTCTGCATTTGCGGGCAAAAAACTTATTATTCATTAAGAAGTGACTATTTACTAAGGTACATTGGGCTCAATATCATTATGTTCAACAGTTTGATCTTAGGACCATATCTTCCAACAATAATTATAGGACGCCTTCATAGCCTCCTCGATTTTCATACAGTTTTTTCTTCTTCAGAAAGGCTGGGGTATCTCTAGATTTACATTGTTCCTTGTCAACTTCAGCGCTCTCCTATTGTGAGGTTATGCTTTCTTTTTGAATTATAGGAAATTTCAGGCTGATAAAACATTATATAAATCAAAAGCATGAACAATTTGCATAGATATTTGTAATATAACCTCAAAATAGAGCGCTGACACGAAACAGTAGAAATCTAGAAATACCCGTCTTTCTGAAAGACAGGAAAAACTATGAAAATCAAGGAGGGGCCATAAAGGCGTCCTACAATTGTAGAAACGACTGACGATACGGCCCATTGATTGCTTTATGGCGCATTTACTGTGGGCCACCCTGAATAACTATGTTTCATTTTGCAGACTGGCCGATCCAGAGGGTTTGCTTTTGTTTACTTTGAGGCCACAGAAGATGCCAAAGTGGCCAAAGAACAGTGCTCTGGTATGAAAATCAATGGCAAGAGCATAAGAGTGGATTATTCCATCACAGAGAGAGCACATACTCCCACACCTGGAATATATATGGGAAAGCCCACATAGTAAGTATACTTTTGTAACATTTGGAACTTATTCTGTGATTTTCATGTTGATAATCCCCAATGCAAGGTATCAAAATGTCGTTGATGAACAGCAAAGAAATGTATGAATTTGTGGAAATAAGCAATATCTAAGAAATAATTGGCATAGTCTTTCTCATTATGTAGGTGTTTGAAACTTATCTGCAAGTGTTTTATAGGATAAATGCTATTTTATCTAATTTCTACTACGACTAACAATGTTCTTTTTAATACTTCATCGTTGCAAAAATATTGATGAACAGATCTTGAGACTCATTTACTATATTTGGCTGACTCTTTTGGTCTGATACTCGATTGAGGAAAAATTATGGTTTGTTTTATTGAGTCTTGGTGAAATTTGCTCTTTGACAATTTATTTTTCCTAATATTCTATTACACATTCAAATGCCAATCCTAAATACTTATCTGACATGTTGTTTTAAGGTAATAAAATTATTTCCTCATTTTTTCCAGCAAATATTCCGAACGCTACGATAGAAGGCGAGATCGGGAGTAAGTATAATATTAAATATAATATACAGGAAATATCGACAATCCAAAAACATTTCGTAAAATAGATGGATAAAGTTTTGACAAAAAAAAATTATTAATGATTTTACTGAAAGTTGTTTAGAACACGAATCAGCTCAAGCAACAGTGATGCCAGCCCTGGTTATGACAACAAATACAAACTCGAGGTCAACTATGATAGCTCTGAAAGTTCTTAGGTGATCATCTAATTGCTCTGTGTCAACAAGAGGAATTCATATTTTTATTTTTTCACTGACTAAAGCGCTACAGTGTTTTCATTTTATTGAACAGGTCAGGCTAGCAAGCAGAAAAACTGGATCATTGTCCCAATTCCATTGCATTGAAGCGTGAATACTATACCGGGTGCGCCAGAGAAACTTACTTATTTGAAAAAATTCCCGCGCGGTGAGCTGGGCGGGTAGAGGGGCGAGAGGCGGCGCATCTGGAGGGGGAAGTTCCCAAGTTTATTTCTCGCTCCAGTCAGTTGCCATCATGCTCTGGTCTAGAGAACAGCGGGCCTTCGCAGTCGAGAGCTTCTTTTCTAACGGTCGCTCAGTTGTTGCTACGCAACGTGCCTTCCGCGCTCGCTTTGAAATTCCTCCTCACAGACTCGTTCCTGGCCGTAATTCGATTCTGTCGTGGGTTGACTCATTTCGGGAGTGTGGAAGTGTCGCTAAACCCAGAAATGGACTTCAACGGACCATCAGAACTCCGGAAAATGTCGAAAGAGTGAGGCAGTCAGTTGTGCGTTCTCCCCGGCGTTCGGCTCGCAAACACGCAGCTGCTATGGGAATTTCTGACACTACTGTTCGACGAATTCTCCATGAAGACCTCCATTTTCATCCCTATAAATTGGCTGTTGTTCAAGAATTAACTGAAAGCGATTTTGTTGCCCGTCAAAATGCATGTGAAATGCTGGTTGACAACCTGCCTGAAGACGCGGTCGTTTTTTTCAGTGACGAGGCTCACTTCCACATTTCCGGCTGCGTCAACAAGCAAAACATGCGTTATTGGTCTGGTGTGAATCCACGTGAGCTTCACCAGAAGCCACTTAACTGTGAGCGAGTTACAGTCTGGTGTGCGATGTCGGTAATGGGAATAATTGGTCCTTATTTTTTTGAAGAAAACGGACGCGCAGTTACCGTGAATGGAGCTCGTTACAGGAACATGATCGAGGAATTTTTTCTTCCGAGACTCGAAGAAATGAACGTTAGGAACGTGTGGTTTCAGCAAGATGGAGCCACAGCACACACCGCACGAGACTCGATGAATTTGTTGCGACAACATTTCCCCGACCGCCTCATCTCTCTCAGAGGCGATCTCCAATGGCCGGCACGATCTCCAGATTTGACTCCCTGCGATTTCTTTTTATGGGGTTATTTGAAATCTCTGGTTTATGTCGATCGACCACGGACCATAGCACACCTCAAGAACAACATTCGCGACGCCATTGCCAACATACCGATTGATATGCTGCAAAGAGTGGATACGAATTTCAAAAATCGACTTCATCAGTGTATGCGCAATGGAGGTCGCCATTTATCCGATGTCATTTTCAAGACTACATGAAAAAAAAATTGGGATATTGTATTCTCGAATAAAAAAAAAAATAAAACAATAATTGAAGTAATTTTGTTTTTATTGACCTTTCAAATAAGTAAGTTTCTCTGGCGCACCCTGTACTTTAATACAAAAGTGGCAGCTGAAAATTCCAAGATTTCCTCATCACTACTTTGTAACCTTAGCCTTAGGGTATAAATATATTGTCTTTAATAATATCCATCCAATAGTAATTAAGGTCCGACCGCGGCTTTAACAACACTCGCCAAAAAATACACCTTCGATTATACATTTGGCCAAAAAAAGTTTCAAAAAACCAATACTTACGACATGACATTGACATCATAATCTTAAGTTAAATCCCTCAAAATCAAAAGTTATTTTTCACCAAAACCATTTAGAAGTGATGCGAAAAGAAACTTTAATTTGAATGGTAATCAGTCAAAAACCTAGGTATCATATTTGATGAATGTCGCAAATTCATACATGTGAATAATATCAACAAAAATTGTTTTTTCATTCTATGCAACTCTACTTAAATAAACAATTTCTTGACTATCAAACAAAACAAAAAAAAAATGTGTAAGTATCTGATCATGTCTAAAATTACTTATTGTGATATATTTTATTATATATGTTAAATTTCTAGACTCCACTTCTCTCATGTGTCTCCAAAAAATTAAAAATTCCTGTTGTAGATTGATCAATAACTTGAGAAAGTATGATCATATAAGCACTTATTGCAGAGACACATGAAATATTGAGTAAAGTATTAATTTTCAGTAAATCACTTAATGGAATTTCATCTTCTGGATTAAAATCGTTGACTATTTCAGTTGTTTTTCACTAAACCAGCATGGCGAAAACAATTACGAATCGTTTCTCGAGTAACCAATTCCCATCCAATAGTAAGCAAATTTAGAGCATCTAAAATGGTGACAGCTTTGGTAATGTTGAGATCTTCTTGAAGCTCCATAATTTTCATCAACAACATGTTTCCGATAAATTTGTTTAAGACTCCAAATGACACCCTGGTCAATTGGTTGCAGAACTGATGTCACATTGGGTGGAAAAAATTGAAGGTTGATATTATTAAGTCAAATATTTGGATGAGCGGGGCAGTTATCGACCGAGAGCAAAATTTTACGATTTTTCTTAACAAGTTCAGCGTCCCACTTTTTTAAATATTCTTCAAAAATTGATGAAGTCATCCAAGCTTGATTATTTCCAACACAATCGACGGGAATTGTTTTAACATTTTTGAAACGTCTGGGATTCTTAAATTTCCCTGAAATAAAAAAGTCATATTCTTTGCAGCACTGCCATTGAATATGAACAAAATTAGAACATGCATTTCTATTCATTCACTTACCTATTATCAATAGTTTCCGTTTTTCAGTACCAGAAGCATTACCACAAATCATAACAGTTATTCACTCTCTTGATAGTTTCCCTCCATTGCAAGTTAAGTTTCACCTTTTAATTTATGAGTTTTATCTGGTAGCATTCTATAAAATATCCCGGTTTCATCTGCATTGAATATGTGATCATCTGAATAATTACTGGATAACTGAATATTACGGGCCAAACTTGAGAAATCCAGTCATTGTTAACGTTCTTGTCAACTAAAGCTGACTCACCACACATTTTTCCAAAAAGAATGTTATGTCTTTTCTTAATCATCATCATATTTGTAGCATAGGTCCACTTATTGTAAAATTAGTACGCTTTTGTTGAAACCATTTAAACAGCATATCATCGACTTGGAGATGCAGCGATAGCCGGATTTTTTTCTTTTGACTATTTGATTTTCAGTCATTTTTAATTTTGTCACGGTGGATTTTTTATAGCCATACGAGCACATATATTTGCTTGAGATGAACCCTGCTCAAGTTCCCTAATTATTGTGAACTTTTCGTGTAAAGTGAATGCACGTTTCGACATGTTTACAACTCTAATAAATACAGTATAACACTGGTGGCCAAGTTCGAATGCAAACTGCAAAGCCAAACCGCCGTAAACGATGGCATCAGCTAAATCTGCTTCGAGGAACTACCAAAATAGCTCGCATATAATGGATTAAAATAGTCCGCTATAAGCGAGTCTATAATTTCTATAATAAGCAAGTTCATTATAAGTGGATTCCACTGTATATGTATAGTAGTTCTTAGTCCATACCGCTTTGCTGACAACAATTAGGTCCTAAGAATTATCTTTTAGCCTGTCAGATAGTACCTGCGAGTAAATTGTAAAACATTTACTGCTGTAGGACGAGTCTATGATAACTGAAATACTATGCAGTGTTGATATGCTACTATTTTTAGGTATGATCTTTAGTTATTTGACACCTGTTTCATAGTTTCAAAACTTGTCCACGTATTGCTTTTTCTTTGGTCAATTCACTTCATAATTATCCTTTGAAATCGACTTCAATTCTGTCAAAAAAATAAAATGCTGTTCAGTATAAATGGCCCGATTAAAACATCTTCATCCTTTCAGTGATTACTATGGCGGCGGTGGCGGCGGAAGGAGCTCTCGTTACCGTAGACGTTCTCCTTCTCCCTATTATAGCAGCAGGAGACATCGTTATTCCCGATCAAGAAGCTACTCTCCTCGTAAGTACTATAAATCATAAAATATTTTTTCGTTTTGCCAGATATTCTACTCAATGGTTCGGCAGTGAATCCTTGATCAAAAAGTGCCCGGGTGGTCGCCGTGTGGCGCTCGTAGCACTCGACTGTCAATTCTGTTTGTAGTTTTATAATGCTCAACTGTCACTGATATTCCGTCCGAATTTTGGCGTCATTCCATTATCAGTTGTTAAAGCTACGTCGAGTTGAGTACATGTGCATTTGAGCGTGTTCACGATTCATTAGGATTTTTAAAATGGATCTGAATGAAGAACAACTCGTTTGCATTTTGTGTTAAAAACAATATCAACGGTACGCAAACCTTGAGAATTCTCGGAATCAGCGAGTTGGCAGAGGACTTGAGCATTGCATATGGATCCATTCAAAACATGTTGATCAACGATTTGTGTCTCCGTCGTGTTGGTGCCAAAAGACTTGAATTCCATGCAAAAAAGGACCGTGTTGATATCGCCAAGGACATGACTTCCATGACTGAACATTTATCAAACGCATCATTACTGGAGACGAGACGTGGGTTTATGAGTTCGACACGTAGTTAAGACATCAGGCGAGACCGAAAAATCCGCGTCATTTCCAGTCGAAAAAGAAGGTAATGCTCACGGTTTTCATGAATTACTACGGCGTGGTGCATAGTGGATTCTTGCTAGAAGGTCAGACTGCCAACAAGGAGCACTATTTGGGTATTTTAAGGCGTTTGCGTGAATCACTCCGTCAAAAACGCAAGGATTTGTGGGCAAACAACTCGTGGATCTTGCACCACGATAACGCACCATTGGACAATGTCATAATTATCCGTGAGTTTTTGGCCAAAAACAACACATATACAATTCAACAACCACCCGATTGCCCCCCTATGACCTCTTCTTGTTCAATGTAATTAAAAAGCCATTGAGAGGAGCCCGTTTCATCAGCAGAGAGGAGATAATGGAAAGCCGAAAATGGCCCTAATAGAGATACCTAACATCGAGTTAAAAAATGTTTCGAGGACTGGATCAAGGGTTGGCATAAGAGCATTGCAGTCAATGGGGACTGCTTTGAAGGGAATATTATCGGTTTTGAAACAATAAACTTTGTATTGTTTATTTTTTTAATAAATTCCGGGAACATTTTGATCAAGTGGTATACAATGTATCGGCTATCTTTAACGATTTCAACTTGCGAATTTGACTATCAAGAGTAGTGATGGCCGATATTTCCCGAACAGTGATTTGGTTGCTGATTATTCTAAATCACGGATGACGACTGTTACCAAATACCGAGAAACGCTTGAACGTGTTTGAAATGTGCTTGTGCGCTAGCCGCTAAGGTCGAGGGTCGTATACCATCATGGCCTGCAAGCGATATCGTGCTTTATGCGCGTTGTAGTTCGCGGGTAATTATTGGCATGAGTTATTCGTGCCTACACTCATTGTTGCTCGTTAAAATTCAGCCCCCAGCGTGCCAGCGGTACTACCAGCTTAAAATATATTTAATAATGATGTATATAAAAACTGGTAAACAACTATTGCAATTATCTAGATGCTGTCATATCTGCTTAACCACTATCTGTTAAAAGTATCGAATATCTGGCAAAATAAAAAATATCTGTTGAATCGGTTTGTGGTACGACTAAATATGGTTTCGCGAAAGCCTTATTAGTTACCTGATACAGGGTGTCCCAACAAAAATGGTAGTAGTTCTATGAGCAACCTTCAAAAGATATCAAAAATCTGTTTTTGTGGTACCTCTGATAATATGATACTTGTGTATATTTTAAAATTACCTAAAATATATACAGAGTGTTCCATAACTTCGTGCCATGGCAAACATGTGTTTTTTTAAGTAGAGCTTATATCAAAAAAAGTTTACCAAAAAACTATTCAACGATGTAGACATATACTGGGTGTTTCATGAAATTTTTCAGGAAAGGTACATTTTGCGTTTTGAGATACCCTGTGAAAATAGAAAGAAATGTTAGCACTTTTTCGAGATCAGCTTAAAATGATGATGATAAAACTTTTGTGAACTAAGATTTATCTAAATACAATCTTCAAAAATGGCGGAGCTGCGAGTCGTCAAACCTGGGCATTATTTTCAGACGTTTGACCAAATATCTAAACAATCGAAACCATATGCTTTGTGATATCAGATCAGAACCTCTATTCAAACATTCAAGAACCTTTCGGGTGATCTATTTAAAAAAATATGTTTTCTGTGGCTCGCAGTTATGGAACACCCTATATATTAAAATAATTTAAAGTATGCACAAAATGTTTTTGATATCCTTTCCAGTTCGCTCCAAAACCATTCGTTTTCATTGGTACACCCTGTATTCTTATATTTTTAATTTATAGTTTACATGTTTCTTTTGACGATTCGTTATTTGTTACCACTCTAATTCTTTTCATTGAATGTTAATTTCAGGTCGTTATTAAAAGACTACTTGGGAAGGTTTCTTCGAATGCATTATGGGCGTTTATTTTCTTAGTATAGTTATATAGCATTCGAAAAAGGTTCATTCCACCCCTCACTTCTTTTCTATTCTGTTTTGTATCAAGTTCAGTTATAAAAGGGTTGGAATAAACACTTTTAGATGTTCGATATTTTTCCTGTGTATATTGAGGAAATTCAATAGATAAATGGGATGCATTGAGATTCTTTTGCGGTATATTTCGCACTTGTAACTTCGTTACATTCTTGCTTGGCAATTTAAGGACTTTTGATTTTTAGTTGCACAAACTTAAGTAAATCTCATTACATCATGTAAATATAACTTCTTTTTCGAATCGAATGTCAATAAATATGCTAGTGACAGATTATGTACTGGTTCAAAATTAAGTTCAAATTGATTAAGTAATCAATACTAATCTTTTGGCATCTTGCATGATAATGACTTGAGAATAATTTGAGGAAAGTGACCCATGGAATTTATTGTAAATAAGTGTTTTTTTGTATCTGTGTGCATCAAATATGACGCTAAGCAGATAGTAGTTTTTACACTATTTTCACATATGACTCAAACTATCGTAGAAGGTTAATACGATAGAACTTTATCAGCATTTTCCTCTAATTGTATCTTTTTGCAGTTTAGAAAAGTTTGCAAAATACTCTTAGCTCTTGATTAAAATTATCTCATATTAACTACATTTTACAGAAATCATTTTTTTAGGAGTGGGTTCTCATAATTCTTTCATACGGTCGTAATAATAAAGAACGGTAATAATAAATTACCTGCTGACTAGTTTATTTGTACATTAATAGCATGCCTTTTGAATAAAGAAATCGTCTGACCTAATTGTTATGCAAAATTAAAATCGTTCACAATCCCATTTATCTTGAGAATGTATATATTATGTTTGGTTGCACCTTTTATGATATAAATGTGAAAATTAGTATAGTCCAAATAAATACGATACCAAACTAACATTTATTTTTTTGTGCAAAGGGTATAGAAGAGGTAATGGATGATGAAAAATTGCAAGTAGATAAACAGAAAAAACAATCGTATCAAATCTCAAGTTTCTAAGTGAAGCTCGCGCGAAAACCGAACACACGAGAAAATTTCTTCAGTTCAAGTCGATGACTGAAAATATGAAAAAAGAAATCGTCCTCGAAAGATTTGAGAAAACACTCTCGAAGAATGAAATCTTGAAACTCAAGAAGCGCTTCTCGTCAGGGATAAACTATCCCTTGAGACACTTAAACGTGTGGATATACAAATAAAATGATTTCTAGCTACCTGTTTGTTGAAGTCACTGGGAACTACCTTTTTCTCCTCAACACGAGAGTGTAAGTAGCAAAGTCACACGCTCACAGTTATTTCATCCCTTGCATACACTCAAAATGGTGAATGGTTTTTCTAATGCTAAGTGCATAGTGATGGCGAATGTTATGTCTTATATAGAATAAATGAATAATAGAATAGTTGAAAATCCTGGGATATAACAAAAAAATATGTTACATGTTTCCAAGTTGTACTGTATTTTTAATATTACAGGAACAAGCCTCCTAAATTGTACCATTTAGAAAAAATGGGTAAAATTTCCAATACTCCGGGGATACTTTTATTTTAGGTGTCAAGCTGTATGATTTTCAAATGTTTCAATTTTTATTGTCTCTACGTTCCTATTTTAGAACAATAAAGTTTATAAAAACATTGTGAATGGTACGATTTGGGGGAGCAACTGTCATAATTGTACCTTTAGTGTTTCTAATCATACTTATCTAAAATCTACCACTTACGTATGGTAACACATGTGGAGGATTCAAGAATCTATCTAGGTGGCAAGACAGTAATAGTCGCAGGATTCATGTTCATGTTTGTCTAGGGTGGTAATTTTTCCACCAAAATACAGCATCTTATTGAAAAGTAGTAGGCTTGGGTGCGTAGAAGGGGAGGAGGGCTCTAAATCCGCCAATGGATGGCACCGGCAAGTGTACTTGGAAAAGAATATATATGATTGTCGCGACAACGCTTCTTATAAAGCCGCTAGGAATAATAAAAAATCTTTATTTCAAAATAACAGTGCATGATTACGATGTATTACACACTGTTAGGTGAAATATACGTCACAGTGTCATCGAGACAGGAAAAAAAAATAACATAATGGAGATTTTACATTTCAAAATATTCTTGATAGTCATACGGTTCTAAATGCATTAACAGTTGATAAATACTCTCTGCATAAAGCGGAGATGTGTAATTTCTGTATAACCTCATCTGGTCAAAAATCGTTCAACAGATTGCAGATTTTCCATTCATTTGCATGCTACGAGCTAGGCGAATGTCACAGGATCAGTATAATCCGTCAGCATTTATCATGGAATTTGATAACACCTAACTGAGAAAATAATTTCTCCAACTTGATTTTTTAACAATGAGTTAGTCTTACGTCAAGAATGCAACGATACCATTATCACGAAATTTTATTGACGAGTAATAAGAAAAAAAATAATGTGTTGGACGATCCCGCAGCTGAATGCAGTCCTGTATACGTCTAGGCATCGACAAAATGAGATGATCGATGTCTGTTGTGTTACCTCATTCCAAGCAACTCGTACTTCGTGGATTATCTGTGGCGGATGGTGCAAAGTGGATAGTCTCTTCCCCCAACGTATCCCATACATGATCGATGGGATTTAAATCCGGGGAAGGCGGTGGCCACGTCAAATCATTAACGCCTGCTTCTTAAAGAAAGTCCGTATTACGACGAGCAATATGGGGACGTGCGTTGTCTTGTTGAAAAAGGACGGATGGACGGCCGTCTAGATACGACAGAAAAGTTGTTTGTAGGACATCATCAACATAACGTGCAGCAGTCATATTGCCTTGAACAAAGAGAAGGGGTGATCGGCTACCATAGGTAAATAGTCCTCCAAACCATTACTCCAACAGTCCTGTGTACATGCCTCTCAAAAGCAAATCCATTATTACGCTGTTCTGCACGTCTAACCCTTCTACGACCATGGTGCGTACCTAGACAGAAGCACGATTCTTTCGCTGAAAATGACATTCTGCCTTCCAATGTTGCCTTTTCTGCTCCAGTTCAAGCGTTGACGACAGTGCTCCACAGTCAATGTACGCATAGTAACAGGTGTACCTTATCCTCCAAACCATTGCTCAGCGATTTGACGCGTAGTAGCAACACGGTCTCGTAGGGCTAGTTTCTGAAGCACCTATCTTAACGCTCTGTGGTACGCCTCGGTGGATCAGTTGGCCTTCTTCGTGTTCCTGTACCTTCTGTCCACACGCATTACCGTCATTGCAGTACAATTGATACGGCGCGGCGGCCAATTTTGCGTTTCTTCACAAAAACTAAGAGATAACGTTTTAACGGTAAATAAAACGCTTTAAATGTAGTCATTTATGTTGCCAAAAAAACAAGGTGGAGAAATTATTTTTTCTGGGTATAATACTTATAATGTTACTTGAGTATACTTTATGGACAGAACATGACAACCGGGAACGGATTTCGCGACAGAGCTGGCTCATGGGGGGGGGGGGGGCTAAGGGCAGATACAAACAAGTGTTGTTGTAAATGTAGCTTATGGACAGGACATTTCAGTTAAGAACTGATGTTGCAACAGGGTCGTATTATGGGGGTTAAAGGGTACTCGCGAGTTTGTTCGAAAATCCTCCTAGATATCTAAAATTTGCAGTACTAACAGAGTAGAGTTGAACTGATAATGCATTTAGTGGCATGGGCAAAAAGGGGTTTAGCGGCTGTAACTTTAATATTTACTTACGATTAGACAGAGAGGTATTTTTTATACTGAAAAATTTGGTTTGAAGCAATGTGACAGTTTCAAAATTTTAGTTATCTTATAATTTTAAGCATACGAAGTTTCTGGTAACAGCTACTGATAATAATAAATTCACTCAACCTGAAGATTTGAAAACTACACGTAAAAATATAATACAAGTAACCCGACACACAAAAATACACAAGATAAAATACAAGTTTATGTAAAAAGTATGACAAATTAATAATTTAAGAATTCTTGAACAGAATAAAAGCAGTTTTTAGAAAGAGCTCTTTTAGTGACCTGTTAAAGTTATGTCCATCACTCATTGATTTCCAAGAATGAGGCGAAAAGTTGACGAGTTTGCCGCACATATAAAATGGGATACTTTCATATGAAGTTGCGTTGTGCTTAATGGGTCTCGAAGCAGTGCTACCTCTGGTACAGTAGTTATGTACATTGCAGTTTTTCTAATACGCGGTTACATACTACATGTGTATAATTGTATAATGGAAAGTATTTCGTAGCTTGTTAAAAAAGGGCGACATGATTCCGTTGACTTGGTGAGTTTCCCCAAAAACCACATTGTATAATATTTGGGAGTATATCATTGAGAAATAAACATTCAGCGTAGTTAGTTGAGTGATACCAAGACAGCCTTTCAATTTAAGAATAGCTTAACACGTTTGCTGCTCCCGACGCACATGTGGCGTCCGAGCAATCATTATCTGAGTGCTCTCGACGCACAAGTGGCGGCCTGGTGTTTATTCTCATATACCTACATGACAATCGATGCGCACGGCAGTTAGGCTTATGATTTCGTGGGAGCACGTTCTTAAGGGTTTTATTCAAGAGTTTTGCTGTGTGGTTCGAGTTTTCGTTTAATTTTTTTTTTTTTGTAATGGCCGAGAGTCCAACTCCAAGCCCTTCGGCACCGAAGTGCCTTAGAATTAAGAATCCCAAAGTTCTTACTGAAGATGAACTGCGTGCATTAGCATACTTATCAAGCTCGAGTGATGAAGAGCCATTACCGGACTCGGGCAGCATCTGGAACATCCGACGAGCGCCAAGATGCAATGTCTACTGCCTCTCAAAGCGATATGGAGCTGTTGGATGTTGTGGGAAATGAACAACAGTTAGTATGGACAGAATACCCCCCAAATCTTAGGCAAATTGAGTTTACTGGAAAGCAACAATTAAATGTACCAATACCTGGTCAAGGGAAACCTATTGATTTTTTTTTTACTCCTGGCCGATGACGAGTTCTTTGAAATTTTAGTACAACAAACGAATATTTACGCAGAACACGTGCTACTAAACAAATCGTCTGGACCTAACTCTAGGATTAATCGATGGAAACCTACAGACAAAGAAGAAATGACTATGTTCTTGGGGTTGACAATTTTTTTGGGAATTCTTCAATTACCTAGATTGCGAGACTACTGGCGTACCAATCGTTTTCTCAATTTGCCCATCAGAAAATATATGAGCAGAGACCGATACTTAATTATTTTGCGGTGCTTACACTTTGTTGAAAATTCTCGAGATTTGGAAAGTGACAGGCTATACAAAGTTCGGCCATTGCTCAACTTTTTCAACAGTAAAATGGAATCTGTTTATTCCCCAGGCAAGAACCTTTCAATAGATGAATCGATGTTTTTATGGCGCGGTCGCCTTGCGTTCCGACAATACAAAAAAAATAAAAAACAAGAACGGCATTAAATTTTATTTGCTCACCGAGTCAACTAGCATTGTTTAAAATATGCAAATATATACTGGGGTACTTGATGATTTAGGTGGTAAAGGACATGCTGCTAATGTGGTCCTGCATCCTATGAGAAATTACTGGAATAAGGGATACAGCCCATACATGGATAATTATTACAATTCTGTAACCCTTGCCAGCCAACTCTTAGAGAAAAATACGTACTGCACGGGTACTTTGCGGGCGGGAAGAAAAGAAACTCCAGAAGATGCAAGTAAGGCGAAACTAAAGCCTGGCGAATCCGTTCATCGAAATGGAGGAAGTGTGTGTGTAGGTAAATGAAAGGATAAACGGGAGGTACTCTATATTACTATGGAGCATGAAAATACAATGGAAGAAGCTTTGTCTAGATTTGGCACCAATAAAATTAAACCAGCCCCAATCATGCAATACAACAAATATATGTCGGGTATAGACTTACAAGATCAATTGCAGTCCTTCCCATCGTAAAACCATACGATGGTACAAAAAAGTAGGAATTCATATTATAGAGACCATGTTATATAATTCCTATATATTATACGAAAAATATTCTAAACCAAAGATGTCGTTCCTAGAGTACCGTGAATCAGTAGTTCATGCAATGGTACCAGAGATTAAAGCCAAAGAGAAGCCAGGTCCATCCACAGAAGACCCAGGGTTTCAACATGGTCCATCCAAACTAGAAAAAGGCACAGGTGATAGAAGACTGCGCAAAAAATGTCGATGGTGTTCAAAACGTGGAGTTCGTAAAGATACAAGCTTTTGTTGTAAGAGTTGCCCGGAACTACCCGGACTGTGTTTAGACCCTTGCTTTAAGGAATATCATAATAATCTGTAAAATCAGATACATATTTTAAATAATGTATTTGTTAATACTTAGTTCCCTTTTCATGAAATATGTACCTATTTAGTTTTCAAACATGTTTTTTTATTCTAGTTGAACAATGGACCTATATTTTTTTTATTTTATTACGTTTATGACTTGTAACTTTTGTAGTTGCATAGGGATAATGTTTCATTTGTTGTTTCTTTTTGTGACGATTTTATAATAATATCGTTAAAACTTAATAAAAAGATTTGATAAAAAGTCCTTAGCGACGTCAAATAGGCGTCGGTGAGCACTGGGCGGTTAAAATCATGGCCGAGTGCTCAAGCCGCCACATGTGCGTCATGTTTTTTTTGCAAGAAACTTTGAAAAAACTACATAAACAAAAATTATATTGAACTAGTAACACGTAATAACAAAAACATTTACAAACAGTAGTTTTGTCAGTCTCAGTACCACCAGTGTTATTTAAAAAAATGATGAGCAGCGAACGTGTTAATAGTTCTTGTTGAGTTTTTTGCAAACTTCTTTAATATCTGTTGACCAGATGATGTTGCTGTCAAAGTACAAGTCAAGATTTTTTTATAGGGGGAAATACTAACAAGATCTGATTTTACTTTTATATCCAAATTTTTTATTTTGGTTGGTGCCTGGGTATAATTGCATGATTGGTTTCGCTGGAATTGACTCTTCCACCATGTTGTTGGCATTTTGCGTCTCGCCATCAACAGCTATAGTCATTTCGTCGGCGCATAGTATATTATTGACTGTGATATCAGATGGTAAGCCGTTTATGAATAACATAAAAATCAACGGGCAAAAAATTGACCTTTGAGCTATACCCAGGGAAACGTTGTAACCCTCTGTATTAAAAAGGCGTATTTTTTAATTCACCGGTTGAGCCACCGGTACTACCAATTATCCAATTTTACTTCCTTTAATTGTCGTCTGAGCGACCAAACTTGTCTATATAGTTTATAGACAATTTTGGTACACAACCGGTCGCTCAGACGGAAATTAAAGGAAGTAAAATTGGATAATTCGTTGCGCCGGTGGCTCAACCGGTGAATTAAAAAATACGCCTTAATTGTTCAAGTGTATTATAAATTTCTGGTTAGAAAGGTTCGACAGTCATAGTAGTATTGCCACGAAAACCAATCACAAATAGCTGTTTACAATAACATCAGGGTTAATAGTACCGACTGCCTTTGACAGACCAAAGAAGAGTACACCAACTAGCTTCTTGTCTAGGCAATAGTAGATACCTGTATACTTGAACAAATATGATGCGCTCTCCGAGGATCTGCCATGCTAAAAGCCATTTTGGGATTCGCTAATAATAATAAATCGTCGGCGAAGTTTAGCTTACAGCTATTCTGCCAATTAAACCTTTATAAAAATGCGTTAACATCAAAAATATATAAATATAATAAATCTGCAAATTATAGTACAGTACTAGGTAGTAATATATAAATATTACATAAATCTACCTATCCCCTAAAAGTAGGTCAAATTTGAAGTTAATCGCATCTATGAATACTTTTATTTGAATAAATATAGGATTTAAACTTGAATCAAATCAATATTTTTCTATTTACCCATTTTCGATTGATTGAATGTTTATATGAGCACGTGCTGGCAACACTGCAACGTCAATATCATCTCAACGTTTCCAAGCTCGACTGGACTGAAACTTTGTGGTTCAGAAGCGAGACTGAACAGTTCGACTCTGACTTTTTAGATCACACGACTCGAGCGACAGATTCAGTGTAAGAGAGTGAACTGGCAGCTGCCCAACCTGAATCGGAAGCGACACCAGGCAGCTCGAGCCTGATTGGTTAATTCAAACGTCTCGACTAACAGATACAGCATAAGAGAGTGAATGGACAGACAAGTTAGTTAAGAGTATGGAGGTTACACCAATTTTTAGTTAGAGGGTGTTCAACTTTTTCCAGAATATAATTGAATGTTTCACAATTCATTCTGGTGTACTGCAAAAAGCGGTCGGGGTCATCTTTAAACGCCTTGAACAAATTATGCTATTCACCATAATGTATCTCTCCCTGGTACCTACCACGATTTATGGGGTAAATAGCAACTTTCTTACTAGAGCTTATTATAGTTATAGAGTGTAACATTCCTCAGGTGTTCCTGGGGAGACTCTTTATAATCAAGGGTGAATAAGGTAACGGTTGAGACAAATAAATACCGCGATTAACTTGTTAGACACTGTATTAGCACTGAACAACCGTATTGGGAAACTCTTGGTCCCAAAATACAGGATTAATTAAACATAAAAATACATAGCCGCCTTCTGGCGTGCGCGACCGCCGCGTGCTGACCGTTCTTCAGTCCCCCCTTCTACCTTCTTGTGCCACGGGCAACGTTGATCGCTACCACCTATTTTTCCGTAACTTCACTACTCACTTAAACCTAGCCTGTTACAAAAGCTGTTCAATGCAATAAATTCATCTTCAGACGAGCTAGATCCCATGTTGACGCGAAGACTACGCTGGAACTGACAAGAGGCCGGTTTTACTTGCTATTTTCTCGTCAGCAGTGTGTCCATGACCAGCCATGAAATTCGGTACCGATCAGCCCTGGTTGCCGGTAAGCAGGAATCCGGCTTCCACTGTGTTTTTGCCCTAAGATCGGCCGATGCGGCCCGCCATCTTGTGGGCTGGTCATACTGAAGGGCGTTCGCTTGGGCTTCACGAAAGGCAGTACAAGGTTGCAGCTAGGCATGCTAGCTAATATTAAATTCTGCGGTGACGGCACAAGGAGTATTAGTAACAGAAGGGCGGGGGTCACCCTTAAGGTCATCCCAGACTTGCAGAGCGGACTCGCAAGTTAAGTTTGCGGAACTATCAGTATTTTGAGTGGTAAATTTTGTAGCTAAGATGGTGTATATGATTTAATATACCATATTTGTCCATGTTGTGAATTTAAGGGGAATTTTTCATTAAAAAGGTGAAATGAATTACGTTTTTCTGTTATTAACAAACAAAACCCTTGAATGAACGGGTCTTCAAGCTTCCTCTGTCCGTGACAACTCTCTACTTCAAATCTGTAGTGGACCAAAACTAAAATTCCACGACCTGGCCTGGCGCGGAATCATTTTTTTTTCCTGGAAAGTACCTGTAGGGTTTTCTAAAAAACTGCGAAGGTAGCATTTATTCTGCATCTCATATTGACTCTTGCAATAGTTTTTGCAAATTTTTGTTTATCCCAGACATTTTTTCTGCCACAACGTCGCCCTGTATAACAATAAAGCTAGGCTGTTTTTTAATACACGACAGACCAGACTCCATTTTACTCATTATTATTTCGGCTACTAATTTTTGTCGTTGTCTTGCGATGTTTTGCAATACAGAGCCAGTTTCCAAAATACTAATTTTTTCAAGGACTATTGTCTCATAATTGCCTACTGGTCTGCTTTAACTTGTCGTTAATGTGAGCGCAGCGGAACAGCACTTTTATGTGTTTTGTATTCTAGTGAGTTTCATCAAGGCCAAAACTAAATTCCAGGTCATGTCTCAGATCAGACCCAATTTTTTTTTGCTGGGGAGTACCTGTGAAGGCATGAAGCTGTGTGGAATGTCAGAGTCCTAGGTTGAACGATTAGATCAAGAGGCGCGTTCAAAGTTCGATACACTTTTCGTAAAGTAGAAGGACCAACCTATCGCATTATGTAAACTGAATTGTGTTCTCGGGCCTAAAATTATTCGAATATGACTTTAGATCCAGTTTTCGATATATTGGGCCAAAACAAGCTATTGATGATTGATTGATACTGAATCATGTCTTATATCGGGCTCAATATTTTTTCTGAAAAGAAACTTTAATGGCATGAGACTTTGTAAATTCTCTCAAACATCGACTGTTCTGCTCTAGAAAGGCGTTCAATATTTCAGGTTTATTAAAAAATGTCCTAATCTTTTTTGAATTTTTGGTAATATTTCCATTTTCTCGATAATCTTGTCTGGAAAGCATTAGGTCCCGCGATATGTGACCATTTCGAAGTAAAATTCAGTCAGATGAATTGAAAAATGACCGCCTTGCGGTCTGATTAATTCGTTCGTAGAGAAACGTCTATTGCTCATTCAATGGGCACTAATTACTAGTAACAAATCAAATAAAAATATAACAATTTTATTTGTATTTGAATAGCACACTGACACAATTATATCAATTCAGTCTACTTTAACCACACTATATATTTGCCTGATGAACCAGAAGCATGCGAAAAATCCAATTGTCCCGGTCATCAGGTTGAAGAGAAATACCATTATAAGAGTATAACCAAAATATAGGAACGTCGACGCCACGTCCTCTATTTGCAATTTTGTGAAAAAGTAGTGACAGCAATACAAAAATAAATAGATGGCTGTGAATCCTGAAGTTAGGTATGATCTCCACCACCAATGGTAATCCTCTGCACAAAGATGAAAATAGCACAGCAAGATAGTTGTTTCCGCACAGGTGATTACTAGAATGATGAAAACTAAGAACAGGAGGCCGAACATGTAGTACATTTGCGACGACCAAATGGATTTCAGGATGAAGTACAGCTGAATAAAGATGCATCCAAAGGGTAGAACTCCGCCCATTACGATCCCTGGAATCGCCTCAGTGTAAATGGATTGTTCTGGTATCAGCCGTGGGATCTGATTGGTGCGCACTGGATGCTCTATCGCCTGAAATGATTATAGAGATCGAATTAGTCATACAAAATATACCGAAATCAGTAGGTAGGTAGGCTCGTCCAGGGAGATAAGGCGCGTCAAAGAGCGTTTTACGTAGACATATCAAACGCATGCTAATATATTAGAGTTCATGTAGAAGATTCACGCTAATTGCGGTAGAGGTCGCGGAGGTCACCAACGCGTTGGCAACACGTACGGCTGCAGTCCATTATCTCTTAGATGTTCTTACCCAATTTTATCATAATGTTCTCTTATATTGCATTTAATTTATAACTGGTACCATAATCATTGATTGTAATATAATTTATATCCAATTTAAAGAGAGTAGCGGTAGCTGCGCCCAATGCCTAACATCTCACTTGACACCCTACGAGACACGCCTCTTGACGTAACGCGTTTGCCTGAAGGACGAGGACAACTTTTATGCTACACTATTAAATCCAAATTCGATGTATGGCCACACTAGATTTGTTCCAACCATGAGCCTTGCTACCAGAACCATTCGGTTATCATTTGGTACGCTTTTCTATGCATGGGTTGACTGGTCATGATTCCAGAAGTGTTTTTGGCTGGAAGGTGGTTGGAACGATTTTGGAATCGTTTTTGTAACTAGAAAGTGACAGATAGCGCCTCCGTCACTATTTATCGCAATGAAAGCTGGACATTATCGATAAATTATCTTTAAATAGAAAGTACACAGACTATCAAAGCAACGTTACAGTTTGATTGGAGGTTAGAGGCAATCACCTGACAACAGTTCTACTGTGCAGGTCAGTTCCTTTGTGTTCTCTTCCAATGCAGGTATCTAGTTTACTGTACAAAACCGTTCAAAGTGGAATGTTCCGCTCAATTTGTACAACCGGTCCTCAGAGCTGCATTTTATTAGATGACTTTTTAACACAAAGTTTACATTCAAGTTAAAAACTTGATCTATTATCATTCAGCAATACTAATGGAATTGAGTCGAGTAGAAAATCATACGTACCCTTTTTCTAAATCCAAAGAAAGCCCCAATAAACGTGAGAGGTACTGACACAAGCCACCATAGGGCCAGGAGTCCCAGAAGTGTACTGAATGGAATAGCCGCGGAGCTGCCTTTAGCCCACAAGATAAGGTTCATGAAGAAGAAGAGTCCAAAAACTATCCTATAAAGAAAGAACTTTCAACAGTTTTGTTTCATTCCAATCAGAAATTGACTGATAATGCGTATTCTCCACTAAGAGTATTTCCACACCTTAGTCTAAGCTATATAGGTTTGTAGGTACTCAAAATTAAGTACGTACACGAATGTATGGAAAAACAAGATAAAATACGATGATTCAAATGCACTAAAATACTAGTTATTATTATTGCTCCTAATTGGTTTTCTAAAAATAGTGGTCAAAGGTGCCCAAAAAAACTTCTTTACATTTATTTTTAAATGTTAGCTTTTCACGAAATTAATAATTACAAAGGGTACTATAAAAGTTTTACAATATGACTTAACAAACGGATTAAGGAGCCTGCATGTTGAGGCATGTCCATGAGTGCATAGTAGCCGGCAGCAGCACGTCTGTTGTTTTAGTTGTTCATTCGTATTGACAGTTTAAAGTGTGGACTATGGCACTACGTAATAAGATCAGTTTTACGGTATAACTTGACGCGTGGTTTAAGCATAGACCAGTACTTAGGAGAAATGACGCTTGCATTGAAGAATGATTATCCTCATCGTACGACTATATTCAGGTCGTACGGAGGATTCCAAAGTGGGAATTTCACTCTGGAGGACGCTGAGAGGGAAGGAAGGGCGCGAACATCAGTAACAGAGGAAAAAATTGCTGCTGTGAGGAAAATGCTTGACGAAGACCGGAGAGTAACATACCAACAGATAGAGACCTCAAACCTTTATGCACCCGCAATTCATTCAATTCTGCATGACCATATACACGTAAGGAAACTTTGTTCTCTCTGGATACCGCATAGTCTGACGGAAGAGCAGAAGACTCGTCCTCCGACTAAGTGGCGAAAGATGCTGAACATGTTTGATAAGCGGTAATCTCGGTATGTGAACCGTATCGTGACAGGTGCGAGACTTGGTTTCTATTATTACGATGTGCCGACCAAGGCTCAAAACAAAGTTTGGGTCTTTGATGATGACACACCCGTAGCTGTCAGAAAATCCCGATCTGTTAAGAAAAAAAATAATAGATGTATTTTTGTTTTGTTTTGGACACACCGAAGACAGTCACAGCTAAATGGTACACGAAACACTGCCTGCCTAAAGTCATAGAGTCTATGAAAAACCTGCGGCCAAACTCAAGAATGGTACCTTCAACATGACACCGCGCCGAGTATTTGGCCACTACTGGAGGGAAACTTATTGAGCACCCTCCTTACAGTTCAGATCTTGCTCCCTGTGACTTTACACTGTTTACGCATTTGAAAATGAAGCTAGAAAGAAAACGGTTTTATAGCGATGATGACCTTCTGAGGGCTCTGGACTACGAGTGTGCCGCACTCCCGGGTGAAACATGGCAGAGCTGGTTTAAAGACTGGATTTGGCGGATGTAGAAGTGTATTGAATGTGGTGGAAGTTACTTTGAACGAAGTCAATAAATAAAGTTGTATTGCAAAACTTTTATAGTACCCTTTGTAAAATGACACTCAAGGAGGCCATACTCCTTTCTCTCCTTCAAAAATTTCTAGATTACACTTGTCACGTGTCAGCGTCAGCGCTCTCCTATTGTGAAGATATGTTTTCTTTTTAAATTGTAGGAAATTTCAGGCTGATAAAACATGATATAACTCAAAAGCAAGCACGATTTGATGCAAATAGATGTTTGTGACATAACCTCAAAATAGAGTTCTGACACGGAGAAGTAGAAAACTATGACAATCAAGGAGGCCATAAACTTAAATTAGCTATAATTATACCTATATATAAAAAAGATCCTAGTGACTTGCTAAATTATGTCATGTATTCAAAAATTATGAATCATATGATATGTAACAACTTAATTGCAGAGTCACAACATAGGTTTGTGAAAGGGAAATCCATCAACACGGCGATCTATTCTTTCAGCCACAACATCATAGAATGCCTTGAAAATAATATATCACTGGGTCTGTTTTTTTGATCTCTCCAAAGCTTATGATTGTGTGGATCATTCTCTACTATTGAATAAATTCGAGGCATACGGGATACCTTTATCCCGGAAGTGCTTGCAACTGGATTGTCTTATCTGACAGGTCATAAGCAAATAGTTTTCATTACAAAGAATGAAATATCAGCCGTTTCATCACAGTTAATGGTAGAAAGAGGTATTTCACAAGGTAGCGTCTTAGGACCTCTCCTCTTTTTGATTTTTGTGAACGATCTGTGTTCTAGTATTACAAGCCCAAATAATGTATGCACGATCCAATACGCTGATGACACTAGTGTACTAGTCGCTGGCCAAGATTTCAACCATTTAGCTGATAGTACTTTGAGCCTCTGCAAGAAAGCGTTTTTGTGGTTTGCTTGTAATGGATTATCTCTGAATACCTCAAAAACAAATGCGATTGTTTTTAAGTTAAGAAAAAAAATCGAAGCTACAAACATCAGTTTAGCAGAAAGAATAGAAGTCCCTCTGACAGACTGGCGAAAATTCCTGGGAGTTCATATTGACCAAGCACTTTCCTGGGCTAAACATATAGAACATCTAGAAAGAAGGTTAAACAATGCATGTTATAGTATTAGAGTACTAAGCAAGTACCTAGACTTCTAGACTCTAAAAATGGCATATTACGCGAATTTTGAATCCATTGTACGTTTTGGAATAATTTTTTTCGGACATAGTAGCCATACCAATAGGATCTTTCTAGTGCAAAAGCGAGTGCTGAGGTGCACCCTAAAAATTTTCACTAGAGAGACTTGCAGAGGAAAATTTAAGAATAATAAAATTTTAACTGTAGCCGCAATATATATTCAAGAGATTCTAAATTTTTACATTTAAAAATATTAACAATTTTATCGGTAACCCACGAAGTGACTATAACACAAGAAATAGAAATATAAATCTTCTGTATCCAGGCCATCATCTCACGGTTACCGAAAAAAATGTCTATTACAGCTGCACTAAAATATACAGGGTGTCCGCAAAGTTGGGGTTTTCCTATACACGACGTGTAGATCTTGAAATCATAAGCAATTTTTCTTAGTACCATATACACCACTGTCTTAAGGGAACCGAGATAAAGGGCTCTGCAACATCAAAAATATCTGAATATCGTCCTGTAGTCGCGACTCGCGACATCCCCAACTGGTACTAGGACACTAGCTCAACCCGACGACAGAACTGGGTCGGGGGTCGGGGTCAGTGTGTCAGGTCAGTATGCAACCTTCAACCGACGGTTACGGTCACGCGTGTAGAGGTAAACGAACCCGTATAATCGATTGCGTTTCAAAAAACAACAAGCACTAGAGACGTGGCTAGAGAAGTGCAAGTATCAAAAACTAAAATGTGGCAAACGCTGCGTGAAGAGGAGCAGTATCCGTTTCACGTCCAACGTGTATAAGCCCTTCAACCTGACGATTTTCCAGCAAGAGTGCGGTTTTGTGAGTGGTTGTTGCAGCAACATGACAATAATCCGGACCTTTTTGAAGTGCATATTGGTGACAGACGAATCTACGTTCACGCGTAATGGGGTGAATAACTTTCGCAACACTCATATTTGGTCACGCTGTCCGTCGGGCACATTTTCAACAAACATTTTCGGTGAATCTTTGGGCTGGCATGGTGAACGGTATGCTCATTGGACCATTTATTCTCCCAAATCGATTGGACGGGATGCAATACCTAGACTTTTTACGCAACATTTTGCCTTCCTTGTTAGAAGATGTGCCATTAAGTGTAAGACAGTCAATGTGGTTTCTGCACGATGGTCAAATTTGTTACCTCTGTGCGTGGTCTACTGATCTGCACCACCGCCGGCGTCTGCTCGGTAGCCCATCAGCTGATTTCGTTTTCTGTTGGAGCGGTATGATTTTGGGCAGAGACGTACTTAGCCCTTCTCGTCAACTGGAGAGTGAGTACTTTTTTCTTATTTTTTTTTTTACTTGGTCGCCCTCGTTTCACTACACATTACCTTTGTTATTTCAAGGGTAGTTGTTTCTGAAAAGGAAAACCCCAACTTTGCGGGCACCCTGTATAATAAGTTACCACAAGAAATTAAAAGGTTGGCAGATATAAAAGAATATAAAAAGAGTATTTATCAATTGTTAAGCCACTTAGAACCATATGACCTTCAAGAATGTTTTGAAATCTAATATTCTCTATTATGTTATATGTTTTGCCTCTTTGTTTTTTCTGTCTTGATGACACTGTGACGTATATTTCACCTAACAGTGTGTAATACATTGTAATCATGCACTGTTATTTTGAAATAAAGATTTATTATTATTATTAAATATATCCAAAAAAGTTATTATCAAGTGTTGAACGCAACTATGCTCCTTACTTGGAACATATCTCACATTCTTTAAACAATATTTTAAGGAGCGGATAGATGTCTACATTTTTTCTAAATAAATTTTAGATAATAATAACAAAGATACAATGGATGCTCACCCATTATCAAATCGACAATCGACTTACCCGGTTGCCAGCATGGATGTCAATAACACGTTTGATTTCCACTTTTCTCCGCCGAAGCTTTTGTAGATCCTAGCTGAAACGTACCCCGCGGGAGAACCTAAGAGGACGTACAATACCATCGCGCAGGTCATAAGTGCACCCCTGTTAGCGGGACTGAGAAAGCCCAGACAAGCAAAGGCTAATGTAACCAGTGTCATGCAGAATACCTGCACTCCGGAACCGAGCAGTACAGACAAGAGCATGCCCTTACGAGGTGGACGGAACACGTCGCCATGTACAAGTTTCCAACCGAACTCCTCCTGAAATCATTAATAAAGTACAGTATGAGCCAATAATAAAGGACGGCTGTATCTTAGCAACCGCTCAGGCTAGAGCTACCAGTTGAATTTTATGATGAAAGTGGCTAATATTAAGTAATTTTAGGATGCTGAAAATAATTTCTAGCCATTTCTATTGGCCACTTTTGAAATATAAATTGTTTTCACCGATAGTTCTAGGTTTAGCGGTTGCCGAGATTCAGCCAGCGCCCTGTATCATTGGCCCACCTGGTACAACCAAAAATGATAAAAAGTTCTTATAACCATAGATCATAAAATGTCCGATTACTAAGACAGTGTTGAACATTTTTAGGCCTCTGATGAGACTCATTAAACATGAATATTTTTCAAATAATGCTGTGATATCTTGAATATTCAAACCATTTTTAGAAACGTCTTACAAATTTTTCTCAAGATAGAAATAATTGATGTAATAAGGAGAGGCTGCATAAATACGGCTGAAAACGAATCGTCAAATGAGCTAAGAGGTGTTTTAGGATCGAACCGTTATAGTAAACTGACTGCTATAACGGGATATGAAATAAAGGCAGAAATATGCATATAAATAACGGCATACATTTTATATTTGAGCGAATGAATAATTTTGTCACTATGGAATGAACTTTATGAAAAATGTGTTTTATGGTGTTCTGTAATTTCAGCGAGGTTCTGCTCGTTCTAATATTCTGTGATATTGAGAAAATTACGATTATATCACTTCATATATACCATAAGAAAGAGTAGAAGAAACATTCCCATAAATTCCTTCGGAAAGCCACTAGACACTGCATAATCGAACCATACAAAATTTAATAACTTAGAAACGATTTTTATAAGAAGATAACACATCAAGATAAAGAGAAAAAGATCAGAACTAAAAAGTTGCTCTACATTATTGAACAATCGATGCTTTATAATTTTGGGTTTTTCTGGGATTTCAACAATTGCGCGTAAATCAAATACTTTACTGGGAAGAGTATGAACTTCCTGCTTGATCAATGCAGAAACATAGGGTAAACACTGGTGATACAGTACTTATTCGTTGTTTCTTAGGTAGTATTTATAAAAAACGTATTGGATTTCTACACTATATCCTATGTATATACCTGTGCGTCTTCTCCATTGTCGATTTGGTTATATCTTGCGATATCCTTATGCAAAGTCCTTAGCAAGATCATGGCGACCATTCCAGAAAGAAACAGTACGATGACAGCCGAGTTTAATATACTGAACCACTGGATGTTTGTGTGTTGCATAGATTCCAAGATATAGTCCCATCTCGAGGACCATTTCACCTAAAAATAGGATTTTGATTTTATGAAGGATGTATGGCTATATGTGTTATACAAGTCAACAGTTCAGCAGATATTTCCAATTTCGTGAAAAGACCTCTCACAAAAATAATGTGAACACACTGTTGGTATAATTGAATGAGTACATGTCAAATCGATAGTTCATTCCATGATGAGAAAAAGTGTACGAGGTCCAAAGACTTTTCGATCAGCAATTGGGGGCTAAGGTTCAAAATGCCAACCTTTGATTCATCAAAAAACAAAAATAAAGGCAACCTCGTAAATTCATGTTTAAAACAAAACAAAAAACGATTGTGGCTAGTTTGCAGCAAAGTATTGTACAGGTCGCTCTTATGGGAGACCTCTGGGAAAGTTTGAATAATATTCGATTTTTAACGATGTATTAAAATTATATCGAAGAGCCGGGACAAGTATACTTTTTGTTATACATATTAATCATATACTTATAAATCTTCTCATATTGACGTTATTATTAAAAATAACTGATCAATATCTAATATTCGATATTCCATGCTGGTTATCTTCATATAAGGGTTCAAAAGCGTTAGACAATGATAAAAAATTTCGTTTGGGATTACTTTGATAGTCATATCGTTAAAAATCATTGGAATAATGTCCTTCAAACTATTTCCTAGATTCATGCTTTTAAATATCTCTCATTTGTGACTGAAAACTGTGTTTCCGGTCCTAGGCCCCATGGTCACTTTTCATCACAATGGTACGAACTATTGACCCGGCAATTAATTATTCAATTACACCAAAAGTGTTTTTCCAATAGTTTTGTGCGTACTTTTTTATACCGATGCAGCCGCATAGACAGTCGCTTAAATAGCATAGCAACGCGGCTACTGTAATGAGTTTAAAGACACTTTGTTCAACCGCCTAAGGTAAGTAGAACTTTAAAAGCTACCCATCGAAACCGGATGAGCTCTAGGGTGCTCGTTAGTCAAGGTACAATACTGTGATTTGAAAGTAAGTAGCTGTACCAGATTTTTGCGTCCCCAAATAGTGATAACCTCCAAATTTCTGGTTAGAGAGGAAGTCAAAGCTGGTCTTCTTCTCTCCAGCTCAATGGGACAGATCGGTTTGGCACTCTGAATTCCTGCACGTAGAGTGCTGTTATCAGCAAAGCAGTGGATTGGATTGACTGTACAGGAATGTAGGTCCTTGATGTGTCAAGAGGGGGGGAACGCCACACGGACTCTAGTGAGGAAACACGTGTGCATGCAGCATGCACACATTCTGGCCACGCCTAAGAGATACGCCGGGTGGTACCTCCGCGTACCACAGTCAGAGGCCGTCTACCACCTACGGACAATCACAACATCTATAGTCAAGAAAAAAATTCTCTTGGGACGGTATTCGAACACTCGCAGCGCACGTCGACTGATTAGGAGACGGCGGCCATCGCTGCTGCCTAGCTACGCACTCTGTATATAGCTTTTAATAAACTACAAATTAACTGAAAAATGATTGAATGCCCTTTATTTTATAATGAAAAAGTTTTAGACATAAAGTGTGACACCAATTTTGTGCACGTATGTTTTAATTCTCACCATGAAAATCTTGCATCAATAAAATCTAATATTATTTCGCGAATGAAGAATATGACTAGTCTGATTATATAAATTGTCGATCAGCATGGTACTTACCTTATTATTCTCAATAAAGGTGACAGAGTATGTATAAATAATCTCAAAAGTTTGTCCTTTCTCCAAGTTTTTTGTCGGCAAACTTAGGTAATCTCCAGTCTGCATGCATGGTTGTCTGTAAAAAGGGATATAATTTCGCTCTTTTGTGAAAATGAATGTAACTATAAGGGTAGTTTATAGATGAATGTTAGATCTTATGTTGTATGTATCGAAGTTAATTCGCGAGAAGCTCTGTAGTATAAGTATTCAGTACACCCAGTCAACTAAACCTGTGTTTCCTTATTCAATCTCCATAAACTTTACCCCTATTTCTTTGAAGGTACTTGCCACCATAGAAATATTGGCGCATTTTTCTGAATAACCCTATAGACAAAAAAATGCATCTGGCTGAGATTGAACCGGGGACCATAGGCTCAATAGGCAAATTATTTAACCACTAAAGACTATTTTGCAAATCAGTACTTAGGAGCAGCATCCTGTTATTGATTTCAACACTATTTTTAATTAATAAATATCTCACTATAATTTTAGTGGTGGAATTACTTCATCATATGTTCATATATACATTATAATAATAATAGTAGCATTTAGTTGCAGAGCAAAAAAAAAATACAAAGAGAAAAAATTAAAAATGAAGAAACAACATGAATTCCCTGAAAAACAGACTAGTAAACGAACTAGCTGATCAAAATATAATTTAACAAAAAAGATCAAATCATGTTAGGCAGATTTAACAAAAAAAAAAACATTTATAATATAAAAAGGAAAGGAACAATATAAAGTAAAAACTACAATTCATCTAATAGAAATTTTCTGTAACTTTTAAAAGCTGACACCAAACATAGACTTAAGGTTTGTGGGGACATGATTGTACAAGTGGTAGATACAATGAGAAAAACATCTGTTAAACATAGATGTACGATGACGTCGTTGGGAAATCAGCTTCCGATACTGAACATTAATATTGTGAACATTACTTCGAAATGTAATCTTATTATATAAATAAGGCGGAGTTTTGAGAATAATTTTATGTAACAACCGCAGAACGCGCAGTATGGTTGAAAACGTTTCAAGGAAGATTTGATGGCATCAACAAATTTCCTTTTTTATGCCCTGAAAATTCTGTGGAAACTTTTTAAAAAAAATCGTCATTAATAGACTGTTTCACTTACCCTTTATAATCAATACTTCTGGGTATCACCTTCACAGAAATAATCCTGCCTCCATTCTGTTGGAACTGGGAGCCCCATTCTTCTTTAGCTCCTGAATGATATGTTATGGTTAGATCTACGTGATTATGTATATAGGAAGCATCCATCTTGCTTACTGGTTTGGCACAAGTCTGACGGCCATTCTTCGAGTAACAACCCATTGGGAAACCTTTGATTGTAAAAGAGATTCATGCATTACTATTGAAATTCATAATACATAAACAAGAAACATAGTATATAGGTATATAAGACTGACCATAGGGTAGAACTCCAATTGCTTGTATTCAATGTTGGAATTGTGTGTGTGGGGGGGATCTAAGCTAACAATAAAACCTGTATGTAGTGAGGCTCGTGTTCGCGTAAATGTTTTTCATGTGATACTTTTGAAAATGTCAAAGAATGGAACACTTGCTGCAGCAGCAGTACCCAATCAAATATTACTACCATCTGGGCAGACTGCTACAGAAACGTTTGCATTGATCATTGAGGTTTATACAGTAGACACCTCATCAGGAGATCAGGTGTTAAAATGGCTCCAAAAACGGATGCCACACTTTGAAGACCTGACGTGATCTGGACGCCCCACAGTGGGAAAAAAGCAGCATTAAATCCGATTTTTGAGATCCAAATTAAATTGAAATACGTGCTCTGCATTACTATAACACAATAATCAAATCAAATTATTCAGTAGCAGTTTTGTCCAGAAAAGTAAAATTTCATTGTGCAGCTCTAACATTTCATGTTTGCTGTTTTCAGGAGTGTCGAGAGTTTGCGAAAAGCTTTTAACTGGAACGCCAACCTTACTACATTAGAATCCCAATGTGACTGCAACCTGGTGTAATTGTCATTTTAGATCCTGCAATGGTACCCACTGAGTATCAGAATGTAAGAAACTGGGGCATTCTATACTGGCCAATCTCATTATTCATTAAATGTATACTGCAAATCAACTATACCCAAATAAATAATATAAAGAAATAATAGGTACCTGTTGTGCAGAACTGTTCATTTTCTTCAGTATCATAGCATGTTGTTACTGGCATATTATCAACAATCCAATGATGCTGATAATTCAATCCAATTCCTTTACGTAAAATGCTCAATTTCAAGTTATCCTGGGGATCATTACTAGAATATGTTTTCTTGCACAATAATGTACATGTTTGGTTTTCCATGAAGCGAATTTTATAAGGTGATGGGCGGATTCGCTCTCCAAACACGACCTGACCCAAATTTTCTACTGGAGACTTCAGCTCTTCGCTTGGCAAGCAGAAATCAAAATGGTTGTATTCATAGGGGATTACTGATTCTTCTGTATTTAGTCTGTTGACATACAGGTCAACTTGTGACTGAAATCATTTCATTTATATAAATGTAAATTGACATACACTTTAAAAAATCATTTGCCTTATAAGAAAAATGTAAAATACAGCAATGTTTTACCAAGCTGAGGTGATGAAGCGAAATACTATCACATTTGGGAACAAAACTGTGATTGATTTGTTGGATAAATATTCTGCTAGCAAAGGTCAACAATATTCTTTGAATCTAGTTTTTCCTCCATGTACATAAGTATTTTGCTTTGCCCTAAAGGAACTAACATTACATTGTTTTCTATCTCAAAAACAATGTGGTGGCTCTAAATGTTTGGATGCTCCTTGAGCAGAATTGTTAAGATCAAAATATGGATGGCAGGAATAGACTAATGCAGATTACTACAATCTTGCAATACTTGTGTTATACCAAATTTGGCTCGTCAGTGTCCATCTGCTACCTCATTTGATGTGTTATTGCTTTAGCAATCTACTATCCTAAATCCATCCATTCTCATATACAGTAATGAACAAAAGTATATAGACAAATATGAATATTTACCTAAATACCTTTACAAAACAAATTCATACTTCATTGCTCCATAAACAAATGCACTATTAGTAGAAAAACTAAATTCCTTGTTTTTACATTATCTGCAATGAACACAGTACAAGTCTGAATATAAGCACTTTTTTATGAGGGACAAAAGTACGTAGACAAATTCTTTTCAACATTGATTTAGTACAGTTTCGTTTCAGAAGAGGATTAGTTTGTGTTCATCAAGTATTGTGGAACAAGTTGCGTCCAGAAATTTCTTTCGATGTGAAAGCTAAGATGATTGAGTTATACAAAGATGGTCAACGTCAAGTAGACATTGCCACAAATTTTAAGTTGAAGCGTAAAGCAGTTTGGGCAATATTGAACAAATATAAACAAAAAGGTATCTTGGAAGCCTCTAAGAGAAGTGGTCAGCCTAGAAAACTAAATGCTAGATCAGTTAGATCAATAAAAGTAATTTTGTCCAAAGATCCGTTTAAAACCTCAAGACTAATAAAGGCCGAAATCGAGACAAAAGGAATTGTCAGTGTTTCTATGAAAACTATAAGTACAAGATTAAATGATTTGAAGTCATTTGCACATCGCCCGAGTAAGAAGCCGCTAATCTCGAGGAAAAACCATAAGGACCAATTATAATTTGCATGTTTGCATCTTGATTGGAGCATCTGTGACTGGAAGAGGGTATGTTTCAGTGACGAATCTAAGTTCAATATGTTTGGATCGGATGCTGTTCATTACGTTAGATGTCCTAGCGGACAAAGATTGAACCCCAAGTACAATTTGCCCACTGTCAAACATGGAGGCGGGTCTTGGGATGAGACCTTTACATAGAATAGATGGCATTATGGATAAGTTTGTATACACAGGCATACTAAAGCATGTCATGTTACCCTATATGGAAGACAATATGCCCTTAAGATCAATCTTCCACCAAGACAATGACCCAAAGCACACTTCAAATCTCGCAAAGAAATTCTTTCTATTCAAATTTGTTGACCAGACTAGTATCTACAAAATATGTGCTGCAAAAATACCCATGAATTGAATGTGCACTAGTATAGATGAATAAAAAAATTTGACCTGACTGGAGAAAACATGGCCATGCAAGACAACTGATGAAATGTACTTCAGTAGCCTCAATAAAACTATACAAAATTCAATTACATGGCTATATTTGCTCTACTCAGAGCAGACATTTTACTTATACATACTTTACATGTATTGGTGTCCTCTCCACTTCTGCAGTAATTAACCGGGGCCAGCCCTGGCAGATAAAAGGATTGTACATGGTATAGTAAAATGGGAAAAACCAGGATCCCTGAACACTTCATAATGATGGACACACTTCTTCACTTCCAACAATAAAATTATATTCCTAGTATGACTTCATGAATTCCACTAACTTACAATATAAATTACTCGGAGGTTATTCTACAAATGTATAAAGTAGAAACATAGTAGGGATAGTTGCTAAGGGGTGACTATTTTACAGAAAAGAGTGATTAATTTGTCGGTCACAAAACGTGTATTTGTGTAGGTTGTAAATGTGTTATCACCAGTTATCGCCGTTATCACCACTCGTAAGCTTTTCCTTTTGCACACAAAACAAATACAGATATGTATACTGACTTTTACTTTTCCAACATATAACTTTGCAGTACGTATACATTTACAGTCACAAAACACATAAAACAGCATAAGGTCTGGGGTCTGGCAGTTGGCAGCATCCCGTCAGAACGTACAGAAATGACAAGGTGCAAACCATCTATCAATTCAAAAGCACTGGAAAGCGGCTCTGGTGAATGGTGCTCAACTGTGGCAAAAAGGTCTGTGGCTGACACAGTAACAGTGTTGCCAGAGCGAAATTTAAAATATCCGTCACACGTATCGCAAAATTCCGCTACATGCCGCTACGGTCTAAAAATTTAAGGGGGGCGGGAGGCTTAAAATAAACAACAAATATATTTTTTACATATTTACTTTTTTTTAAATACTGTCTAAAAACCCTACTAAAAATACAAACAGTAACATAATATATGTAATTGCAATTTTTCGTAAAAACATAAAAAGTATACCTCTAAAAAAACAAAACTGTCTTTGGTTTAGAATTAGGAACTAATAAAAAAATAGAAACTATCACCAATATCTTAATCTTAATGGAAAAAAACAAAAAATAAGGACAAAGAAGAAGCGGCAACGTGGAAATGCCTACGTTTGCTTATTTTATTCACAGTCAGAATCAGAAATTACTTCTTCAGCTTGTTCTTCCTTATTTACATTATATAAACTCTTTTTATATTTGTTTAAATGATTCTCATTAAAACTATAGGATAAACAGCACTGTTTTTTTATTCCAAGTCTAATTTAATTGTAAGTAGTGCAGACAAAGTTGATGGTATTATTTTATTTCTTTTTTTTGTTTTGTAATCAAGCATATAAGAAAAAGTTCGCTTAACATCAGCGTTTCCATGAGGCAATGTTAAAATGATTAGAGCCAGTTTACCTATATTGCGAAATAAATATTTGTCATTAAAATTTTTGAGGTCGTTTACAAACGACCAAAATTCAATGACATTACTTTTTGTTTTTAAAATTTCCTCTTTCTCACTATCACTAAAATAAATACATATTTTCTTTAGTTCCAAAATTGCCTTTTCGGTTTCAATATGAAGGGCAAATTTTTTTAAAACGGCGTCATGAAAGGTATCACTTATAATAAGACGATTGTTCATCACATCAACCGGTGAGAGAAACTTTAGCTCTGAAAAGAAGTTGTCTTTGATAGGAAATCTTTTAAGGGACTCTTCTACCGATTTTTGGTAAAATGTGACACATTTTAATTTAAATTGTTCGATTGCCGTATTATTGCAGTGTTTTATATTGCATCCCTTGTATGCGGGCCAACATTCACTTGTTCAATTGGTAATAAGCAGTGGGGATCATTAGATTATATAATTTCCCATTTTTAAAATATACTAAGTGACATATAAATCCGAACACCCAGTTTAAATTGTTTTATTTTAATAAAAGTTGGTGAATGTATTTATCTTACTGTAAATAACAAGTGAAAAAATTTTCAGCCTTATCAGTTGGACATTCCGGTTTTTATACTGCTTTTTTTAATTCACTAACGCTCTAAAAATGAATATTTCAGCCGCAGTAAAGAATCAACGTTGGAGGATTTTGGTTCTTGACATCCTTTACGATCGGTTACGATGCCTAGAGTACGGAGACCTGTACGATTTCGTCAACTTAGTGAGTTTGATAGGGGCCGTATAGTGGGACTTCGGGAAGCTGAACTTTCTTTTCGGGCAATTGCAGTTAGAGTGCAAAGAAGTGTAGACACTGTGGTTAGGTGTTGTCAGGCATGGCTTCGAGAAGGCCGTACGCAAAGAGCAAGGGGAACTGGACGCCGCCGTAGAACAACAGACCGTGAAGATCGCCGCCTAAGATTATTGGCCTTAAGGGACCGTTTCTCCACTACCAGGTCCATTGCAAATGAGAAGTTTTAGCTTGTTTTCATACCGGCCACACTGGGTCCTCCCTTTAACTCGAGAACACCGACGTAATCGCCTTGAGTGGTGCAGACAACGGTCACTCTGGGATCTGGAATGGAACAGTATTGTCTTTAGTGTCGAGTCTCGATTTTGTTTAGGCATGCACGATGGCCGCGCCAGGGTTAGAAGGCGACGTGGTGAAAAGAGGAATCCACAGTTTTTTGTTGAAAGACATGTTCATCACACTGTTGGAGTTATGGTTTGGGGTGCTATAGCTTATGGTTCCAGGTCACCTTTAATCTTCATCAGAGGTAACATGAACGCGCAGCGTTATATCCACGAAGTTCTAGAACCCCATCTTTTACCCTATCTTGACACCCTGGCAGATCCAACTTTCCAACAAGATAATGCCCGACCACATGTTGCAAGAGTCACAATAGACTTCTTTCAACATAATGATGTCACATTGTTACAATGGCCACCAAGATCTTCCGACTTATCCCCAATTGAGCACGTGTGGGATATGATGGGTAGGAGATTGCTCAATTTGCAACGTCCTCCTCAGACTCTAGAAGCACTTCGAGAGGAGTTTGTGGTTGCCTAGAATGAGATACCACAGGAGGACATTGACCACCTGATCAGAAGCATGCCTAGGCGCGTTGGAGAATGCGTAGCACATCAGGGTGCATCCACACATTATTAAAGGTCAAAGGGCTTTAAAGCAGTGCAATCATTTTGAAATTTTTATCATTTACTTATTATGCTTCATTAAGTACTTATACAAAATTTTATTAAAATAAAACGATTTAAACTGGGTGTTCGGATTTATATGTCACTTAGTATACGTATATTCTGGTCGCATAAAGTTTGTACATTGATGACGTACAAATCGCTCACTCTCTATTGATATGATATTGAGCATAACTTTCTCTGATTGAAAGAGAGCATTAAATTGGTTAAAAATGGGCAACACAAATTTAAAAAACATTAAATACGCCTTAACAAATTGATTATGTAACTCATTGAGTATTACATTTGCTACAGGATTTTTGTCTTCAATGGAAGCTAATCTAAATAGGCTAAGCAAGATGTCCCACTGATCCAAAACTCTATCAACACATTTGGATAAAGCAAGTTTTACTAGAGCTTAAAATTTTTAATTTTGACTTTTTGAAATATTCCTGTAATTGTTCAAGAACACACTGCCTTTTTGGGCTTCTTGAGAAGTAAGAATATAAGTTTTGTAAAAGAGCTTCAACGTTGCTTGGAATCTTTTCAGCTGCCGCCACCGCCACTAAATGAGCAGAGTGGCAAATGCAGCCATTGACAATTATATTAGGATTATCTTTTAAAAGATAAGTTTTGAAAGATTCGTTATTGCCCATCATAACACTAGCGTTGTCGGAACAGTATCCAACAATATTGGTAATTTTTACTTGATTGGATATAACGCATTTTTTAAAAAGAGAATATAAACCTTTGGCGGTACCTTCATCTGCGTTTATTTTAATTATATCTAATAAATGGGTTTTGATTGAATTTTTATGAATATACCTTACAAGAATGCATAGTAGTCTTGTATTGCTCAGGTCTGTACTCTCATTCAATAAAATAGAAAATGGTTTATTTTCCAATTCTGAAATTATTTCGTCTTTAATACCAGGAGCCAGCACATTTTTAATTATACTTATGCATTTGGATCTTTTTAATTTAAGTGAGCTAGAGAGATCTGGGTCTTTAAAACATAATTGACTAACTCCTGTTATATGATCAACAGTTCTAAAACTTATATAATGACTTACAACTAAAAGCCTATATCTTAAGCAAGCAAATATTTGCCGTTTTTCCAACTCACGTGCTTCCCGAGACTGAAAAGTGCTATCTAACGTTCTTACATTCGAAATTGCTTGTACATTAGTGGCATGCCTTTTTGATTTCGAATGATTCACTAAATCTGATTTTTTAGCACCCAATATTTGATTACAAGCTTTACATTTTGCTTTCAACTTGTCATTTTCAATAGGTCCCAACCAGCCTTTAAATAACGGATCTTCTAGCCATGATGAAGTAAACATTTGTTTTCGTGTCTTTTTCTTAACAGGTTGCTCTGGCTCTTGGTTATCCTGAGATTCGCAAGTCGAATTATCAGGCTCAGACCTGATTCCACTAGATTCCGCTCTTCTATTTTGTCTGTATTCAGGTTCGGGATGCTCCGAGTCCGACACAGATGCAGTCGAAGTGGATGGTACGGCCACGTTTGGTTTCACCGTTTGTTTTTTAGAAGGATTTTTATCAAAAAAATCGTTAATGGTCTGCTGTCGCCTTTCCATTATTCCTATTTTCCAGAAGAAAAAGCGTTAAAAACAAATTTCGCGACTAAGATTTATTTCTGGATCAAACTATAATATGTTAGATATTTAAGCAGTTTTGTTACTTACCAGTAGATTTAATATTAAAATCTGCAGCAAATGATATATCAATAAAATGATCAACACAAAAATAAGAACACTAATATAAACGAAACTAAACAGTATATACCCAGAGCTGAAAAATACAATACAAAGCGAGAAACCTAATATTATGTCTGCCTGCTGAGACCTGTTACTCCTGTTAGAAACGATTAGTATTGAAAGCATTACGTACGCCATCTGTTATTGAAAAAAAAAGGCAAGTGGAATAATTCTCTTCTCTGTTCCTAGATGGCTCAAGCGGCACCAAATGCACCAATTTTATTATTAATGTGATAATAAATCAGACTCTAGCCACTGCCTATTTAGGATTTAGAACGTTATTGACGTTAAAACAGTGAAATAAATATGATAGTTTTGTATGTAATAAATTCCGCTACATTTTGGGCTAATTTGCTCTACCGCCGCTACGCCGCTCATCTCAAAACAATCCCCTACAAATAGCGGAATTCCGCTACGTATGGCAACACTGCACAGTAATCGCACCGGAAAGAGAGGTTTTATGATTTTGTCGCTTTGTGGAGGAATGTAATATAAACTACGACGTTGTCACGCCTCTCTCACAGAAGGTGGGTTGTACCGGTCCTTGGACTAATAGCGTCTACAAATAAGTATACAGTGTGTTTCCTACCTGAATGTCAATATTTAGGGAGATAATTTATGGGTCCATTATAAGAAGAACAGTTCATATGAACATATATGTCATGTCCTAAACATCTTAAGGTCTCGGATACAGGATGGTGAATTTTTCAAAAATAGATCATTTAGTAATAATTTTGTCTGTGATACCACGGAATTTCACCTGCCTATTTTGGCAGACATTGATGGTATGATATTGATGGAGTTAATACCTTTGTCTGCATGATCATAACAATATCGTTGATTTGACATTATCACCAAGCAGAGAAATAAATTTAATTTTTTAGATGAAAAACGTTCATCGGGACAAAAAACAAGAGATCATATAATTGTATGCGAGAGGCGTGTTACAGACTTATGAGTAGAGCTGGCATCATTGTGTGGCAGTTATTAAAAAACGTCCGCTTGACAATGACATTATTGACATACGTCAATCGTGTTGCCCTATGGATGACATGAGATTCTACTCTCTTCAGTATATGTTTTGTAAATAGCCTCAGAAAAATAGCCATAACCCATAACTAATGGGCGATCGGAATTATTTTATTTCTGATGCGGTGTTTTAAGTTAAAACGGCCGTATACTAGACACATACAAACTAATTATAATTCTTTTGCCTAATTACGCTGTCCGAATCAGAGCCATATCCCGAAACTAAATCACCGGAATTCGTAATTGGCGCTTTAATAAACGCAGGGTGAACTGACAGTTCGCGCAAGGAAGTTCGTCCATTTTCTTTCAACTTAACCGGTTAACAAAACCCATGTGGTTGTTCAATGTTCGATTATCTTACTAGATAGCTATAACAAATTGTAATACCCTGAGCAATCGCTCATTACAAGCAACTGACTCGTCTGTGCCAGATAGTGGAAAATACAAGGTAAACATGAACACAGAAAAACTGAAGAAACTACAGTCGCAAGTGCGTATCGGCGGAAAAGGGACTCCGAGACGTAAGAAGAAGGTTGTTCATTCGACCCAAGCAACTGACGACAAGAAATTGCAGTCTTCATTGAAAAAACTCTCAGTCAACACGATACCTGGCATCGAAGAAGTTAATATGATCAAAGACGATGGATCTGTAATACATTTCAACAACCCAAAGACACAAGCTTCCCTGGCTGCAAATACTTTCGCTATCACTGGTCATGGTGAAAGTAAACAAATAACAGACATGCTTCCAGGCATTTTGAGTCAGTTAGGACCCGAAGGAATTACCCAGTTGAAGAGGTTAGCTAATACAGTTGCTAATGCTGGTGGTGTTGGAAAGATTGTTCCTGAAGATGAAGAGGATGTGCCCGATCTTGTAGAAAACTTCGACGAAGCCTCAAAAGCTGAGGTAGCAAAGAAAGAAGATAAGAATGAAAACTAATTCTAAGGATCACAAAATTGCTGTCTGCTGTTACTTTTAGTTTGAAATATGGAAATATTTTGATAGATTTATGTGCTATGGAAGAGTCAAAACTTTGTTTTGCTAATGTAGACAGTGCTATGTATAGCATTGTTTTGAAAATATAACAGTACTACATTGAATTGTTTGGTTAATTTCTGCTGTAGAAGGGTGATAATTTGCAGGTATGTAATAATTTCTACTCAGCTTGAGTGTTGCAGCACTTCAGATTCTTACCAGTCTCTTAATACTTCAGACAAGTAGATTCTGGAAGGAGGTAGGTAAAGATCAGCCAATTTAAGCTGTTTTATATCTATATTGGGTTCAACGATGTTCATTTAAATCTATGAATCTAGGTATAAAATGATAAAGATGATATGGCAATTGGCTGAAAGTTGAGTATGTTCTCCATAAGAATTTGATCAAAAGATATGGGTTTGTGACGGACATCCATCCATTTTATGATTTGTGTGTCCATCAATTAGAAATTGAGTAGCTGCTATGATATCTTTATTGCTATTTGACTTAAAAATTATCAGCAGATTGTCAAGGAACATAAAATAATACTTAATAAGTTGGGATTTAGTCGACATATATGCAATATGTATGCAATACTGATTCAGAGGTGGCCGCTGTTTGAAAATAGAATCCCGAATATTTTATGCTATCTTATTCTAGTTAGACTATGTTTATCACGCTCTTAGTCCAACAATACAATCAACATCAAATGAAAGAGAAGTCATATTTTCAGGAAAGAATCATACCTACCTGTAAATTGCTTCAGACCTTCAATATGTTATTGCAATTAGTATATCAAAAGTCCCCATTGATTCCTGGAGCTCAACTTTTTCTGTTGGAAGTTACATGGCAAAATTACCATTTTTGATATGTCTCTGGAACAGCACGAGTAACCACAAAAGTAGCTTGAACCGAGATTTTATAGGATGCAGTTCTCTATAAAATGCCCAGATAAATTTACAAGAAAATGTAATTTTGATATGTAACCTCCAGTAGAAAAATTTGCAATAACATATTGAATGGCTTGCTGCAAATTTCAAGTAGGTAAGATTTTTTTTCTGAAAACACGACTTTCTTTCATTATGAGCGCATCTTAAGTAGTCTAAGATGTGTTCGAATGGTGCGCATTAATACTATCACTTTCTTTTTTGAGTTTTCAAGCATTTTGCTTTCAATTGTCCTGTATACAAACATTTGGTTGGTCATGCAATTAATTTTTAGGAGATTCACTGCCACTTTTTTGACACTCCGTGTATAAGTGATGTGTTTTAGAAAAAAGTCGCATAGATCACTGCTTCTAGATACATAGAAATCCAAATGTCACTGACGAGGTAATGTGTACAAGTAAGAAGCGTGTAATACGTATGTTAGAAAGAGTGGGCCGATGGCACCACGGCAAGTCGCAGTTGCGTCTGTGGCCTCGTCACTCCCGTTTCCAAGCAACGTGTACTTCTATCTCCCAACATACGCATTGCACGCTTGTCTCTCATACACATTACGACGTCAGTACTACCACAGATATATGAATTTCTCTGTATATGTTCATATCGAATGGTCGACGGCGCATGAGAGTACTGAGAGTCCACAGATGAGAGATGACTAAATCTCAAACAGTGACCCAAGGAATAAGACAAGTTTTCTAGATAATTGTATTTTCGGCAATTTTTGTATAAGGTATTTTTGTGGTATCTCTTTCCTTTTAGATAAACATGACAAAGCATAAGATTTTTAACATTTCAACTCAAATAGGTGTGTACCAATTTTCAGCTTTGTGGGAATTTTTGCACACTTGCAATATTTTTGCTGTATTTTGTCTGGGTTATATTATTATTAAACAGGAGGTTGCCATTTGAAAGAAGTCAGGGTGGCCCATAAGTCCTTTGAGCTGGAAAAAAAGGAATAAAACCAAACTAGTTACATTATGAAGAATTATTATATTTTGTTATCATCTTTATTGAATGGGAATTATGTTTTAAAAATCACATCGTCTAAATGCAATCCATTACGATCACGGCACTCATATAAACGACGTCTAAAATTGTCGATGACTGCGCGGCAAGTCAACACTGTAATGCTTGCCATTTCTCTTCGGATATTTTCTTTCAGGACATCAACTGATCGCGGAGTGGTATCGTACACTTTACTCTTGAGGTAGCCCCATAAAAAGAAGTCCATTGGGGTCATATCTGGACTACGTGGTGGCAAGAAAATGTCTCCTCTTCGAGAAATTACTTTGCTGGGAAAAAGTTGACAGACGACGGGCATAGAAGTGTTGGAGGTGTGGGCAGTTGCTCCGTCCTGTTGAAACCAGGTCTGCGTATTATAGCCTGGAAAATTCTGCAACGCTGGTGTCAAAAACTCTTCTATCATTGCTACATACCGCTCCGAAGTAACAGTTAATGCGCGACCTCTGTCGTCCTAAAAAAAATAAGGGCCTACGATTCCATGCGCTGACATAGCAGCCCAAACTGTAACTTTAGGGCTGTGTAAGGGCTTCTGATGCTTACGCCTTGGATTTTCGGGGCTCCAATAACGGCAATTTTGTTTATTTACATGCCCGTTTAAATGGAAGTGAGCCTCGTCCGAGAACAACACATTATTGAGCGAAGAAAATCGATTCAACATTTCATTCGCAAAGTTTAGTCTCTGAATAGCGTCATTATCTTTTAATTCCTGCACTAACTGAATTTTGTAAGCGTGCAGACGTAAATCTTTCCTTAAAATCCGCTGTAAAGATGTTCTGGGTACATTTAGTGCACTGGAACGCTTACGAGTAGACTGGGTAGGATTTTGACGAACAGACTGTGCCACAATGTTGATGTTTTCTTCAATACGAGTTGTCCTTGGTCAACCCCACCGCTGTTTATCTAACGTCGAACCAGTCTCTTCGAACTTAGCAACCCAGTTCTTAATCGTTTGAGCTGTTGGACACTTTGTAAAATTGTGTAAATTGTGGTATTCTCGATATTTACGCCGCGCAATGGTTTCCGAATCATTATTTTGATAAAACGCGCGCACACAAAAAGCACGATCCGCTTCAGTGAAACACTCCATGACGACTGAATTCCCAGACACTGAAGATACTGCCCCCACCTCGCCCGCGCCGCTCACGCTCACCCGTTAAATTTTATTCAAATTTGAAATTTCAAAGGACTTATGGACCACACTATAGAAGGAGCCAGTCATGGATGTGCTTGTCTCCTGATTCTCATAGTCTGTACTGTTATTTTTTAAAAGTTCGAGTGTTTGCAGATAATTGTGGTGTTAGACGATTTCAAGATATGGCATTTCTTACATAATTTGCAAAGCGCGGCACAAATCTAGGGTAGATTTGTGTATTAATATTATGCTGTTACAGCGCTGCCTGTTTGATAGACAAAGGGGTCAAAAGTATGCACTAAAATTACGCAACTTTGGCGACAAACAATACAATGTAAACATACAGATAAATTCAAATATGCGTGCAATACGTATGTTAGAAAGAGTGCGCCGATGGCAACACGGCAAACCGCAGCTGCGTCCGTGGTTTCGTGAATGGGGTTGCTAGGCAACGTTGTACTTCTATCTATTGCTGACATATGTATTGCAGGCTTCTCGCGCTTCTCTCTCGAACACATTAATACGACGTCAGTGGTATATGGATTTCACTGTATAGGCTTGGTTGCTTCTAACCTATTCGAATTCTTTGTTTTGACCTAATGGAGTCTACTATAAAGTAAGTGCTTGTCTATAAGAAAGCATTTCCAAAGACTACGACAAAAACAAAAATATACGCAAAATTGATTGGGTTTTATAGACATGCTTTTATGATTTTTTTGTTGTATTTTCCACGAGTCTCCTTTACTGTAGAATAACAGCAGATTATCTAGTAATATTTCAAAATTCCTCATATTGAAAGGGATACACCATTCTGACGGATCCGTCATCGCCCGGTAGACAGAGACGGATTCGTTTTGTAAGTGCTGAAAAGTCTTTGATTTAGAAAAGTTCCTGCGCATACAAAAAAAACGCTACAAGCAAAATGGCTGCTAATGATCATGACTACATTTCAAGTTAGTTAAGCAGTTTTTGACTTTGTTGATCATGGCTACTTCTTAAAACACCATATGACTTTAAAGGGCAATGAAACAGCCACATTTGAATTACGTTACAGTGATGATGAACAATTAACCAGAAACAGGTGCCTTTATTATTTTTACATGTAAAATTACAGCTATTGGAAAGGATTACACCGTCTGTTCTATTGACTTACATCGTAATTAATAAATCCCAGATGTACTATAATAATTTTCTAATAAACAATTTTCTGTATGTACTTCGTATACTTCATTGTCGACATTTCCAGTCACTTAATGTATTTAGATATTATGTTAACAACAGCTCTTAATACGGTCCTAAGTTTTCCCAGATTTATACCCGATTCATTGTCGACAACGTTACAGACTAATACTAATAACTTCAGTAGACGTCAAAACGTAATGGATACTCGTTTATATGAAATTTAATATTACTCAAAAACGGTTAGAGTTAGGACTATGATGTTATACATGAGATCAAAAATTGATTAATATATATATATACGTAATATATAAATTTTTTTAAATAAGCAATCTATAGGCTTTTTCACGGTTTTTAGCGGGTAACAGTGAGGCTACAGGAATTACTTTCATACGTCCTTCTTTCTCTCACATAGGTATGCGCGGACGTTTGTATGAACTCAAAGACATACGGTTTTTAGTTTTGTCTCACCGCCATTAAAAGTTTCCGATCTTCCACATATATGGTTAACACTGTCAATATGATAACTTCTTTGTCATGGGCGTGTGATTTGCGTTTACCCATGTCGATCTTCGATATAAAACATAGTGCCTGAAGATACAACTACAATGTTGACAGTCTGTATTAGAACTATTTTCAGTAAGTGAGTGTAAACAACGGTCCTCTACCAGCCAATTCATGCACGTGTGTGCAAGGGCGAGTAGCAGTTGCATTACGGATGGGCTTGCGCAATGTGTATTTTTCCTTAGGAAAGTTGAGCTACGCACATTGTACCATCGGTCATCCTGTTTACTTACATCGTATGGCATTATGACGTAGCTTCCAAAAACCGTGAAAAGAACAATACTTCCAGTACAGCTGGAAGTGCGAGCATTAGGAAAATATTTTATCCGAATTTCTCACATCATAACCCCAAGTATTCATAATTTTCTAATGTCAATTTTTCGAATAATCGATCGCTGCAATTCTACGTTGCATAAGCACTAATAGAGTTTGCAAAGAAACACGTTAACATAATTCGTAATACCGAAGGAACTGCTTTTCTGGAATGTGAAAATGTCATCTAAAGTTATTAACAAATATAATATGTATAGAAGGAACAGTGGAACATTGAGAAACTGTCCGGCCTTATTGTCCGCCAAACTACGAGTATTAAAATTAATATGTATTTGTAATAAAAATAATTGGCAAGACACATGAAATGCATCATGCAGATTCAATTTACCTTATTATCTACAGGAAATTGTTGTGCATTGAAAAATATCACAAGGATGAAGCATTTATTATAGCCATAGATATTTTGCAGAGTCTGCTTCGTGAATTAAAAATCGCAACATGTAATTTTAGGTCATGCAAAACGTTGATTGGAATCGAAACATTATGTGTACAGTTGTTATTTCAGACAAGCATGATTGTATTTAATATCTAAACACAATAAGCGAGGAAATATGATCGCGAAATTTTTCGAATTTCAGGTATATGTATATTTCTATTGCTCTATGTGTTTGAAACTTTTATTATATCAATTATGAAACCCAAATGACATTTATGAATTTTTAATTTGTACGTATCGGAAATTTGAAAATAGATGTATATGAATTTGTTGGATTACTCTGTTTGACACCACATTTTGGGTGAAAATAAGGATGCCTCAATTTATGTAATCGTTTTAATGAAGTCTATAATAAGTCAATCTGGATCAAATAATACAAACATGTGAAAAAAGTGAGTAATACTGTCATGCATTAGTTAGCATTCCTTGTTCAGATGCGAATACTAAATAATGGAAATGGGTGCGATAGGTTATATTGGCTTTTTTTCGTCTTTTTGCCTTCGCCATACGATTTGTAACGGTTTCTACAGGGTGACTTCGAAGTTGAGTCATTTATTTTAACAGTGAGTAGATCTGATCAAAAGAAATGTTTTTTCCTTTACCATTTTTCTGGTAAAATTAAAGTAACAAAGTTATAGCCCTTTGGAAGTTTGAGTACCGCCCTGTCTCAATAATAATATTATGTGCTCGTGTTTGGCGACAACGGATATAATCCGCCTTATCGGTTCATCGCATCGGAAACAAAAAAGCGAAAGAATTTGGAACGATGTTTTTACAATTATTTCATTCAGTTGTATACAGTTAGTGTCAGTCGGTAGTGAATAGTGGTGTCTGTTGCGTGGCTCAAACGAAATAAAAAATGGCACATGTTTATGCGGATCGGTTTCCTAATCGAGTGCAACCAACCCCTCGTGCCTTTGTTAATGTAATACAACGGGTTCGTGAATCATTTGACTTGACTTAAGACCTCACATATGGACGGCATGCCGGTGCTCCAAGACCTCACGATCAAATACAGGTCCGCACTGAAATACTTGTCGGGAGGATACTTTATAAAACAAGGTAAAATTTTTTTTTAAATTTTTTTTATTTTTACACACATATTTTGGTTTATCTTCCTTCTACAATCATTATCTGAAAATTAATGACTCAACTTCAAAGTCACCCTGTATATATTGTAGCGTTTTTCTGAGTTCTTTTGGGTGTGGATTAAAACACTCGATTCCACAAAAAGAAATGCACTGATTTACTTAAAACACAACACAACTAACTTTAACTTAACTAGATAGAACATTTATGTACACCACTATTTATGTCTAACTACTTATTTACGAATTATTATGTTGCGCCATTCACTCAACTCTGGTTCCCTCTTCCGGCCGTCGGCTTATACCTATATTCCGCGATCAGTCCAAAACCTTCAGGGTCAGTCTTGAAGCTTGCCAAAGGAGAGTCCCTGGCAAGATTCCCAACAGGTGGCACTAGTAGTACCACTCGGGGTTAGTCTCGCACCGAAGGAGAGTCCCTGGCGCGATTCCCAACAGATGGCGCTAGTAGTACCATTCATTCTTGTTACACTGCCCCCTCCCTAAAGTCATTCCGTCCCGGAATGATCCTACTGGGGGTGGATGTCGATATCGGCACGACTGCCCTTTCTTGCAGTAGGAATTCTTGAAGAAGTAACAATCCATACTCTTTCCAGGAGGTAGCCATCTAGGACTGTGACAACATACCAGAAATCGGATGCCTGTATACCGAAAGACTACCTCAAGCATGCTTTGGATGATTATCCAGTCCACATGCCAGCTTAGGTATTGCCAGTTTTCTCAGGTCCTCGGCAAGCAACTCTTCTCTAAGAGAACACAAAGCGCTCCAGACATCCTCGGTAATTCGGTTTCTGATACGAAACTTTCTTGGTAACCAGATAGAAGATCTTTTGGTTGGTACCCTCTTCAGTTATCTGAAGTACTTCTCCGACCGACTGACGCAGATCGGGTACTCTTCCAAACTTCATGAAAAAGATCTTAGCTATACCTCTCGACATTTGCAAGTCTTGAGCCACACAGTGTGCCAGGGCATATTCTGATGAACTCGACTCTTATGGCCATTAGCATGGTGAACCATAAATTGGTCAAATGTCATGTCCGGTTCTGGTTGGATTTGCCGCACCGCCGCATCGTCGTTGTTTCCATGACAAGGGGCAAGTCGGTTGAAATGTACAATTCGGGCTTTACCACGTGGTGCCTTCTGAATCCTGTAGAGAACATCGTTGATGGCCTTCAGAACTTTATGTCCCCGGATGACTGAAGCTTAGGCGACAGCCCTTTTCGCCTCTTTGGGTCGTAAAGCCAAACCGTATCACCGTTGTCATACCTCTGGTCTTTGTAATTAACGTCATAAGCTTCCTTCATCCGGTCGCTGGCACCTTGAATTGAAACACGAACCTGGCTATGGATGGCGTCCATCCTTCTACGCAGCTCACTTACGTAGTCTTCTCCGGCAATGTCAGTTCCTGGTGGACAGCCAAACTTTAGATCGCATGGAAGACGAAGTTCTCTTCCCATAACTATTCGAGCCGGGGTCTCCTCTGTGCTTTCATGAATCGACGATCGGTAAGCCAATAAGAAGAGGAAGAAAACTATCCCAGTCTCTTTGATGGCTAGAGACTACCTTAGCCAAATACCGGTTAATGGTCCTATTCATGCGCTCCACCATTCCATCTGACTGCGGGTGTAAGGTAGTAGTCCTTGTCTTCTTAATCCCAAGGAAATGACAGATATTTTGGAACAAATTTGACGCGAAATTGCGCACTTGTACTGTACGTACAGATCCATTCGTTTACTAAAGTATCGGCTACTGTAGATGCTTACTGATTTGGCAGGGCGTATGCTTCAACCCTCTTTCTGGAGTAATCCGTTAACACATTGATGTATTTATTCCCTGCAATCCTTTCAAAGGGGCTCCCCTCACTTGTCCCAGAGTTTTTGTAAGTCCGAGATGACCTCCTGGAATGGATTTCCTCTAGCAGGTCCGGGATCCGACATCTGGGGATTACGTCGTGGTCCACCATTTTACGCAGTAAGAGTCCGTCATCCATAACTAGAGAATTCCATTGTGCCCAATATGATTTTATGGTAGGGGAATACTTGGCAACTTCTTCCTAGGCTGGTTTCCATTGTCCTTTCATCCATTTTGCCAAGTATCACTAACGATAATGGTTCTTAATACTTGGGCATCTTTCTCCTCTGTCCGCTGGCAAGGCTTACAATCCTCTAAACAGTGTCTCCTAACGTGTCCTATTTTTCCACATTTCCAACATTCCAACTTGCTGTTCTGGCGGCGACATTCACCATAGTTCCTTTACAATGCGCTTGGCGGACTCTCCGAATTCGTTATTTCCTGGTACCATCGGACTCGTACCTGGATTTTAATTGTGTTTTTAACGGCTTCGAATTCTAAGGCCCGAGTTAGCGCATCCACTAGCTTGGGTGGATGTGCTAGCAGTAAACATCGGGATATGCTTATCGTACCAACCGCGCAATATCCGCTTCGAACTCTTGGACTCGACTTCTGGAACCGATTCTTTAGTTGAGTATGGCAGACATGTTCTAAATGTGACTGGCCGTATCGCATCTCCAAATTTCCTGCTAGCTTTTCGTAGGCCTCTTGCTCTTCGGGTAATTTTTCTTGAAGTGAGTGCAGTTGCCTTTTCCGTCGATGACCAACTATTTGCATTCGCGGCTGCCTCAAACTGAAGCCGGTAGACATTCCAAGCCGTTGTACCATCAAATTGCGGCGGCTGCATTCACAGATGACCATCTGACCCAACAGAAGCTCCTATCTCACTTGATTTTTCCAACGGAAGTCCACGCTGTCGTTCATCGAGGGTCTTGACGTCTAACGCGGCAAACTTGCCTTGCACTTCTTGACTTCTGTCCTCCAAAGTTTCTAAAATCCGTTTTTCCAACTCGCAAGATTTTTCCATAATTTTATCTTCGAATTCTTTTTTTAAATTGGCAGTATTTTCCAAAAACTTCTGTTCTAATTTGGCTGTACTTTCGTGTAACTCCAAGAGTTTTCCTTCTAGATTGGCACAATTTTGCACGAGTTTGTTTTCTAATTTGGTCGAGTTTTCTAAAAGGTCGGCACAATTTTCCACGATCCTATTTTCTAACTTGGCTTTGTTTTCTAAAAGATCGGCACAATTTTCCACGAGCCTATTTTCTAACTTGGCTGATCTTTCTAAAAGATCGGCACAATTTTCCAAGAGCTTGTTTTCTAACTTGGTCGAAAGGTTTTGCAGCATTTAACCAATATCCCCTATACCGGTAAAAATGAAATTATGCGGGTCCTCGCCGTCCTCAATCAGTGGTTTACGAAGCCGCTCTTGTAATTCCGCTTTCTTTCCAGCCGCTGTTTCCTCCAGCTCTCTTTTTAAATCGGCAATTTTCAAATCAACCTTCCTTCATTGATCGTCCGATTTATTTTCACTAAATGTCCAATAATCCACACCCCACACCTGATAGCAATGTAGCGTTTTTCTGAGTACTTTTGGGTGTGGATTAAAACACTCGATTCCACTAAAAGATAGATAATTTTCCTTTTAAACATGAATGTTGTTTGTTTTTGGATGACCTTTAATAAGCCTTTATAATATTACGCAAAAAATAATGTTTCGTCCATTTAATAGTGTTAAAACGATGGAAAATAGTAAATTTACCGGTTTCTTAGTCTCAAAATGCATGAGCCTAATACGTCTCATTCGAAAGTCTAAGCTTCCCAAAATCTTCAAGATGAGACCTTGACAAGATTCCTTGGTTTAGGAGTTCCCGAGTTACAGTATTTTTAAAATGGTAAGGTACATTATTTTTCTAAAAAATGGCGTCGTTAGATTGACTCTATACTTCCTGCACCCCAAGAGCGGATTTAGAGGGGAGACACCTCTAGAAGCCTAAGTCGGAAAATTTTCTCAAAAAAAAAATATATATAATGCTGTGTCTTGGTGTAAAAAATATCCCCTATACCGGTAAAAATGAAATTATGCGGGTCCTCGCCGTCCTCAATCAGTGGTTTACGAAGCCGCTCTTGTAATTCCGCTTTCTTTCCAGCCGCTGTTTCCTCCAGCTCTCTTTTTAAATCGGCAATTTTCAAATCAACCTTCCTTCATTGATCGTCCGATTTATTTTCACTAAATGTCCAATAATCCACACCCCACACCTGATAGCAATGTAGCGTTTTTCTGAGTACTTTTGGGTGTGGATTAAAACACTCGATTCCACTAAAAGATAGATAATTTTCCTTTTAAACATGAATGTTGTTTGTTTTTGGATGACCTTTAATAAGCCTTTATAATATTACGCAAAAAATAATGTTTCGTCCATTTAATAGTGTTAAAACGATGGAAAATAGTAAATTTACCGGTTTCTTAGTCTCAAAATGCATGAGCCTAATACGTCTCATTCGAAAGTCTAAGCTTCCCAAAATCTTCAAGATGAGACCTTGACAAGATTCCTTGGTTTAGGAGTTCCCGAGTTACAGTATTTTTAAAATGGTAAGGTACATTATTTTTCTAAAAAATGGCGTCGTTAGATTGACTCTATACTTCCTGCACCCCAAGAGCGGATTTAGAGGGGAGACACCTCTAGAAGCCTAAGTCGGAAAATTTTCTCAAAAAAAAATATATATAATGCTGTGTCTTGGTGTAAAAAATACCTTGCTAGCCCTGAATGGTGAGATGTGCGCCCTCCTAAACGTGTGGCACATCTCCTGCACTTCAATTGTCACAAGGAAATTGGCTCTCAAAAGCCAAGCTCAAGAGCTAAAGCATCCTGAACATGATTGCAATGATCACCGCTGCGCTCTCCCTCCTAGATGGATTCTTAATTCGCCATTGCCACGCCTTCGTACAAATTTGCAAATTTCAAAGCGAAAATTTGTTAGGTTTGTTCACTTAAAAACGATGTATCGTAAACCTACAAATCTCAAACTATATAAAATAAATCTACCATATTTCTGGTTCAATGGTAGATGTATGGAAAATTGTGATATTAGCGCCGTGCGTTAATACCAAAGATGCAGCATTTCTAACCGTTCATCCCATATAACTCTATACCCTCTACTTTCAAGCACTTGATGGATCCCTTGATCTCTTGGAATGTCCGGGTTGTGGGTGGACCCGAGGAACAACATCGATGATAAAATTTGTTTCAAGAACATCTGCGGGATTAATAGCTACCTGCAATCTAATCGCCCCGCCAGGCTTTTCTTGGCGGAGATAAAAATCTCAGAGTCTTCATCATCTTAGCTTCCCAAATTACTAGGTGTACTCCAATCTGAGAAAGAACCAAGGGTTGTGGCTTTTTTCCGCAGTAGTTTATTTGGAATCAGACTGGAAGGACATTCTGGGGCTTCGCCTCATCTCCAAAACAACCCCAAATTTATTTACTGCATTTATACTTCCTGAATATCAATCACCTAGCTTCAGAAGTAGTTCTCCTCGGAGATTTCAATGCCTATAATAAGCTTTGGTTGGGCTCAAACAAGACCGATGCAGCAGGTAGTGCAGTTGAAGCGTTTGTATTATACAAGGACTGATCCAGTTGGTGACTAGCCCTACTTTTTCCTCCCACGTTTCGTCACACACCAGTAGCCTGCTGGATCTCTTTCTGATCACGCATCCTGTGACTTACGACACTGCTGTTTTGTCTCCCCTGGGTAACTCAAACCGCGGTGCTGTGGAGGTTAGATTTCGGTCAAAACAAGCAGTGGCAGCAGAAACTAGCCCTGACCGCAAAATTGGGCATTACGGACATGCCGAGTGGTAGAGGCTCAGAGACTTCTTCTCCACCTTTCCTTGGAGAGATGTTTGTTTCGCTGACGCGGATGAGTCAGCTGTCTGTTCATAGATAACCGAAATTATTCACGTTGGGATGAAGGAATAAATCTCTCCTACAGTTAAAGTGCCTAAACCACGGTCTAGCAACTGAGTCAACAAATCGTGCAACTCTGCTCGTCAGCAGAAGATCAAGGCACACAGGACCTTCTTGCAAAACGTTGAGTCCAGAAACAAATATACCGAAGCTGTCGGCAATGCCAAGCACGATATAAAAGTTAGGTACAGGGTAATGTGGCAGCGCCATGGCAGCCGGACTTTTTTGGAATGAATGGAACTTCTCACAGAGTAGCTTTCCACTACTTACGAGTCAGGTTGGAACGATTGTAACCCATTCGAAGGATAAGGTGGAAGTGCTGGCCAAGATCTTTTCTGACAACTCCACCATCCCCCGAGTGCCGTCGGTTCTAAGAGTTTCCCCACTATTTTGTTGTCAGTAGATCGGACTATTTATTCTGCTTATAAAGAAAACTGTCAAGAGCATCAGCAGACTACTCGCAGGTGACGAAACGCGGGGAAAAAAGATGGACTCCGCTGGGCCAGTCCTATAATGGCGAACACTTCAACGACATGCATCCGTCTTATTTGAGCACAACCAGAGTGCATTAAGGGAACTAAAATCACCGAGGAGAACTACCTTCGAAGTACGGTGATTGCTGTTCATGAAGTCGATCTTGACAGCGAGCTATTCGAGTAGATCATTTCAGTTATGGCCCGACGGCGAGCCATAGGCTATAAATCTTAAAAAAATCGACGCAATGTTATCTTGCGGACCAGGTAGTTCATTTCAGGTTTGCTCGCTATGATCGATGTTCGCCGACGTTTAAACAACACGTACAGCTACAAAACGAGTTCACAACAATGGTACAACAGTTCGTGCTGAGTTAACATCTTAGAAAAATCTACGTTATGTCACAAAAAATTTACGAAATATCAAAAAAAAAACGACGAAATGTCACTTTTCAAGATACGTAATACCCGATCGGCACGATCGGACTCCAAAGAACATATCTGGAGCAGGCAAGACTGCTGCAGATAAAAGCCACAGCTCCCCCGTTCTTCCTCAAATTGCAATGCACCTCATAGTTTGATTGTGACTCGTCGAAAACTATGAAAAGACCTATAGGTCCGATAGGCTTCGTTTTCACGATATACGGTGTGGAATGTTTTTTTCGAAAAGTTATTTGTTTCTAAAGGTTTCAACAATTGTTCAGTCGATTTTGTTATTTTTTTTAATTTTCTCATGCACAGATGTAACGCAGGAAAATTAGTTTGATAAATCGAGAAAAGTTTACCAGCCTAAGATATTTTCGAAGCATCAAGTAAATCTACATATATGAACTCTTTTTAGCACCAGATACTTTATTCACTTCCTGCATAATCCCTATATTCCCTGCAAGCTGTGAGCGATTGTTCAACATGATATTTTCCCGGGCTGTGTACCTATGTACAGGCCGACATAAAAAATACAATTCTAGCAGGCAAGTCCGATTAGTTATATCTATTCCGCGTGGTGTGTTATGCAAACCTTTGTCTGTCGTAACCCCTCCTTGCTGAAAGTTTATAAATCCAACCAGAATCTTACACAGAAATGTAGTTGTGGAATATGATTCATTTTTGTATGTGTGTGAGAGTGTGAGACTGTTGCTGATCGGTTTTTTGCTTACACCTTCGGTTTCGTTTAAAGTGCATTTTTTGAAGAACAGGTAAGCTGCTTCCATGTTCCTATAAAAATTACAAAACACAGCGTCCTCGATGTTTCAGTTTTAGTTGTAGTCTAGCTAAACGTTGCGGTGATTATAGTCAATTAATGCGAAATAGTGGAGTGAAAGCGATTTTTATATGTGTTATTGGGATGATTTGTGTTTCGTTCTATAAATAAGGTCAAGATCAGGAAACATAGTAACACACAAATTGATTGCTGAGTATATTCTGACTATTTTTGATTGTACTTCTCGCGCGTTAAGCGGCACAAGTCTTGTGAATTCGAAAATAATGTATGGTATATATGTACTTGATATGTACGACAATAATTTCTAGAGCATAAAGTACATTTAAAAATAACAATTCTTTCAAAGGTACTTATGACATAAAATGTCCATTATCAAGATACACAGTATTTTAGATTTCTACGGCTCTGATGTGACTGAATAAGAACAAAACATGAATATTGTTCAAAAACATATTATTTTTCTTGTCGAGCTTCATTAATTTTAGCATTTTTTTCAAAGTGGAATGGGTTGAAGTTTCTAATACGGATGTTACTTCAAGTAGATGGATAGATATTTATTGAGCTAGAGAATGTACGGTGACATTTTGGGTGAGTCGAAGGTTTAAGACAATAAAATTCAAACCATATTCACTCCAAAAGAAATAATTTGACAAAACTTCATCAGTAGTGGTGACTTATTTAAAATTGAGTAGATACCTTGTTCAAAAATGTAGTACGCAAAAGTATCGTAATCACGAAAAAGTGTCGCTTGGATTTTGATGAAATTTTGAAGCAAGATAAGAATAAAACAGTTTGTGGTTTTTGCCGGCAGAGCTACGGAAAAACACCGCCGAAAATTCTTTTTTTTTGACATTTCAGAGACCCCTATACGATTTTGTAAAATTGTTTGAAAGATACATACAGGTATTTGGATGCAGGAAGTTGTAGGCGTGGGGGAGGGTATATCTCAATTTTTTGCTTTAGTATATTCATACGTTTCTAGCCCCGGTAATTCTACGCACCTATTTGACAAATTTCAGATGCGTCGAACATAGCGAATTGGACGGCTAAATATGAAAAATCTAGATTTTAGGAAAATAAACTATTATGAGCAATACTGTAAAAAGGGTAGATACACATATTTGAAGCCATTAATTCAAATCGTGTGGTCAGAAATTAATTTGTAATCATTGTCAAAACTTTAAAGCCTAATTGCCCAATAATTGTTTTTCTGGGTTGGTTCTTTTCTGCAAAAAGCCATCCCATTGGATGGACATATTTGACAGATCCATTTATTTCCTTTCTTATACATATTAATAGTTAACCTTTTTATGAACTGACGATAGCGTTGCGTGGAAACTGCAGAGGCATCCTACTTAGCTCCATTTTTTTCTTCTGTAGGGGTGAAAATTTCCCAGTTCCCACGTCACTGGCATAGTCTATTTTTATATTTTCCCAATTTAGAAATTATTGACTTCAATAGTGTATATCGGTAAGAGGTTATTTTAGAACCCACTTAATATGTACTGTCCGTGTCATTTTTTGATCTACTTCAAGCTCTAAAAATATTGCCACTGTTTTTTAATCACCCTGTAAAAAATATATGTCACGTATTTTTACCGCTATGCCGTCTCTCAGTGCGTAATCTCAGTGATCACAGTATCGAGAAATTACTCAGTATAGGCGACTAACCACCTGGCAACCGTTGTTAATTTGATTTGTCATTATATATTTGAACAAAACGTTCAAAAACCGACATGAGTTCATTGTTCCTACGAAAGCACGTTTTGAACCCAAAATAAACTCACAGCATCGTTTGTGATGAAATGCAGGAAGCGATATGTTATGGGGCCATGGTAAGCTGATATTTGGATCGTTAGTGAAAGATCGAAAAGTCTAGAGTGTCTCCAAATTTTGCTTTTGAGCGCTTCCCATGCTTTAATGACTTTTAAGCTCAGAACAAAGTCTATTTGAAATAATTTTTAAGAACTCTTAAAATTATGTAGGAGACTTAAAAATTTAGCAAATTTCATTTCTTAAGTTGCAGATATCACTAAATATTGTATGTGTATCAGGATACTTCAACACTGAAATGTTAATAGAGAATGAAAACAAAAATAACTTATTGACGCTTATGAGCTCATTTAATTTAGAACCAAAAATAAAAGAAAATACAAGAATAACGCATAGTACTGCTAGTTGCATAGATAATATTTTCACAAATTTCGAAATTGAAAGTGCATCTGTTCTTCGCACTCATATTTCCGATCACACTACTCAGAAAATCAATTTCTTTGCAGTCCCAATTACACGTATAAAAGAATTTTTTCAGAACCTAATAAACAATACTTTCTTGAATATATAAAAAATGAGGATTGGATTGAGCTGGTGCAGGATGTTGGAAATGTAAATGAGCAATGGATTGTATTCATGAATAATTTCATAGGTATTTTTAATCACTGTTTTCCTTTGAAACGATTTAGTGAGAAGAGTGGTGTGAGGAAACATGAGTGTAATGAAGAGATTATAGAGTGTAAAAATAGACTGGATATTCTGTTGACCCTATGTAGAGTAGATCGTGATTATAAGGAAAGGTATAACACAAAAAAAGAATATGACTATTTGTTACAGAAGGCCAAATCATAAAGATACGATCAGAAAATCAGAAATTCGGACAATAAAAGTAAATGTATGTGTGCGATATGTCATGAAATCACAGGTCAAAACAATCATAAAGACATTCATATCAAAGGAGATCCAAATCTGATACCACAGCAGTACAATGAATATTTGTTATCAGCAATTCCGCTTTTACTGAAAGATGTGACATAGGTACCTTTTGACTGCAATTTACAAGAAAATGACCAATCATTATACTTAAGACCAATGACTGTTGATTAAATGTGTGAACTGTCGAGGAGGATAAAAAATAAATTCAGCTGTGGGGGAGACCGGGGTTGGTTGTTACGATTTTTATAAATATGTTTTTTAAATTTTTCATATTAATACCACAAATTTCATTTTACCGTATATTTATTACTTAACCTTTTGTGCATAAAAAACATAAAAATTAAATCTTAAAAGCTAATAAAAATAAAGTTATTATTAATATAAACAAGAAAAGCAGAATGTCACAACTTACCCCGCTTCGGGGTTGGTTGTTACAATGCTGGGGTTGGTTGCGACAATATCTTGTGAAGGCCCCATATTTAAATATCATCATCAGAACTACAGTTTAAGCAAATAAAAAATGGATTTTTATCTGTACATTCCAGATGGGCCCAGTTTGAGCACGCTGTACATTGCACCCATTTTTCTTTTGGACGAGAATTTGAAAATGGCTCATTGCAAATAAGAAAAAAAACTTCTTCATCCTCAGAGCTGCTTGATGGAATATGTTTGGATTTACTTTTACAAGTGTTTCTTTTTGTGCCTGATTGCTTTGCCTTTTTCTTAGTTTGTTTCATTTGTCTTTCTTTGTATGCGTTTTCAATTTCCTCTTTATTGGGTGTATTAGTCCAAATGGCAGCGCGGCCCCGTTTTCGTCCTTTTCTGTTTGTTTTTCGTGGTTCTGCCTTGGGCGTTGGGCGCAAATCCTGTGGAGATAAGTACGATTTTATTCCAGAGGGTCCAGGGAAATCCTCGACTTGTAAATCACCTCTTTCTTTGTTAACCTCTCGTAAAACTGAAGGGTAAATTTACCACGACCGGCGAATTTGGAGGGGTTATTTGAGATTCTTCCCGTTCAGTTAATTGAGCTTTTTCTTGTTCAGTTAACTGAGCTTCTTGCTGGGTTTCGGCTTGGTTTGGAACTTGTTTTTTAATATTTGGATTGGGACGATCTGTAACAGCAGCAGGAAGAAACTCATCCTCTGTGAAAATGTTTCTGTTAACGGGGAAAACTCCACTTATTTGAAATCCAGCCTGGATATTCTTCGGGGTAGCAGCCAAAGGCAAATCATCTTTAACAATTTTAGGTACGTCATAAATTGTCATTGTTTTGCCAGGATTATTGCGCATCCAGGAATCGCAACTGGTATTGATATATTTCTTAAGAGGCCCATAGACAGATCGATCTAATGGTTGTAGTTTGTGTGAACAATGCGGGGGCATGGAGATCATAACAATGCCATTTTCTTTGCAGTAGTTAATGCCTTTTACTGAAAGATGTGACTCATGGTTATCGAGTAACAGTAAAACCGGTTTTTGTTTAAATGACCTACAATGTTTTGCAAAATGCTCCAGAAAAATATAAAATTTGTTTTCTGTCATCCACCCCGATAGATTGGCGGCTCCAATACAGCCAGGAGGGCCATTGTTCACAAAATGATCTCTGTAGTTTTTTCTCGGAAACAGGAAAATCGGAGGGATTGAATTGCCGCTAGCACTGATAGCAAAACAAAATGTTACTAGGGTTCCTCTTTCGGCAGATGTTACAAACCCAACCTGCTTAGCTCCCCTTCTAGCAACGACTCTATCTGGCTTCTGCACAGTTGTTATACCCATTTCATCGACATTATAGATGTCTTGTGGTTCAAATTTATATCGATCAACCACTCCTTCCAGCAAGTCAAAAAATGCAGAAACATTTGTCTTGTTAAAGCTGGTAATTCGACCAAGGCTAGTCGCCTCGGGAACCCTGAGAGATAATCGTGGATGACGTTTAAGAAAACTTGTCAACCAGTCATCAGATGCCATTTTATTTTCATTCCAGTTCGGGCGAACAGCTATATTATTTTATACAGCAAATTCAAAGGCCAGTCTGCGAACCTCTTTCGTGGATAAGCCAAAATAATATTTTGCTTGGTCCAACAAATATTCTTCCAAGTCAGCTTCCATCTCATCTGGTAGTACCTGACGATTTCGTCTATATCCAACATGGATAAGTCCTTCTAATCCTAAAAATAAAAAAAAATAAAAATATTAATTTGACACTTCAACGCTGACACATAGAAGTTACAAATAAATGTTTAAAAAGCCAAAGAAAGTCAAAAT